CTAACACATATTTTTTTTTAGGCTTGTGCTGATTTACTAAATCAAGCAGCCCAGTATTTTTTATTTTGGTGTCATAATGAACATTGTTCTTATCCAGCCATGCCGAGATATTTGTTTTGTTGGCACCTGTAGTAGGTGCCCTCGAATCAGGTTCTAAGTGGCTGTGATATGGAGTATTGTCCATTACAACTACAGACTGGGGAGTCTAGGGATGAGCGTGTCTATGAACCATTCTGTGAAGTGTTCACTATTAATTTCATCATGATAATCCGAGCTGTTGGTTTTCGACTCAAAGATCAGGCTAACACCATGGATTAGGCCTTGTTGAGAAGATCCAGCATCTAGGATTATCAAACAAGTGCCTTTACCAGATGGTAATGAACGCCTGCTGCCCTCACAGTGTGGCTCAAAGACTGACATGGATGTGCTAGGTTCATCCAGCCAGTCACCCTTGGCTACATGATTGTAATTCACCCAAGTCTCATCTAAATACACTTCGTACCTGACGCAAATAAAGATGACGGAGAGCGACAACCTCATTCCTCTCAACGACATGACGTCGGCCCAATCCTTTCTTAGAAAACTCAAAAAAAGAAGCACTAGTTTAAAGTCATGTCTGCAATAAGAATAAAACATGAATGTTGACATTGCTTAAAATAAAATAATGCAATACTTGTATGGGAAATGTTGTTGTCCATTCGTTTTATGTGTTCTATCATTTGGTTTTGCAATTTGATTAGGGACTTTCCGTTTTGAATTTTCCTCGGATTTTTGTGATTTTTGTGATTTTACTTTTTTTTTATGGGAAATACATTTTTAAAATTGATAGCCTTTTCGTCGATTGTTGATAGATACATGTCATTTAATGTCTACAGCTTTTTCCATGAAACATTTGTGTTTATTAAGGCATGTTTCCCTATTTAGATATATTGTTGTATAACTGCGTTACTGCTTCAATAACATTTCCTGCATTTCTCTTCAGAATAAATATATATTGTCAAGGGTTTGCTTTTGAATACATTGAAAGGTTTTCATCAGAAATTAGGCAAAACAAATTAATGAAGATTAATTGGTAAAAAAGCTACGACGTGACCAATTGTCGTTCAATATAACACAGAAGACGGAAGGTTACGTATAGCCCCTATGTTATCATGGATAAACCATTGTGCTTCCGTCACGCAAATGCAACCACCAAAATCATAACTGAAAACCGTTTCATTTTTTATCGATGATTAGGTTAATGTGGACTATTCATATAAAAATAGAAAAGCCAGCCATTAGTTAGAATCTTATACATCCGTGGCTTTCGAACATTCGGCTTAGACCGTTCCTGATGATGATTAATCAGGAAAAGTGCTTTGGAAGCATGGAATTGGTAACGTGTTGTTTTCATTTTTTTTTTAATTTTGAACGATAAGTTTTAGGCTGTATATGGCATGCCAGATGTGAATTTAAAACTATAACTATTCAATTAAACTATGTCGTCTTATATTTTAATCAGTAAAATACTTATTATTTTGCAAGCCTTTTCTGAAGATACCATTTCCTCAGTTTCAGCATAAATATTCCACAACTGTTTTATACACATGACTGAAAGATGTTGATTCGCTTTTGATAAGTATAAGAATAATGTATTTGAAAAACTTACTTAAGATTCAAAATAGTATAATTGTCTTGATATGTAACATTATCATTTACATAAATGACTCATAAAAATGTCATAATTATAAACTTGTTAAAACATATTCTGCTTTGTCTTTAATCTAAAATTAATTCTACATTACCCAATTCAAAATACGTTTTATATGGACCTATTCAGATAAAATTAACCAAGGATGAATTCCGATTGTCAATATAATCTAACAGGTTCATACATAACGTATTGATCTAGTGAAAGTCCTTAATTCTTATATTACATTATGTAAATAATGTATTAAGAAGATGGACTCCAATGTTCTTTCCGTGTATTTTTCAATTGTATTCTGCAAAAAAATTGACAGGTTATTGAAAATATCAATATTCTTTGAACAAATTCATAGCTTGTTGCATAAGCTTTCTTGTATTCTGAGCGTCTGCATTTAACATAACATTCTTGAAAATCTCCTGTTAAACTTCCATTTTTTTCTGCTATGGCGCTTCCTCCATGGTTGTTATGTGTGTCGACGTCATCAATCAAATTTTAGTGAGATTTTTTAAAACAGACCACCAATATACATAAATAAAACCAACAGCGTCAATGTACGTAAAATAGAAACAAGGCTTCGGCTACGTAAAATAACTTTGGAAACACGTAATCGTAATATCAAATGAAAACAGTAGAATGCTACACCACATGTTTAATTATTTGTCATTTTATTTATTTTTTACATATTTTTTGTACACCTGATGTAGTTAAAGATTTGTTTGTTCTTAAATAATCGATAATAAATAAACACTTTTTAAAAAACTCTTAACAATATCATGAAATTCATTACATGACACCACAAGGTATATCAGTTTTTAGATACTAAAAAAATAACCGTGCAATATTCTTTTTGCTAACCGCTGTTTTCTAATATACATATAGTTTAACATGAGACTATCCCTGAACGAATCAAATTAGTTAAACTATACGAATTAAAACTATTTTAAAACAAATATAAGATTCAGGATGTTTGATACTCTGTTTCAAAAAAAAAACAAGCTGTTTAAATGACTGTTATAAGTTGAAAGTATATAAATAACGGAACTTAAAAAGTAAAAAAAAAAACTGATGGGTATGTGTGCCTTTTTTTGAGATATACACCGTTGAAAATTTGGCGGGAAATGACTTTTCATATAGTTAACATTTGTAGCTTTTTAAAAAAGATATGAAAATATAACAAGAATTTCATAAGATTTTCAAAAATGGCTTTTAAAACCACATGTGGTAATATTATTAAAAGAAAAGTAGGGGTTAGTGGGCAACATTTTTAATGGACACTGGATAGATAAAACCAGAGGATTCCGAATATCCGACAACAAATTTTAAAAACAAGAGGAGCGAACATCCTTAACGTCAATTATTTCTCATTTAAATTTGTTAGTAATGCTTTTCAATCTTTAATGTAATTTTTAAGAATTACATGAAAGTATCAAAATATTATGTCTGAATTACTCTTTTGACAAAGCATTTACGAAAGTGCATATCAGTGTCCACTTACGTATATATTTAATCATTGTTAATCGTGCATTGCTATACAATTCCCTTAAACATTTTATAGTTCACACAAGTTCTCACTAACAGTTAACCAATATTGTCGTGTAAGCATTCTTGTATTGCTACTAAAAAACCTATTGAAGCTGATATAATTCATCGGATATTATCAACTAAAAATCACTTATTTACAAAAACAATTCTTTATTTTAACAAATAGTGGTCATTTGATACTTGAATATAATGAATTTAGTTATCTTGGCTGAGGCTTGCATCCCGATAAGCATGACTTTGTAGTTTATTAAGTGTAAATTGTTCTACACAGATGTTATTTTAATTGTGCTTCGCTATCAAATTTCATTATACTTAAATGGTTCACATAGGTTTTAAATTATCGTTCACAAATATTGTAGTGTAAGCATTCTCGAATGTCTACAAAAGAGACGATTTGAGATAATGTAATTCATTGGATAGTATCATTTTAAAAATGTATCCATTACCAATACATGTCATGCATTTAACAACTAGTTACATTATGTGTTTGACTATTGTAAAGGCATTGTTACCGTTGTTAAAGGATGCTTTGCGATTATAATAAACTTGACTTTGTTTATTGTATATCTATTTGAAAAATCCGATTCAGTTCTGATGACCAAGGGTAATTAAGAAACGACCTCCATCGTATCGTTATTTCAGATATAGAATAGAATGATGTATTGATAACTGATAGACACATCTCCCATTTTAAATATAATATCAGTACACGCTGCCCATGTTAAAAAAATTACACATCTAATTACTACTTCAAATGGCGATTTAATAGAAATGCAATCGTATTTAAGAGTCTCGTCAATAGGTCAGTATTAACTTTTGTAATATGTATTATATCATTAAATTAAGAGGGTCGTGACAGTTACAATGTGTTTTCCTTTTGTGGAATATTAACATAAATTGAATATCCTAATACATGTATGCAAAACAAAAACCCCCAAAAAACCCGTATTTCTTTAGAACAATAAGGCTCAAAATCTGGACAAAAACTAGTGTAGAAAGTTACACCATTGAGCTTATCTAAAACAAGTGTACTTAGTGTATACTTAGTCATAATTTATATATTGTTAAGGAATCACTAATGGGCATTGGATTTTCAATATCATAACAACAACAAAATATCCATAGAGCTCTGCTTAAATATGATATTTGGTGAGGGATTGAAACGTTGTGTTGGTATTGAATGCAAATATATCATATACTCTTAATTACAAACCACTTACCACCACATTCTTCTATGAAATCGAAGTCATGCTCTACCCTGATTTCTCGTTTTGAAGTTGTTTGTCTTGCTACATGATGACAGATGGCGGTTGACGTCTTTAGTCGTACAGTTTTATCATTTTACCTGATTCAATACCTATGTGCCGGTTAATATTTAAGGCGCCATTCCTCCTTCAATTAAAAAAACGGATACCAAAATGACACATAGAAACGGAAACATACCTAATATCGAACTCGTTTAAAGAGTATCTATTGGTCTCAATCTTCCAAACCGTTTATCAAAAATTAAATAATCGCTAATATTTTTAATAACAAATATCGTGGTTACCCTTATATCTATAGTGTCATGTCAGAAAATAACGTACATGTCCCCATCTTTGCAACCAAAATACCATTAGGTCCGCGTTTAGGTATAGCACATTGTCCTACATTTCTAAACGAATATATATCAAAAAATAAACCTACCACTATTATTTATTTACATGCATCTGATGTAATGCACGCTAGAACACCCAATCAATTTAAAAGTATTATGAATCAACATATTAGGATGCTCAATCATCCTACAAAACATTTAAAAGTTCAACCTTTACGAGTAATTTGTGTAGTAATTAAGCAACGTGGGAATCTAAATCAAACATGTACGATCACGAAAAATAATTGAAGTAAGTTGGATGAAAAAAATGGCAAACAGTCTATCCTCTTTGTCTTAGAGAAAATATTTTGGGAATCGGTAATTTATAAAAATGTATATATTCTTCATATAATTTCTGAAACTGTTAGCAAAAACTGTTCACATGGACGTAGAATAAATCGCAATCAGACAAACCTACGTACAATATTTCGGACCTAAATACTTACAAAAAACGTCAGTCATTATCAGCTAACTAATCATCTTTCTTTACCTGTTGATACATTTTATCAAATTTTGTCAAAACTTTCCATAGTCCAGTCCTAAGTAGGAAATCGTTTAAATTATAGTTGCATAATGTTAACTGTTTCCCAAAATTGATCACCTCAAGATCATAGAAACCATTTCGTTTAAATAAAATATGTCAATAGGGGTTTTGATTTTGTAAATATTGCCGGTATTCTTAATGATCATTCCGTTAATTTATACCTGGTATTGACATTACTGAAGTCTCTCTAATGAATAAAGTTTTGAAAAAATAAATTAAAGTATATGTTTAATCATAGCGAGGTGTGTGCAGATGCTAATATCAGTGACAATGCGTCTGCCTCATGAAAGTGTAGTAACAAAATATACAAGTATGGCCCTATTTCCAATGTTTTAAGAGGCGATCTTAACATTGTCCAGAACCGAGAGGTGAAATCATGCCTTAGTTATGGACTCACTACGAACTTACTGTATACAATGAATAAAACGAGAATCCTGAGATTTTTTTTTAACTCAGGAATGAACATAGTTAATATTCGTCCTATTCAGCATTTAAAAAAAACGCATGACTCCTAAAAAACAACCATTATACATGTATCTGTGATTAGTAGAATCTTGTAGTGACCTCTCTACAAGCAGAACGAAATAAAATAAAAGCCCCAACTATGTACTGGCTTCCAAAGCTGCCCAAAATACCTTCCAGATATATTTTTACTTCGTTCTAAAGTCATTGTTCTGCGATTTTACTGTTTGTTCTACTTACTAGTACACTTGGAACATAATCTGATAAATAAATCGTTCAATTAAGGCCTTTGTAAATTGGAGAATTATTTACTTTTGAAAAGTAAAAACTTCGTTGTAAGTATCTGATATCCTATCAATTTGGTGTTTTCAAAACCGTTCAAAGTTTAGATTGTTGTACCCTATAAGTCGCATTGTCTCATAATTTCATGTTGAAAAAAATACAAATCTAATTAAATGGGCATTTATAAAGTCAGCATGTTAAAACCCTTTTAGGTCTTGTTTTGAATAACAACAAACAAAAATAACTGTGTCAATTGGACCTGTTAGGTACAATCAGTGTAAATGTTTACTAGATAATATTTTTGTTAATTAATGATATTCAATATATCGTCATATTATCGGAATTCATATGAAAACTTACATCGCACCACTCATTGCAGACCTGTATTTTGTTTTGTGATACATCATGAATCATTCATTTAACTAAGCATTGTCAAAAATTATTATAATTATATAAAATGTATTTTGTATTTAATTTTGCTTTGCTGTCGATTTACATTATACTTCCACAGTGTACATTCGTTTTAAAATTGTTGCCGCGGTAGCATTTGTTTATGCCTTGGAAAGAGATGATTTAAGATAATACACCTTGACGGATATTATTAGTTTAAAAATCACTTCTTTTCAAATACATTTCATGCATGTAAAAACATGAAAGACTACTGGAAATATGATTCATTATTCGACAGTATCTAACTAATGATTCGTTTTGCTTGAGCATGCTTGTCGATAATAATAAGCTTGACTTTGTTAATGGTACGGTACATCTGATTGTGGTTAAGTACTTCAAACTAATGAAATTACCCTCTCCTTATGTTTATGTGAAGACAGATTTGTGTGATACATAGATATATATCTTTCATAGATAAATTTTCAATTTGATACAAATATGCAATAGAAACTTATAGTACTGACATTCTTTATATTTGAAGTTTTCGTTTTAATTTTTTTATGTTAATGTTTTACAAAACACCTTACATTTATACATACAATAACTTCCGTTTCCTTTATTTCTTTATAAGTACGGTACAACTTACTCCCTGATGTTTTCTCCGAATCGGACATAGGGATCTACGGACCTATCAAACATATCCCCTTAAAAACGATGAATTTTGCTATTTTCAAGCGTAACCAGTTGATGTAGGTTTCACTGTTTCTCTTTGTTTGAAGTAGTAGTATACATATGTATAATATGAATAAATATCAAAGACACCAATAACAGTTTACAGCAACACAATTATCACAAATCCGCAGAATCGTGAAAAAAACGGTCTCTATTAATCATTTTGAAATAATCTTAACTGGTTTGATGTTGCGTTATCTCTGTTGCATATTAGCATACGTCAAATATTCTAATTATAATTTCGTTTTTCTTCAGGAAAAGATGGAAGAAAGCGAAAGCGGAAAGCAACAAAGCTTTGGATTTGGGTAATGTATACTAAATTTCAAATTAAATACAAAGCAGAATATGTTTTAAAAAGTTCATAATTATGACATTTTTACGAGTCATTTATGTAATAACATATCAAGACAATTTTATTATTTTGAATCTTAAATCAGTGTTTCAAATACAATATCCTTATACTTATCAAATGTGAATCCATATATTTTAGCCATGTGTATAAACAAAATGTGTGTTTACTTATACTGAAACTGAGGAAATAGTATCTTCGGAAGAGGCTTATCGTTCAAAATTTAAAAAAAAAATGAAAACAACACGTTACAAATTCTATGCGTTCAAAGCACTTTTCCTGATCAATCTTCATCAGGAACGTTCAAAGCCGAATGCTCAAAAGCCAAGGATGTAGAAGATTCTAACAAATCGCTGGCTTTTCTATCTTTATATGGATAGTCAACAGTAACCTAATCATCGATAAAAAATAAAACAGTTTTCAGTTATGATTTTGGTAGTTGTATTTGCACGACGGACGCACCAGGATTCACACATGATAACAGGGGGTAATACTCAATCTTCCGTCTTCTGTGTTATATTGTTTTGATCGACTATTGGTAACGTCGTTGCTATTTTACCAATTAATCTTCATTATTTTGTTTTGCTTAATTTCTGATGTAAACCTTTCAATGTATTCAAAAGCAAACTCTTGTTTGTAGCAAACCATTCGAACTCTTTGAAAACGGATCTTTATCCCCGTCCGTGAATATCATTCGTTTTGTTTTTTTCAAAAGTCAACCAAACCTGATATTTGCCGCACCATTTAACAGTTACTTTTTATTATGACGATATATTATCATTATTATAATTGCTATCATCATTTTTACATAGAAACGAAACAAAATTGACCTATCGATCTTTTATTATTTTTTTTCTATTACAGATGTCTTCCTATTTCCAAAAAAAAAACAAAAACATGTGAGTTATGAATATTTGTGTGACCAATTTCGTTCTTACTTTACAAAACCATGTTTCAGATACAATTTGAAAGACTATATTTTTTTTATATTTTGCATGGTATGATAACATTCGAAATAAGGATACATTGATTTACTTTATATTTTGTAACACATTTAAATGTTACCTTATTTGTTGGTCAGTGTTCATTCTTCACTGTTTATCATTTATTGCTATATAAAATACAGGCTGACAATTTTGTTATTAAAACGTGCTTTCCGTGTCTAAATGCCTTCATAGTATGTTTATAATATTTGCTTGAAATAATCAGTATATTGATAATGGAAATAAGGAATGTGTCAAACAGTCAACAGCACAACAAGCACCAGTAACAGCCATCACTGGATCTTCAACGCAGCGGAATATCCAACACATGGAGGCGGGCTTCATCTTACCTATAATCACAAATGTGTACTTGTTCATCGAAAATGAACGTCACAGTTTACATATATATCAAACAAAATTATAAAAGGTACAAGACTAACCAAGGCCAGAGACTCCTGTCGTGGGATAGGCGCAAACATGAGTCGGGATTAAACATAGTTTGTGATACATCATTCCTTCCCTATACCTCTAGCCAATGTGGAATATTCAAACACGCATCAATACGCACAGTAAAACTCGGTTTAAAAGAAGTCTGAATATGATATAAGAAGAAGTATCAGAAAAACAAATATGCAAAATGACAATGATACATTAATTAAAAAAGGACTACTAGTACTTACTGACATACCAGATCTAGACCTCAATTAATTTGTTGGAGGATTATGCCGCATCGTGTTAAAATCAAGCACAATCACTGCGGATTTATATATATCATGATATCAGAAGTATACGAAAAGAACATAACTGTATCAAGAACATAGATATAGGAAGATGTGGTATGAGTGCCAATGAGACAAATCTCCATCCAAGTAACAATTTATAAAAAGCCATTATAGGTCAAGGTACGGCCTTCAACATGGAGCATATTATAACTGTTTATAATAAAGAGTTCTCATACCACATGTATCAAAACCTCATTTATTTAATGACAAAAAGTACACATACACAAGAATTGATAAATAATCATGATTCTTATTCACAACATTCAGATGACACACAAACAAATACTTGTGAAGATACAATGTTCTTTTGAACTAGAAAATAATGTTGCTCACAGAATATGGTTGCATAGTAATTCGTGAACCTCGCGATGAATCTTGTGTAGACCAAACGCGCGTCTGGCGTATCAAATTAAGCCTGGTACCTTTGATAACTATTTACACCACTGGGTCGGTGCCACTGCTGGTGGACGTTTCGTCCCCGAGGGTATCACCAGCCAAGTAGTCAGCACTTTGGTACCTTTGATAACTAATTATATAGTTCTTAATAAATAAAAAAGAAAAAAAAAACAGAAGTTTGCACTACACATAACAGACATTCAAAGTTCCTTCTAGTAAGATGTACTTAGTTGATCAGTTATTAATCCTGTTTATTGTATATTTTGCAAAACGAATCTTGTTTCTTTTTTTTTTATTATAGAAAAAGACAGATGAAACAAAAAGGAGAATCGGGTAATGCAAATGCGTTTATTATCCGAACAATGTAATAAAACAAGAAAGAAAGTATATGTTATAACTAGCTTACGATAATGATATATATACTTCTAATCGTAAAATAGTTCTAAGATATACTATTTTAGCCGTTTTGTTCGTTTTCCTTGGAGTTTGGTATTGTTGTTATCTTATTTTTTACCAAATAAAATTGAGAATGGAAATGGGGAATGTGTCAAAGAGACAACAACCCGACCACAGAACAGACAACAGCAGAAGGCCACCAACAGGTCTTCAATGCAGCGAGAAATTCCCGCACCCGGAGGCGTCCTTCAGCTGGCCCCTAAACAAATATATATACTAGTTCAGTGATAATGAACGTCATACTAAACTCCAAATTGTACACAAGAAACTAAAATTAAAAATAATACAAGACTAACAAAGGCTAGAGGCTCCTGACTTGGGACAGGCGCAAAAATGCGGCGGGGTTAAACATGTTTATGAGATCTCAACCCTCCCCCTATACCTCTAGCCAATGTAGAAAAGTAAACGCATAACAATACGCACATTAAAATTCAGTTCAAGAGAAGTCCGAGTCTGATGTCAGAAGATGTAACCAAAGAAAATAAACAAAATGACAATAATACATAAATAACAACAGACTACTAGCAGTTAACTGACATGCCAGCTCCAGACTTCAATTAAACTGATTGAAAGATTATGTCTTCATCATATGAATATCAGGCACAATCCTTCCCGTTAGGGGTTTAGTATCATACCATCATAACATATATGAGAAGAACATAACCCGTGTCATGCCAACAACTGGTTTTTAAATAAATGTGTTTAGTGCAGATGCAAAGACCTTATAAGTGAATCAATATCAACGCCAAAATATGCAATCTTTAATGACCTGACAACAGTATCGTAACTATATCCCTTCTTAATAAGTCTATTTAAAGGTTTTGTTAGTTTCAGAGGTGAATACTGACATTTTTGTGCTTTATAAAGAATATTTCCATAAAAAATTGGATGTGAAATACCTGAACGTATAAGAAGTCTGCATGTTGAGCTATATTTACGAATGATGTCCTTATACCGATGATAAAATTTAGTAAATGTTTTGACTAGTTTGTGATATCGAAAACCCTGGTGTAATAATTTTTCAGTAATACATACATTTCTCTCGTTAAAATCTAAAACATTGTTACATACACGAGCGAATCGTACAAGTTGAGATATATAAACACCGTAAGATGGTGACAAGGGAACGTCACCATCTAAAAATGGATAATTAACGATAGGAAATGAAAAATCATCTCTTTTATCATATATTTTAGTATTAAGCTTTCCGTTAATGATATAGATATCAAGATCGAGGAAAGGGCAGTGGTCATTGTTAGTATTAGCTTTATTTAAAGTAAGTTCAACAGGATAAATTTCTTTAGTATACATACTGAAGTCGTCATTATTGAGAGCCAAAATATCATCCAAATATCTAAAAGTATTATTAAATTTGTGTATCAGATGTTGTTTCGATGGGTCTTTACTGATTTTTGTCATAAATTGTAACTCATAGCAATACAAAAAAAGGTCCGCAATAAGTGGTGCACAGTTAGTCCCCATTGGAATTCCGATAACCTGACGATATACGGAATCTCCAAAGCGAACAAAAATGTTATCTAGTAAAAATTCAAGGGCATATATAGTATCAAAGCATGTCCAATTGACATAGTTTTTTTGTTTATTGCTACTAAAAAATGACCTAAAAGAGTTTGAACATATATATTCACATTCTGACTTTTTAAATGCCCATTTAATTAGGTGTGTGAATTTTTTCTTAATGAGAATGTGAGGCAATGTGGTATATAGGGTAGAAAAATCAAAACTTTGAACAGATTCAAAATCACCAATATATGCATGCAATTTATCAAGTACTTCCAACGAGTTCTTGACACTCCAAAAGTAATTAATTCCACTATTTTCGAAGGCCTTATTTGAACAATTTATTATCAGGTTTTTGATTGTACCAAGTGTACTGGTAAGAAGAATAGACAATTTAGTAGTGGAACAATGGCTTGAAGACGAAATGAATCTATATTTGTAAGGTGTTTTGTGTAGCTTCGGAAGCCAATACATAGTTGGGACTTTCATTGTATTTGGTTCTGCTTGTAAAGCGGTACCTAAAAGTTTATGTTTGTTACAGATGTCGTTTTCTGAAAATGGAGTCAGTTGGAATGTTGGTGAATTGGTGATTTCTTTTTTCAGAACCTCAATGTAAAATTTACGTCAAACAATAATAATATTATTAGCAGCTTTATCGGCCGGGACAAAAACAAATTCCTTGGCTAGTTCTTTTAGTTTATGTTTGATACGAGAAATAGGTTTATTGTGGTTATTGTTAAGAGTAAAATGTTCTTTAAAATGTTGAATACGTATATCAACTATGTTCATTACTGATTTAAAAAAAGAGTCCAAAGATTTTTTGTCAGCTTTTTCCCGTTTTATCCATTTCAAACAGTAAGTATGGAGTGAGTCGTGGATGATATTACGACACTCATTCCAATTAATAATTGACGGGGGACGATATTTAGGTCCTTTACTGAGGAATGATTTTAACTCTCGGTCTTGAACGATGTTAAGATCTCCTGTTATAACATGGGAAATGGGTCCATAAATGTATTCGGAATTACTGCAATTACATGAAGTAGGTGTATTTTCACTGATATTAACATCTTTACACAATTGGCTATAATTAAACACAAATTTCCGGGTAGATTTCTTGTAAATAAAACAAATAAGAGGGAGCTCAGTATTATCAAAATATCCCGGAATTTGTTCTTTAACAGAATGGTCGTTAAAAATACCGGCAATATTTACAAAATCAAAACCTTTATTGACATACTTTATTTTAATAAACTGTTTTTTATGATCTTCAGGGCGATCAATTTTGGGAAACAGTTTAGAATAACAATATGCCATTATAATTTGAACGATTTCATACTTAGGACTGCTATATGAAATTGTGTTGCAATCCTCTAAAATTTCATTTAACTTATTAACCGGTAATGAACAGAGCTTTGTTAACAGATAATGTCTGCCGTTGTTTTTTGAAATAGAAATTAGGTCCGAAATATTGGTATGATTGGTCCGAAATTTTCTTTGATTGCGATTTTTTCTACGACCATGAGAACGGTTTTTACGAACAGTTTTAGAAACTATATCCAAAATGTTAACAGAATCGGTTCTTGATATATTACCAATTCCCATGATATTATCATTAAGACCGAGAGGGTAGACAGTCTGTAATTTTGTAATCCAATTTAATTCAATTATTTTCCGCGATCGTACAAACTTTGAATGAGATTCACCAGGCTGCTTATTTACTACTTCTAAAGGTTGAACTGCTAAATATTTAATAGGATGATTGTGCTTCTTAAGGTGTTGATAAATGATACTTTTGAATTTATTGGGTCTTTTAAAACGATACAGATGTTCTTGAGTGCGTTTAGATAAATATCGTCCAGTTTCACCTACGTACTGAATACCGCATCCCGGTTTGTTTCATGTGAGTAAATAAATTATACTGTTTGTTTTTCAAGTTATATCAGTTTCAAAATTTAAAGAAAATGTGCGACCATTAAACGTGGACCTTACCGTATTGTTGGTGGAAAGACGGGGACATGTAAGTCATTTTTTGGCATGACACTTATCGATAGAAGGGTAACCACGATTTTTATTGTTAAAAATGTTAGCGATGGTAGTATTTTTAGATAAGCGATTTTGAAGATTGAGACGTGTAGATACCCTTTGAACGAGTTTAGTATTTAATATTTTTCCATTTCTAAGCTTCATATTTGTTTTTTGTTTGTGAATTATATTAGAAAGGAGCAAAGACTGGCGACCAGAATATGAACCAGCATACAATGAATTAAATTATGTAAAAATGATAAATCTGTTCGGCTAAAGATGTCAAACGCTATCCGTATTAATTACCCGAAAAAGAAAGGGTATATTAGGGTAGCGACTGACGTCTGACTAAATAGTAGAATGGGGCTGAATATTGAAATACTACTTTTTGATAAATATTCCTAAAGTAATGAACTAGAGAAGTTCTCGCTCGGACACACACTCCATAATCTAGTATATTATAAGAGCATAAACCTGAAGCACGGGGAGGCACTCTACTGTCTCCACACGGCACTAAAGACAAACTCTGTAAAAAATAAAATTGAGAATGGAAATGGGGAATGTGTCAAAGAGACAACAACCCGACCACAGAACAGACAACAGCAGAAGGCCACCAACAGGTCTTCAATGCAGCGAGAAATTCCCGCACCCGGAGGCGTCCTTCAGCTGGCCCCTAAACAAATATATATACTAGTTCAGTGATAATGAACGTCATACTAAACTCCAAATTGTACACAAGAAACTAAAATTAAAAATAATACAAGACTAACAAAGGCTAGAGGCTCCTGACTTGGGACAGGCGCAAAAATGCGGCGGGGTTAAACATGTTTATGAGATCTCAACCCTCCCCCTATACCTCTAGCCAATGTAGAAAAGTAAACGCATAACAATACGCACATTAAAATTCAGTTCAAGAGAAGTCCGAGTCTGATGTCAGAAGATGTAACCAAAGAAAATAAACAAAATGACAATAATACATAAATAACAACAGACTACTAGCAGTTAACTGACATGCCAGCTCCAGACTTCAATTAAACTGATTGAAAGATTATGTCTTCATCATATGAATATCAGGCACAATCCTTCCCGTTAGGGGTTTAGTATCATACCATCATAACATATATGAGAAGAACATAACCCGTGTCATGCCAACAACTGGTTTTTAAATAAATGTGTTTAGTGCAGATGCAAAGACCTTATAAGTGAATCAATATCAACGCCAAAATATGCAATCTTTAATGACCTGACAACAGTATCGTAACTATATCCCTTCTTAATAAGTCTATTTAAAGGTTTTGTTAGTTTCAGAGGTGAATACTGACATTTTTGTGCTTTATAAAGAATATTTCCATAAAAAATTGGATGTGAAATACCTGAACGTATAAGAAGTCTGCATGTTGAGCTATATTTACGAATGATGTCCTTATACCGATGATAAAATTTAGTAAATGTTTTGACTAGTTTGTGATATCGAAAACCCTGGTGTAATAATTTTTCAGTAATACATACATTTCTCTCGTTAAAATCTAAAACATTGTTACATACACGAGCGAATCGTACAAGTTGAGATATATAAACACCGTAAGATGGTGACAAGGGAACGTCACCATCTAAAAATGGATAATTAACGATAGGAAATGAAAAATCATCTCTTTTATCATATATTTTAGTATTAAGCTTTCCGTTAATGATATAGATATCAAGATCGAGGAAAGGGCAGTGGTCATTGTTAGTATTAGCTTTATTTAAAGTAAGTTCAACAGGATAAATTTCTTTAGTATACATACTGAAGTCGTCATTATTGAGAGCCAAAATATCATCCAAATATCTAAAAGTATTATTAAATTTGTGTATCAGATGTTGTTTCGATGGGTCTTTACTGATTTTTGTCATAAATTGTAACTCATAGCAATACAAAAAAAGGTCCGCAATAAGTGGTGCACAGTTAGTCCCCATTGGAATTCCGATAACCTGACGATATACGGAATCTCCAAAGCGAACAAAAATGTTATCTAGTAAAAATTCAAGGGCATATATAGTATCAAAGCATGTCCAATTGACATAGTTTTTTTGTTTATTGCTACTAAAAAATGACCTAAAAGAGTTTGAACATATATATTCACATTCTGACTTTTTAAATGCCCATTTAATTAGGTGTGTGAATTTTTTCTTAATGAGAATGTGAGGCAATGTGGTATATAGGGTAGAAAAATCAAAACTTTGAACAGATTCAAAATCACCAATATATGCATGCAATTTATCAAGTACTTCCAACGAGTTCTTGACACTCCAAAAGTAATTAATTCCACTATTTTCGAAGGCCTTATTTGAACAATTTATTATCAGGTTTTTGATTGTACCAAGTGTACTGGTAAGAAGAATAGACAATTTAGTAGTGGAACAATGGCTTGAAGACGAAATGAATCTATATTTGTAAGGTGTTTTGTGTAGCTTCGGAAGCCAATACATAGTTGGGACTTTCATTGTATTTGGTTCTGCTTGTAAAGCGGTAGCTAAAAGTTTATGTTTGTTACAGATGTCGTTTTCTGAAAATGGAGTCAGTTGGAATGTTGGTGAATTGGTGATTTCTTTTTTCAGAACCTCAATGTAAAATTTACGTCAAACAATAATAATATTATTAGCAGCTTTATCGGCCGGGACAAAAACAAATTCCTTGGCTAGTTCTTTTAGTTTATGTTTGATACGAGAAATAGGTTTATTGTGGTTATTGTTAAGAGTAAAATGTTCTTTAAAATGTTGAATACGTATATCAACTATGTTCATTACTGATTTAAAAAAAGAGTCCAAAGATTTTTTGTCAGCTTTTTCCCGTTTTATCCATTTCAAACAGTAAGTATGGAGTGAGTCGTGGATGATATTACGACACTCATTCCAATTAATAATTGACGGGGGACGATATTTAGGTCCTTTACTGAGGAATGATTTTAACTCTCGGTCTTGAACGATGTTAAGATCTCCTGTTATAACATGGGAAATGGGTCCATAAATGTATTCGGAATTACTGCAATTACATGAAGTAGGTGTATTTTCACTGATATTAACATCTTTACACAATTGGCTATAATTAAACACAAATTTCCGGGTAGATTTCTTGTAAATAAAACAAATAAGAGGGAGCTCAGTATTATCAAAATATCCCGGAATTTGTTCTTTAACAGAATGGTCGTTAAAAATACCGGCAATATTTACAAAATCAAAACCTTTATTGACATACTTTATTTTAATAAACTGTTTTTTATGATCTTCAGGGCGATCAATTTTGGGAAACAGTTTAGAATAACAATATGCCAGTTTACAAATGAATGTAATTAATAATATAAGTCTGAATCTTAAGTCAGTACTCATAATATACCTCCTTTACTATATGTAAAAGCAAAGCCATGGCTACACGTATTCATCGATTACTTGTGGATTACATGTTGCTGATTTAAATAAAAATAACTTTTATGACGCATCTTAAATAATGTATATTGTCCTAAAAAAAATGAATAGGACGATAAAGTGTACTCATTTAAGTATTCAATATGTTGAATGTCTGTCTTGGTTTCATTGCGTATTTGCTCTGTAATTGATAACCGAAAAACGTTTAAAATTTAAAAAGAAATGTTGCTATAACATCTAGCAGGAAACAGGGAGAATCAAAAAATTCAAAGATACATTTTAACGTAAACGTGGGAACGCCATGGTTAAAACAACAAAAGAGACCAACAGAAAAACTGCAGTACCATACATTCTGAAATTATTGCGTGCCTTTACCATGTTAATTATTGTGAAGAAAAAATGCGAGAGTACATGTAGCTAAAACGATTTCATGAATATTCACATACATATATATGCATAAGATATCAGATAGCGCGTACCTGTTATTGTTTTACTGACCTTGTTGTATAACTTGCACTGTGTTGTTTAGTCCATGAAGATCTTTTCAGATAAAAATTAACTATTTTAGGTAAGATACGTTTACTAGTAAAGGGCATTTTGTGTTTTTAAAATTCCTTATTTTTTAAAAGATATGTCTTTCGTATTCTATATGAAGAAGCATATTTATTTATAAGAAGTTAAATTCCTTTTTTTCGACACGATTATTCGACATATTAATCTTATATTCATCTAATATTTCAAATTGCAATAAAAAGATGTAGTGTGATTGCTGATTAGACAACTCTCCTTCAGAGACCAAATGACATAGGAGATAACAACTATAGATCAACATACAACCTTCAACAATTAACAACCCCATACCACATAGTAAGCTATAAGTAGTCTCGAAATGTGAAAGGTAACACAATTCATACTTGAAAATTAATGACCTGGTGTTTGTACAAACCAATAAACAAAAAAATACAGATGATTTACAGCATCAAACGAAACCATTGAAATAATTGGTCCTGGCTTACACATATAAAATTTTTCCTGCTAGTAATGTGATGAATATCATTTATGTTGATTTGATTTTTGCCTCAACTTTAAACAGTTATTACAACGATCATATGACGGGTTGTTATTATCATAATTGTTTATCGACATCATCACACTGATACAAACGAATACTTACCTCATTATTTCTATGATTGCAGAACTATTCTTCCTCGATCCTTTTTAGAAGGGAAACCAGAAGCTAGGGAAGTGTTGGTAAGTTTACAATAGTATAGACATGAACATAAAAAATGTCAACATGTTGTTAACAAGAAATTCAATGACATCGTAGTCATGTTATGTTTGAATTTTAAATTTTAATATGACGTACTTCTTTCGATTTGTAAAGAACACCATGATAAAATTTTCGATACATCTTTAGCACAAGCTCAGAAATATACATAATGATGGCTATTATACCACCCACGTAAATCCACATGTATCGTAATCTATTCGCAAACGCGTACGCTATGCCGACTTTGTTGTGTTAAAAATTGCAAATGAAAACAGACTACATCTTATTCTAAATGTTCTAAGGTATAACACAAATAATCAATGCACTAGAGCTCGAAGGAATGTACAAAATCAAAATAAAATAAATTCTGCGAAACTCCATTATGCACTTTAATGTAATTTCATAACAAGACGTCAAACAAATGAAAACGCTAAACATTTTTTTCCGCTACGTACACCACCGAAATTTGAAAAATATTGATTTTAGTTGTTGTTGTTTCTTCTATTCTATTGCATCATTCGTTTATTTTTCCCTCGCTAACGCTAAGGATAAAATTTGAATATCAAGGTTCAGGTCATGTGTAAATTTCTAACAAATCTATGGCTTCCATGAAATATTTCATAAATACAATAGAGTGAATGTACCTTAAAATTTCTATCACGAAAGACTGTTTAAGATTAAAATAAAGACAAATAGAAGTACTGATTAAATGAATTACATCATGGATGGATAATGTGTTCGTTGTTTAGTTCAAAGTATAAAAAAGCACAATTGAGACAATTGGTTGGTTCAAAACACATTTGTTTATTCATATTTATTGATGAAATACACTAAAAACCAAAAAGTAATATGAACAGTATACGAAAACATGTAAAACAGGCATAGGATAGATCACGACATAATGAAAATATTTGTCGTTTGTTATAGAGTAAATCTTGTGTACGTGACGCAATGTGTTTGCATGCATTCTTCGCCATATGAATAGTCTACAAAAAGGCGTCAGCAGTGGTGCTCAAATAAGAAAACGTAATAAGCAAAATAGAGAAGAGATTGAGGGCATCGATAATTAAAACATTCTTAAGGTTTAGCCTAATACAGCTTAGGTTATATATTCATTGGTTAATGCGTTAGAAAAGGGAAAAACGGAATGATTATTTGTGAAACCTTAAATAACAGATAAGACAGAATTATTGACGTGAATATAATCGCTGAATAAAAAAATAACATTTTGAGCGCGAATTTTTTTTCCGATAATTTCTTTTCAAAGTCAAGAACATGACAGTGTTCTTACTTGGGTTCCGATTGTTAATAAGATCTTACGTTTGGTTTGTCATTTTGTATGGAATTCTCCTTATGTATATACCTTTTGAGCTCAGTATTTCTGGTATTACTTATTTTTTTAGACAAATTTGTTTTATGAAAAAGATAAAACTTTAAGCCCGTACCCCATATTGCAGAAATTGAAAGTTCTTTCTAGCTACTAAAAACTGAATTATGTAAGGTAACAGTTATCTGGAAATTATATTTTGAATTTTATTATTTCTTTTTATTTCAATTTCAGGAAAAAAAGAAAAGAAGGGAAAACGAAAAGACACAAGAACATAGAGTCAAGTAATACATATGCATTTGTCATAGGCACTATGTTTAAAAGAAGGAAAATAGTGTGCAGTACAACACGGGTTATTCTTGTATAAGTCTATATGAATTTAGAATGTTTACCTTTTTGTAATTTTTAAACTCGCGTAGCCGTAACAGTTACACAAAATGAAAATGAAATACATCTTTTGTGAAGCATTTTAAAATTATCTCAATACATACATAGACGTTTTGCCTTATTGAGCCATTAAGCAAATAAGTGCAAAAAGACATATTACTTCCTATGTTATATGCATTAAGATAGATGAAATTTGACATGATAGGGAATAACTGTGCGTTTCAGAGTAAAAAGAATGATACAGATAGCACAACATGTTCACAAATTAATTTAGTTTTTCTGATGTCTTAAACGAATATTTCTATTAAGGTAATTGAAGAGGAATAATGATAAAAATAATAATAAAAAAATATCTGTTCAGGTAAAGTTTTGAATAATTATGTCATTTACAAACCCGATTAATAAAACAATAAGATCAATGCACCTATCTAAATAACATAATTAGAGTAATTACCAGCCAAAGGTGAGTATCCTAATACTTGGCCAACATCCCATGCTTTATGACTTGCAGTAAAGTGTCGACTTTTGATGGTGACCATACCAGATGACTGACATTTTGTTCAATACGTAAGGGGTTGCACTATATGCTTGCACTTGTTAGTAATACTAATATCAAGTATTATATAAATATGTTTTGTAAGTAATTACAAATTAATAAGAAAAGATGTAATCATGCAGGCCAAATTGGTTTTTAAAATTTACATCATTTATTCAGATTTAAAGCAGTGTCATACATTTTAGCATTTATATTGGAAGTCTTATCTAGACTGATATAAAAACTCAAAAACAGTTTACTTCTCACACGCTTCAAAGATAATGTGAATTATACTGATTCAAGAAAAGGTATAACGGATTGGTATGGACAGGCAGTAAACAGCGTCTATTTCCTTTGATTGTGTATGCGTAATTCAATATAAACACGATTTACATAATATTACAAGAAAATAGGGATATTAACATTGGCTGAATGAAAACAGCGTTTAAAGTAGCGTTAACGTTTGACACTAAATCGCCGACAATAGGACGATTCAATTAGTATCGCAAAAACAATTAATAAAATAACAGCCTTTGAAACATGAATATTTTGTTCTAACTTTATATTAAGTTAACGAAAACATACACATCTTCAGAGTTCAATACAAGTTCAATCGAAACAGGGAACTGTGAATATTTCCAGTGTTTGCATTTGGGAGGTTTGCATAATGAAGCGCTTGGGTTTACAAATGTTTACAGGAGTCGTAATGGTCAACATTCCGTCTTTAATGTTATATTTCATTTGTTAAATTGTCGCTTTTTTACAAGGTTATGTTCTTTTTGTAACTCTCCATGTGTATTACAAAATAGATAATTGTTCATAGAAAGCACATTTTAATTTTAAAAAACGAATAATACTTTTCTTTGTTGGCCTATTTGAATATGAGTGTTGTTTTTTTTTTTGTTTGTTTGAAAGTCAATCAATCTTCAGGATTGCTTAATCATTACTGTACATTATTATTAATACAACTTTGTTGTATTTCGACTATGATTGCTATCATCATCATTGCACAAAAAGAAACTAATCTCATTATGTTTACGATTACAGACGTTTTCCTAATCCATCCTTTATATTTGAGAAGAAACCACATTTCAAGGAAGTTTTTGTAAGTTATATATTTTTACATGTATTTCAATTCCCCAAAGTCACATACTTTTTTCTGTACAGTACTTATTATTTCAAATGCAATATAATTAATTTGAATGTCAACATATGTGTACAGTAGAAATACATTGATACTCCATGATAAAACTTAAAATATAGCAAAAATTACTGACCAGCAGGAAATTGAATAGTTTACAGATAATAATTCTTAGGATCTTGATAAAAGAAAAATGACCTGTTCGATCTAAAATTCATTGACTATTGTGAACACTGCAAATCATGAATGTCTATAATTTTAGTTGGTGCTCATGACGTTTTATGCATTACCAATAACTAGAGATGATATGTGTTGTCTGGGTTAAATTCTTGCTCTCAGTCATTACGATTGACGATATCTTTTTTAAAATGGCTGTTTTTAATTATTAGTATAGTTTATTACATTACAACTGTTCGATGTACTATTATACACAATGTGTTTCAGTATATTAACATTCCTGACACTGAAAGGGGAAAAGAACTCTTATTACACGATCTGCCTATACAATGGACAATGCCTGAACCTGAAGCAGTAATATGCATTACCGGAATAGATCATCAGTTCAACATAAAAGACAATTATAAATTGAAGAGAGATTTGATAAAAGCAGTCATAAGTACTGGTAAACTATTGTATTCAAATAAACACCAAAGTCCTTATCTAAATCCCTTGCACTTGCATAAATTGCATTTTTGTTTCAAGCAAACAGCTTTTAGAAAACAGTAACATAAAAACTGACACCTTGCACTCTGTTGACAATAACACGAATAATTAAAGACTACAAAATACTTTAATGTATAACATATGAGATGAACATATGCAAAGATTGTTCATACTAGTTATACGATATACATTGTTAGTGGCAAGAATTTAGTCTGAAACGATCAGTTTGGTGTGATCAAGTCTTAATCGACTGAATTTACTACAACACAAAAACTTGAAGACTTTCCAAATTGTCAAATTCCATTTTGATTAATATTGATTGCAGAAAGTTAAGATAACACAAGACTGACAATATTAATGTTTTATTACGAGATGTCAACATGATAAAGACGGCCTCAGCCGAAGTCAGACCTAGAACACAACAACAGGTTCAGATATATTAAGACCGTGTCTACATGTTTTTTTTTTTTTTAAACTTGGATGCAAACACGAGTGAAACTGTCCAAGTGTTTGTTAAGGGTTGTATCCCTTTTAAAATGATATCAAAATAAAAATGTGACGTTATTTTATCCTGAATCATGTTAATAATGTTTTTTACATTCTTTTAATATGGTTAACAACATAACAATTATTAATCAAAATAAATGTCACATGTTTAGAAAGTTAATGTTTTTGTCAGTTAATGTCAATTATTGGTCAATTAGAACATTCCATTGAACACAAATGGGAATAAAACTGGACCCAACATATTCATACACTGCATCTGTATACATTACAAACAAAACCATAACTTTTCAAGTGTATATTACATTGTTTATTTGTATGTTTAATTTTTAACTTGAGACAAAAGATTCTCTAAAGTCATTTATTTCTAGAATTGATCGCTTGTTATTTTTAAATGAAAAACATATTTTTAGATCATGTTTTATATGTTTGAATGAACTACTGAATTTATTTAAAAAGACAAAATAAAGTATTTTTGATTATTTCCATTATAACAATAAAGGGGCACTAGCTGTCAAATTCATGTTCACCGATTTGACTCAAATTCTCATATCTGATTTATAACATACTAAAACGTATATCCAAACTACAATATGTCTGAAATTAACAGTTAAGAAAGCACATACTCGATAGTATATATGTTTATATATCAGAATTTCCTTTGTATTTCAGTCTTGACGCCATCTAACATAAATATAAATAAATTGTAACCTCGTGTACTTGGATTATAATAGGTCTGTTTGATTTCATGGTGTAGGTTAGACAACAAGTTAATTAAATGTTTTACCTTCATAATAATGATTTCATTGTGGATCTAATCAGTCAACGAAATAGTTCATCTTTGTTTCACTTTTAATGAGGAGATTTTTTTTTTCATTTTAAAGGCTGAACACGACTTATGCATGCGTAACCAATCTCTAGTTAATGTTTCAAAGTGACGGTCACATAAATACGGATTTAATGAGGTCTAATTATCCACTTGCAGGTGAATAACTCATCAGCGATATTTATTTGCTTATCTTGACAAAACTGTACCAAATTGTCTTCTAAAAACGTATTATTATGATTTCATTATTTCACTTTTATTAATGATTTAACCAAACTAAAACATATTATAATTATTTATATATCTCGTAGCTAGAGCTTTTCAAGTGTATATTACATTGTTTATTTGTATGTTTTATTTTTAACTTGAGACAAAAGATTCTCTAAAGTCATTTATTTCTAGAATTGATCGCTTGTTATTTTTAAATGAAAAACATATTTTTAGATCATGTTTTATATGTTTGAATGAACTACTGAATTTATTTACTAAAACATATTATAATTGTTTATATATCTCGTAGCTAGAGCTCCTTTAACAAAATTTACTATTAGAAGTAAAATAATTTTAATGGAGAAATTAAAATTTTCCATGGTAACTTACATTTGAGATTTTTTCCCGTTAAAACTTTATTTTACCATGAAAAAAAAATGTATGTTCCCATAGAAAACCTTTAATTTTGCAATCAGTTTTTGAAAGTGCATATGACCTCCTGATGTGACATTTTTGAGAAGTGTGTTATTATTTTCTTATTACCATGCTATTGTTGAAAGAAGTTTGTAAACATCTTTTTCCAGTAACAAGTCAGATAAGCTAATTCCGGATAATTAATTTGTCCCACACAGTACTAAAGTCTAATTTCATCTATCGGTACATTGTTTTCAAAGGAATCATAAGGACTCGTCATTTGAACGACAATTTACTATCTGCATCGAACCAAGTCACTTGTTGTGTGACTCCCGTCTTATATATTTATTTACGAGTTGTAATTTAGAGTATTTAATCGATACTATTTTCTCCATATGTATCGAATGATTACGAAATGATATTTCTTTCTGTTTGATACTTGGCAGAATAATATCTTTGGACCCTATATCTTTAAAATAGAGTACGGTTTGTTGTCACGCTTGTGTTATACACTAAGTTCGATTAATATGAATGCAAGTGTTTAAGCTCTGATTGTAGACAATTAAGGTGGTACATAACACTACAGGGAGATAACTCTGTAAAAATCAACTGAATGTTTTAATCACGTTCTATTGTAAAGGAAATATTATGCTTCTCAATGATCAAAATAAGTGTTTGTCAAACTGCTATATATCCAAGAAATTGTCTTCATGAAGTGGTTGGTTCAATTCATTTGAAATAATTATATTTTTGACAAAGTGTCAAAGTTAATATTTTTCCAAATTTTATAATATTTAAACGAGCTAAATTAGTTTAGTCAAGGTGTTTGGTACAACCTTAAGTGAATTGAATTATATTTGAATTTAAAACGTATTAAGTATAAATTGCATGTCGCAAGCTTTTACTAATATCATAAGTTTCCCATGTATATAGTTAAGTGAGAAAAAAACAAGATATCGGAACACGCAGATGTTAGTAACTATAGCTCAATGTGTGACCTTCCAAACCAATGCACAACACTCATACAAAAAAGCAAGGAGACGGAAGTTAGAACAAACATTAAAGGAGTTATTTGTACCTATTTGTAGAATCCTGGATTGTAACATGTTGTAATGAATCAGGAGTAGTGCAGTTTATTGAAGAAGCTGTGAATGCGCATGTAGCTATGGAAAACTGTCACATTTCAATAGTTGGAATACTGCCGCAACGAGTATATGATGGGATGCAAGAAGTACATGTGAGAGCCCGTACATTTATATCATACAAATTAAATGCGTGTTACATACTTATAAAGTCCTCAATTTAACAGTTTTAATAATCTAAATTGACATTGATTGTTATGAGTTACAACTAATGACAAAAAATAAGAAAGACCGAAAGAAACAACATCTGATAAAACGAAAATAATAAGATATGTTGTCGATATATTGGCTCTCAATAATGACGACTTCAGTATGTAGACTGAAAAGGTTTATCATGCTGAACTGACTTTAAATAAAGCCTAATAACACACATTTATCAGGAAATTCACGTTTGTAAGAGATCGACCCTTCTTAAACTTCAGACAGTGTATGCATATTTTACATTTTACAATTGTCTGTTAATAAGAATTTTGATTTATAAATATCAAGTTACTTGTAAAATGTAAGATTGTAAGCTAGTGTTGTGAACCTATTTTCCTTTTCGTGCATATTCATTTTAAATATTATATACTTAGACTAAATTAAACTTATACATAACAGTCTGGAAATATTTTTTACTTTATTGTTTGCAAGTTTAAAAACCCCATCAAAGATTTTGCGATAAGGAGAAGAAACGAACCCCAATGGATTAACATCCCATGCATGTCAACAAATGATGCATTAGATCCAATGCATACACAGTTTATCTTCACCAACAATTTCGAAAGAAACCCGGCCGTAAGTGCTGTTACATGCAGAGAAGCCTTTGAACATTTCTTATCGAACATCAACATCACAGAAACAGGTATTAAATTATTGTTTATTGAGTTAGTTAAATACTTGAATGTCGTGGTCACGATTAGTGTTTTAGATACAGGAATAATCGTGGAATAAAAACTTTACATAATTGACATTCGTTCATTTTCAAGATCGACATAACTGCCAAATACAATACTAATACATTCGATGCATTTTACTGTTAATTTTCACTGAAAAGATCAATTCAAACACAAAACATGAGGAAACAAACTGGAATATTTAACAAGCGTGATGAATTCAACTTTCCAATTGTTTACTTTTATTTTTCAACAGAAAAATACCAACAAAATTCCGAATATAAATACCGTGGTATGCCATTACATTTCACAGTTTATGGACTTCACCGTCTATTTTCCAACTATGTGAACTTCACTAATATGACTAACATGACTAACAGGGTGTTCTGCATACACAAAAGCTACATTAACAGAGTCATGAGATGAAATGATTGATATCGATATCACAGGAGTGTTACGGTCGTCTTCGCAAATTGGTTAACTTGTGCGATATGTCTGTGTTACAACTCACTAGCGACATAATTTCGCGATCTCAGATTTTTAGACGTATGGTCGTAAATTTGATCAAGCTTTTCACTATAAGTGATTGTCGTATTTACTGAATACACGAATATGCATAGCAGATTATGTATGTAAAGTAGGATACGATTACCTCGTCGAAAGTATACAGATGTTCTAGTAATGGAACACACTTTCAAGATTAGAGACATACAATATGAAAATTGTAAATATTAAAATCAGGATGATAAATGATTATGTGTAAAAATATAGCATGCCCCTTCTCAAATAATTGACGGTGATTTAGATGCAATGTATATAATTATCTGCTCTCTGTTCATTCACAAATCCTTGCAACAACTCATAAAATGGGTCCATTTTTGTTCATTTCAATCAAAATTCCCATGTTGTATATAATTCGGACTAGCTTTCATCTCTTGCATTATTTATTTTTGATGTAGGATCTCACATATTCATATTTCCTCTTAAAGGTGAGCCTGAAACAATCTGTAATCATTTCGGAATAGAGAAACTAAAATCCTTCTCTAACAAATAAACACGCTTTCTCCGACCAGAATGTGTAATTGTTATTTCATGACAGAAAAAGGGGGTTGAAGATATCAAGGGAAAAAAACACGATCCAAATGTATTAATTAACAACATTCAAAGGTTATACCTATATCAATCTACCGAAAGTAATGTTATCAAGATTAAACACAATAAAGCTATACTTTTCAAGAACAATTATTAACAAATAGTGATAAAACCGGTTCAGCTGATTTCGCTCTCAAGCAAACTTTTAATCTACAACATGTGTAAGTGCAAATGGGTGCAGTCTTAACCTGTAATCAGTAGCAGACCTGTCTAGGGCAGACCTGTCCTTTGGACTGGTCAAAAGTAAACTTGTCCACAGGTCTGGTCTGGAGCAGACCTTCAATAGGTCGGTAGTAGTCCTCAACAACCAGACCGTAGGTCTAGCATTCCAACGACGAAGTTAACTAGCCTGTCTACTTAACATTGTTCAAGTTAACTTAGAAAGCAGTCAACAAGTCTGCACTAAGTAAACTTTGTTACAGTTTATGACTGCACCCATCTGTACAATGCATACATAAAAAGATAATAAAACAATGATTGGTGAGGTAATAATAGTTTGTTTATACTGAAATATGATTTGTTTATTTAAATATTGCAAAAAACTATGCACTTGAGACGAATTTAAATCATATATCAGGTATTTTGACTTGGGAATGTTGTGAGAATCAGAACTATTTTATTTTTTGTTATCCATGTCATTTTTTTTTTTTATTTAAGTTTTTCATACGATATTGTCTTATTAGCATTCCGTATTTTTTTACTTTTTACAGATGATGAGATCGAGACACGAAAAATATTGCCGGTTGTTTTGGTACTAATTGAAGGAGGAATCCATGCATTAAGGACAGCTTGGAGTGTACTGAAAAATGAAAATCATGTTGTAGTTATTGATGGTTCAGGAGGAGCTGCAGATTTTCTTGCAGCTTGTTGTGATCGTGCTTCTAGGTTTTTTACAATCTTATTTCCACAACAAACTTAGTCATGTTGAAATATTAAACGATCATTTCATTATGTTTTGCACTCTCTTGAGGGCACGTTACTCTCTCAGATACGGTTAGAACAGTTTCTAATGACATCAAACAGTTTTCTCAAAACATTTATTATAATTTGAAATAAACTCTACATAATATTTACTGTCTTTGTAACTTTGGGTGATTAGAAATTTGCAATAAAAGAACAAAACCTAAATCAGTGTTAAACGAGATGTGTAATTTGGAGACGATTCATTTGAAAACTAATAAACAATAGCAATAACAAAGAAAGGGAACGAATACGGAAAATAGTCTTCAATTAACTTTATTACAAAACGGGAGGTCAATATTTTGTTAAAACATACAAAAAAAAAAGATTCACAAAGACGATGACTACAATCGAAATAGGAAAAAGGCAAAACTGGTCAATCTGTTTAATTTTGCATTATATAAAATATTAATCAAAAAGATAGAGTTACAACTTTCTATTTTGTATCAATTATTATTAAATATAAAGCGTCAACAGTACTACTTTGACAGAACTATAAAACTATTAACAGTGAAACAGTAAAAATGATATTTTCCAATGATTAAATTAAAAAATAGTCGCATAGGAAACATTAGTCTAAAAAGGTTAAGACAGGTTTACTATTAAAAACAATAACATGAAACTGTTAGCAGTAAACAAAAGCTATTCATAGCAATTATGAGTACTTAAAGGTCACATGTTGCATGTACAGACATGTGTATGATAGGTTTAACAAACGGTGTATAAAACAGTCCATTGATCAATTACACAAAACAAAACTAACTATGTATTTTAAACTGATATTGAAACATTCACAACAATACTTAAAGTCATTTAGCGAAGAAAATTTTCTATCTTGTACATTAGGAAGATTGTAACTTACATGGAATGAACAAGACATTATTTTTAAAATTCGACATGTAAATATCTTGTCATATTACCTATTAACATACAAACATAAGTAAGTTCACAAGACTTGATTTCAACCGGTAAGGATATTTTTGATAACTGTGTTTATATTTCTTTCAAATATATGTGCTTAATAAATGGTTTGCTGTACAAATAGTTCCCCTTATGAAGAGACAGAATTAGGAGATAACCTTCTTGTTCTAATACATTTGTTCTAATGAATATCTATTAAACTTTTACCAATACTTTTTTATTGTTTTTACAAAGGAAGAGTAAAGGTGAGATACCAGATAAAACATTAAAAGAAATAATCGAGGAACACTTTGACGATGACTCCGATATTTTACTAAGAGAGATAATCAACTGTCAAAATGGTGTACGCAGGACGACAAAAAAGAGAAGGTACGAAGTCTTTACATGGAATTTGTACGGTTTTTTTTTAACGCTTTAGTTTGGTAAGCCATAAAACTAGCTTCAACCCAATATTTTTTATCTTTAAAATGTCCTACATGTATACCAAGCCAGAAATATGGCAGTTGTTATCAAATAGCATGTGTTTGCGTTTGTTTTTGTTTCAGTTCAGTGTTTCTGGTGTTCCATTGTTTTCCAGTTAGAGTGAATGTGTTTCCCTAGGTTTTTGTTTATGACTTTTTTTTTTTTCTTTGCTTGATTTATTTATGACTATCGAACAACGGTATTGTACTATTGCATTTATTCATTGTTTTCGTATAGATTAGACCGTTAGTGTGTCTGTTTTTTCACTCTGGGCAATGTTGGGCCCTTTATTGCTTGTTGTATTGTGTGAACCAAGGCTCCGTATTGAAAGCCGTACTTTGACCCATAATCGTCAAATGTTTATACATTGTTACTTGGATAGAGAAATGTCTCATTGGCACTTTAACCACATCGTTGTATTTATTATGACATTATGGTATAATATATTTCGATGAATTCAGAAACAAAAATCCCCTTAACAAATACCATTACTTTTATATGATGTTTAAAAAAGGATTTAGGTATATGTGCTTGAATTTTTTATCAAGAAAAACGATGCCAAGGTCGATGAAATCGATGAATTTAATAGATTTACATCTCTGCTTGAATCTCGGATGGCTTGTAAACATTAAGTCTTTCTTGTCGGGAAGTCAACTATTTTTGTCAGGATTTAAGTGGTTGAGCATGTCCACGAACCTTTGGTTTACGTTGAATGAATAGTTTGTTTATGACCATTTAACATGTTTAATTGTTTCCAATTAAAGTCTATAATATCAAAGTATCGACTAATAATTAAGTCAATTAAGGAGGTTGACTGCATTAAATGTATATTCTATGTACTTTTTGTCTTTTCTTTCTGAAGGTCTATAGCATAATGTCAATGTGAATTACCTTGTATGATCTACTTGTTATTCAATGATCATCTAAATATATTTGCTATGTGTACATATTGCCACTGAAGGTTTTTTTTTTCTACCATTAGAACGGCTGCATGCCGATTCGTAGTGTTTTCCCTGTGGGGAATGAAATAATTAAAAATAATCAAGGTCATTTGCGAATATCTGGTTTGAAAAATTTAACGAAGTGATGATGTGCTTCTTCATTGTTAAGTGATACGTTTCTAGTCCCCTACACGATCTTTTTTTAAATGTGTGTGTAAAGCAAGGCATTTTAGCTCATTTTTTTATTTCTATTTTGTAGATTCATGTTGTTTCGCTGGAGAAAAATACTAATGGAGTAGACGAGATTATTCAGGATACTATGTTCGAAATAAACAATGGTAACAAAAACAAATTTTAGCGAGACGGATATAGAATTAGCCTGTTACATTCTGATTGCATTTTAGAAATTATAAGTGTGATCTGAATGATTGTGTAATCGATTCAATATATAATATTCAGATTTCTGTTGAATTACCATTCTTCCGTAGTTTAGTATTATTCTGTCTAATATATATGCGTTACTTTTTGTTTTGTTAGAATACCATAAATGGAAACTCGACAAAGAAAAAGGAATGAAAAATAAAAGTGGTTTGAAAACCAATGCAGTCAAGGAACAACTGAGACTTGTTGCAAAATGGCAAAGATGTGACATCGCAGAAAAAAAGATTTTTATAGCCAAAAACCGAATCCAACTTACCTGTTTACAGGTACATTTGTAAACTTTACTTATAAAACACATGCTAATATGGTTAGTTTGTATTTATTGTAAGGCAAAGTAGCATTTGTAAACGAAGGCTTGCCCCCGGAGACATTGACTTGATTTTATGTTTAATTGTATGACTATACATTTCCTGTTGTCTCATTGGATAAGAGCTTATGAAATCCTCTGAGATATACCAATACATTCACCGTGGCGACATTCACGTGAGATAAATATATGAATTGGAACAACGTCGTTGTGCCTTACTATAGATATTTGAAGGCAACGTCAATAACGTTGGTTTGTGACATCATGTATATTCCCATTTTATTTTATTATTTTCTTGTTTTCGCCTTCTTTTACGAGGAGTTTTTTTCCTTCTTTTCCTTTTTAAATATTGCAACGCAGATGTTGTAGTTAGTGTAAAAACCGTGAGCAGTTTAAAAAGTATCTTGGGCAAATTCTAAACAAGTTTAGAAAGATAAAAGGTCATATAATAAAACAATTGTTGACTTTAAATTTCAGTTGACACAATGTTTTCTCAACGCCTAAGATATCCATTCACCCTCGGTGAATATCAAAATTATTTGGTAAATTGTTCTCTGCCATTGTTTTTAAAAGTCGAAAGTCCATTATTGTATAACATGTTCAATGTCGCTCTGTTTGCCAATAAGGCCTGTGATGCCCAGTGGTCTAAGTAGTTCTACTTCTGTAATCAATATCCAGTCAACACTGCGGTCGTGAGTTCAAACCCAGCTCGTGCAGGTGCACTCGACTCAAATCTTAATTGACTAGGATTGTCAGTTTTCCTATCGAAGGTCAGTGGTTTTTCTCCGGGCACTCCTCCGGCTTCCCCCACCGATAAACACTGACCGCAAAGAATAGCCCAAATGTTGCACTTAAAAGTTGCGTTAAAACATCAACAATCAATCTATGTATGCCAATTTTGACAGGAGTTTCTTTTTTTTTTCAATTTGCAGAAACTTGACAAAAAAAGGATGGACGAGTTGCAATTTGAAATCAGAAAAGAAATCAAATATGTTAAGAAGAAGTATACCGAATTGCATTCAAGATATTTTCCAGAATATTATAAGAAATTTCAGGAGAGTACAAAGCAGTTCGAGGAGGATACATCACAGGTATCATTATTTTATCTAATAAGTGTACTATCAAAATAAACACGTTTAAATTTATTACAATGACAATTGTCGTTGGAATTTAAACTAGTAGTCCTGCAGATTGGTGAACTAATTGTGGGTGTGATGATAAAAGCACCAAGATTGGCATGGTAGTAGTTCTGTGTGTTTTATAAAATATTGACTATGAACCAACCTTGCAATTTCAATATTGCGGCTTTTTGCCAAGATGGCCGCCATAAAATATCAAAATCAGCATATATCACTTGTATAAGGTCAGCGTCAAGGCCAATTTAGCAATTTTGACAATCGAGAATGGGGTTTTGAAAAATATAAGCTATAGACCCATCTTGTAATTTCAAAGATAGCCGCCATAAGATATCAAAATCTACAAATATCACTTCTACAAGACCAAATTTGGAACGCTAGTTGCAGTGGATGCTTCAAACAATATACCTATGGAGCCAACTTGAAATTTCAAAATGGCACCATTTTCCAAGAAGGCCGCCATTAGATATCAAAATCAACACATATATCTTATATAAGGTTACAAAGTGTTTTGTTTTGACGTACCATTCGTAACATCAAGTGCCCTTTGATACCTACTGTATGCAACATTTTTATACTTAGGCCAAACAACAATCGAATATTGATGAAGAAAGCATAGAAAATCGTAACTACGGTACCATTCTTGCATAAAAGTAGTCTACAGCGAGGGATCATGTGTAGATACTGGCGTTATTCCAATATTTAAGCTAGAATTTAGTAGAATAAACACTTCTCGAGTGGAACTGTTTTCTTTATGATAAGATGGAAGAGGCAGGACATAATAATAATCTTAACAAAATTGCAATAATATGATGTTTGGTATGCCATTAGCAAGGCAGCTGCTCACTTCTCCTGTTCAATGATTATTTTGATGATGCAATTAAACAGGCAACCGCAACATAATTGTATCACAACGATTTGTGAATAAGCTGCGCATAAAGATAGTTCAAAAAGACGTGATGTAGGCAAAAGTCTATCCCACAGACATCAAACACATTACTTGATTATCTATTGAGCAAATTTACAGAAGCAATCGAATTATTCCCTGAGAAAACTTCGACGCTATCTATTTCAAAGTTACTTCTGTTTTATTATTTTATAATACTAAATTCAACTCAACATGAGCCACACCTTGATGTATCTGACCCTTCGACTAGTTGTAAGGACCAGTAAAGGAGGTATTAAATGACAAAATGTACATTTATCATTGATCGTTTATCTATGATCCAATTATCAATGTACCTACAGTGACTGTACTTGAAGATTTCATCTATGAAACATTCAGTATTTAATATGTGGATCCTTTCGCAAATACTGGTTGTTAAACAACAGTAGCCGCGGACAACAGGAGACCAACTACAGCTTACAAATTGTCACATAGAAACAAGTTAACATTTTAATATTTCAGCAGTTTTTTAGTCTAACCTGGATAGTTCTTCGGGATCAAATGCTTTGAAACTTTAACCAAAATATTAGGCGCCAACACAACTGTTCGTAATATTGCGATAACTTAGTAACTAATAACATGAGTATGGACTAAAAATATCCAAGCACTAACAAAATATAACGCTGCGTTTCATACTTTCATCTAGTAAAAATTGTGTTACGGACATCCAATCCGTCAATTGTATAACCAAAAGTACATGTATGCCAACCTGGTAAAACTAGTCACTTGTGCAACGCTATCCTGTCATTGTATACACAAGATAAGAACATGATAACATAGCTATTAAGTATGTCTGGATATCATTCCACGCAGTAAAGCCAAGACAAATGTCCACCTGCCTTTAAATATCAGTTTGCATTGAATAATATTTCAGGATGAGATCAATTCTGTCACTTCGACATGTTCGATTCGATATTCTATATATAAAATCCAGCCAAATGGTAATTGTTTTTCTAGACATGTATCATTTTTGTATGTGCTGTTGCCAAATCGGAACAAATGGAACCGGGTAAACATATTTTAGCACAACAAAAAGTAGTTCTGCTTCAGGTATTCATATAGGAATGGCATTTTTGAGAACCTTACGCGACTTTTTGTTAGAAAGCAGTAATCTATGTAACAGTCAAAGAATGAAGTAATAAGGAAAAATTGAGTCCACTTAACCTCGACTGATCTGTAACTTTAATGAATGAACTGTTGTGGGATAGATAGACAATTGTTTCTGATGTATAGAATTGTAATTATACTGTTTATTCAGTAGTTTAGTGGTTCTTCGCATTTTCTCATCATACTTATCCTAATACCCGTTTGCGATAGTATGCAATGTAACTATACAGTTCAAGTGTTGTAAACCTGATTTGGAAATTGTAAATGTAGATCAAGCCATGAATAGAATTACACACATGTAAAAATGGAAGATTTGGCAATCGTATTGAATGTTATTAATAATATCGCACTAATACAGCGTATACATATTGAGAAATAGACATAGTACCAGTGAAAATACACCTACTTCATGTAATTGCAGTAATTCCGAATACATTTATGGACCCATTTCCCATGTTATAACAGGAGATCTTAACATCGTTCAAGACCGAGAGTTAAAATCATTCCTCAGTAAAGGACCTAAATATCGTCCTCCGTCAATTATTTATTGGAATGAGTGTCGTAATATCATCCACGACTCACTCCATACTTACTGTTTGAAATGGATAAAACGGGAAAAAGCTGACAAAAAATCTTTGGACTCTTTTTTTTTAAATCAGTAATGAACATAGTTGATATACGTATTCAACATTTTAAAGAACATTTTACTCTTAACAATAACCACAATAAACCTATTTCTCTTATCAAACATAAACTAAAAGAACTAGCCAAGGAATTTGTTTTTGTCCCGGCCGATAAAGCTGCTAATAATATTATTATTGTTTGACGTAAATTTTACATTGAGGTTCGGAAAAAAGAAATCACCAATTCACCAACATTCCAACTGACTCCATTTTCAGAAAACGACATCTGTAACAAACAAAAACTTTTAGCTACCGCTTTACAAGCAGAACCAAATACAATGAAAGTCCCAACTATGTGTTGGCTTCCGAAGCTACACAAAACACCTTACAAATATAGATTCATTTCGTCTCCAAGCCATTGTTCCACTACTAAATTGTCTATTCTTCTTACCAGTACACTTCGTACAATCAAAAACCTGATAATAAATTGTTCAAATAAGGCATTCGAAAATAGTGGAATTAATTAATTTTGGAGTGTCAAGAACTCGTTGGAAGTACTTGATAAATTGCATGCTTTATTGGTGATTTTGAATCTGTTCAAAGTTTTGATTTGTCTACCCTATATACCACATTGCCTCACATTCTCATTAAGAAAACATTCACACACCTAATTAAATGGGCATTTAAAAAGTCAGAATGTGAATATATATGTTCAAACTCTTTTAGGTCATTTTTTAGTAGCAATAAACAAAAAACTATGTCAATTGGACATGCTTTGATACTATATATGCCCTTGAATTTTTACTAGATAACATTTTTGTTCGCTTTGGAAATTCCGTATATCGTCAGGTTATCGGAATTCCAATGGGGACTAATTGTGCACCACTTATTGCGGACCTTATTTTGTATTGCTATGAGTTACAATTTATGACAAAAATCAGCAAAGACCCATCGAAACAACATCTGATACAGAAATTTAATAATACTTTTAGATATTTGGATGATATTTTGACTCTCAATAATGACGACTTCAGTATATATACTAAAGAAATTTATCCTGTTGAACTTACTTTAAATAAAGCTAATTCTAACAATGACCACTGCCCCTTCCTCGATCTTGATATCTATATCATTAACGGAAAGCTTAATACTAAAATATATGATAAAAGAGACGATTTTTCATTTCCTATCGTTAATTATCCATTTTTAGATGGTGACGTTCCCTTGTCACCATCTTACGGTGTTTATATATCTCAACTTGTACGATTCGCTCGTGTATGTAACAATGTTTTAGAGATTAACGAGAGAAATTTATGTATTACTGAAAAATTATTACGCCAGGGTTTTCGATATCACAAACTAGGCAAAATATTTACTAAATTTTATCATCGGTATAAGGACATCATTCGTAAATATAGCTCAACATGCAGACTTCTTATACGTTCAGGTATTTCACATCCAATTTTTTATGGAAATATTCTTCATAAAGCACAAAAATGTCAGTATTCACCTCTGAAGCTAACAAAATCTTTAAATAGACTTATTAAGAAGGGATATAGTTACGATACTGTTGTCAGGTCATTAAAGATTGCATATTTTGACGTTAATATTGATTCACTTATAGAGTCTTTGCATCGGCACTAAACACATTTATTTAAAAACCAGTTGTTGGCATGACACGGGTTATGTTCTTCTCATATATGTTATGATGGTATGATACTAAACCCCAAACGGGAAGGATTGTGCCTGATATTCATATGATGAAGACATAATCTTTCAATCAGCTTAATTGAAGTCTGGAGCTGGCATATCAGTTAACTGCTAGTAGTCTGTTGTTATTTATGTATTATTGTCATTTTGTTTATTTTCTTTGGTTACATCTTCTGACATCAGACTCGGACTTCTCTTGAACTGAATTTTAATGTGCGTATTGTTATGCGTTTACTTTTCTACATTGGCTAGAGGTATAGGGGGAGGGTTGAGATCTCATAAACATGTTTAACCCCGCCGCATTTTTGCGCCTGTCCCAAGTCAGGATCCTCTAGCCTTTGTTAGTCTTGTATTATTTTTAATTTTAGTTTCTTGTGTACAATTTGGAGTTTAGTATGGCGTTCATTATCACTGAACTAGTATATATATTTGTTTAGGGGCCAGCTGAAGGACGCCTCCGGGTGCGGGAATTTCTCGCTGCATTGAAGACCTGTTGGTGACCTTCTGCTGTTGTCTGTTCTATGGTCGGGTTGTTGTCTCTTTGACACATTCCTCATTTCCATTCTCAATTTTATAGTAGTAAACCTTATAAACATATGAAAGCTTTAGGTTAGGGAATATATCGGCCTTTTACTTGTAGTGAATGCAGATGGAATATACCCTATTGGATATGTATCACAAAGGTATCATCAATTTAGAGTGACCTAAAAAATTGTGGTTGAAAGATATAAAAACGATAGATAAAAATGTCCGAGGACAATGATGTTATGTTCGTTGCTTTTTCAAATGTGATGAAGAGTTGTAAAATGACTTAAAAGGCTGCCCTTGATAAACATTTTGAAAATTGCTGTAAAAATATGTTGTTGTCTAAATGATAAAGAAGATGAGGAAGACACCATGACATCTGAACATCATTAGAAAAACTAAACCAGACACTAGCAAGGATAAATAAACCCGAAAAGACTATCATCAAGCAGGCCACTCTACAAAAAATCTAAATATTGAGCAACGTCAACCGCTGGGGTTTATCCCAGGTGCTCAAGAAGTGCCAGCTGCCTATGTGCTATTGTTTACATAGCTTTATGAGTCATATCCATAATTAATAAATTTAAAAATGTTGGTATATGAAAAGTATCATAAATTTAACTTAATGTGAAATTTTGAAATGCAATATGGTTTCCCATGTCTGTATGATAGATAAACACTACTTTCATCGGTTGACAAGACGTATATGAATAATACAACAATGACAGCATAAACAGCACGAGTCCCTTTTAATCAAAACCCGTGATCAATGCAGGTGGTCCAGAAGGTGGTGTAGTTTCTGGCAGTATGTTACCAAGAGTTGTGTTACTCAGTAGAAAATCGGTAACATAGTATGAACAGCAAACAGCAATTCGAAGAAAGAAATGAATATGACAAGATCCTTGTCTTAGTTTAGATCATTTTCACTTTTTAGCGGCTATTTTGAAACTTTCCAACATTAAAAAAAAGTTTTAAAGTTTAATATATCGCCATGACTTACTAGAAACGTTGGATTATATATTATATGCTTTGAAAAGATTTCATTTGATTATTATTAACTGTAATTTATACATGGTGGTGAAATTTTGACTGATTGGCAACCATCTTAAAAATGACCACCATATTGGATTTTTCAGGGTGGGTACATAGCTTAAATTGACTACCATATATAGATCTACAATTGTACAAAGTTTCATGCTATTATCATCAAAATAACAATTCTGCTAAAAATATGCATCAATCAGCTGGACTATAGGTAGAACAAGCGTTTACATCTAATTTGGATCTATAAAAATACTCATAGACAGAATTATAATGTCATAATTAAACAAAAAAGCCATTTAACGAAAAGTTACTTAACTGATACGTCATACTAACTTGAAAAAGCTAGCCTGTTCATTTTTTGAATCACATTTTCCGGTTTTGTCTGATAGAACTAGAAATTACTTGACAATTATACACTATTATTCGGACTTTTTAATTCATTTTGTATTGCAATGTCATATTGCCCAGCGTTCAGTTCTAGATACAGACCAACTTGTTTAAATATGTGAATAGACAACACAGTTTATATTTGTACAATGATGAAAAAAGAAGATGTGGTACCATTGGCAAATGACATAGAAATAACAATTATAGGTAACCCTACGGCCTTCAACAATGAGCAATATCGCATAATCAGCTATTAAAGTCTCCGAAACACCAAATGTAAAAAAAATCAACTTAAGTTTCAATATTGTACACTTTAGTTCACAATCAGTTGCCATTATTGTTTATTCCACGCGAAAATTTTCTTTTCAGTTCAAGGAAGTAACCAAGGCACACTACTTCTCGGTTTTATCAACTTCGTTTGATGAGATAGTTGAACATATGCCACTTTATTATTTTAAAGATCCAAAAAAAACTGAGTTAAAGTTAAAGAAGATAACCAAAGAGTTAGAATTAGTTGATGTAAGTTCGATAATAAATATATTCTAATAACGATGATTGAAAGTTGTTTTTCAGGAAATGAGATGTGATTTGATTAAAAGACTGATAAACGCACAGCTACTTCAATTGCTAGCAATTAGCAGGTGACAAGCCGTCGAATTAAATTCACATGCAGATAATTAGATAATTATTGTAAAAAACACACTGATAAAGGAGTTTAAGTGTATTTGAGTGTCTTTCGCTTGTCCTGATTGTGATGTTGCTATTTGTTACATTGTCGATGAGGTTTTATTGATGACGTTGTTAACTAGGTATCTCCATTGCCTACTGCTAAATTAAAATTAAAAAGTAAACAATGACATTGCATTATAAAACCTCATCGACAATGTTACTAGTAATAACTTCTCAGTATTGACTAGTCATTGGATGGATGAAAGCAGTAGACATTTAATCCTATTTGAAATATGATCGTAAAACGTCATAAAAGTAACGTAACAAATCCAAACGTCATATTTAGTTCTGTTTGGACGATAGGCGTATGTCAGATTGATTCATTTATGTACTACTAACGTATTTTTTATGAAATTTTGCAGGCAAATTAATCCTTTATAATTAATTTTTCGTTGGTCTTGCGTTACCTCTCCATGTCAGTAGGATTTCCAGTAGGAGAGTTGTCTCATTGACACTCATACAACATCTTCTTATATCTAACTACCGCTTGGAGGACATTAAGAATTATTACTTCGGGAACAATTAAGGTTTTTTTCAATCCAATGCTACCTAAAAGTAAACACTGGTTCCAAAAATATATCGTTTCTAGATGTCAAACATTAGTGAAACAAATGACATCATTAGTTGACATAAGGTTACTTTCGGCTGGTTTTTTCAAGGTATTATGTTTTCAAACCTTATTCTAAAGACCCCATGGTTTGCATCGCTTAAGCAAAACTAAAAACCCAGAAATGTAATATTTTGTTGACCTTGACTACAATTGCAAGGTCGTGAAGCATTCATTTTATTTCAAGAGCTTCGGAAGCAGATTTGTCTTAGAACTACAGTATCGCTAGCCAGTCATTACTAAGTTAGTGAGTTCGAATCCAACATGTGACAGATACGTCAACTCCAATCTTAACTGACCAGGATTGATAGATTTCTTATTATAGGTCAACGTTTCTCTGGGTGAATTTGGCTTCCTCCACAGATATATACTGACCGCCGTCGAAATACACAATGCATATTTCCGTGCGGTTAATAATGAAGATATTGCTTACCGAGCCCGAAGATCTATATACGATCAAGGTAAACTTATCGATTCTTTTAATACACTTATTCGCAACGGTTACCAACTCAACACCGTAATTAGATCTTTGAATATTGATTTATATGTATTAATATTGATTTTGTTATAAACAAATTTAAGGACACTCAATGCTCTACCAGCTGTCGATACTTCTATCTTGTCATTGCACACGATCATTTTTTCTCCGACTGTAAATGACGCTTTGACACTAAATCCATTGGATGTTTCATGTGTACTGTTTGACATTTTAGACTAAAATGTATCGATAGTTTAGTAACTGTCACTAGCTGTCAGTAATTGCGAGTATTATCAATTTTGTACCTATAGAAGTAGTACTTTGGGGGGATGAATACGTACCCTGCCACTGGTCTTCTTTTTTGTTATATGTTTTTCTGCTTTGTATCGATCTGATAAGTTAAATTCCTTTCTCCTAATAATTATAGTTTTTGTACTGTTACACCCTTGTCACAGGATCGGGGAGAGTTGGCGCCGTAAGGCTAGAATTACCTCGTCACATTCTGTATGTGACTGTCCCAAGTCAGGAGCCTGGAAATCAGTTGTTGCTGTTTGTTGCTGTATAAAATGTTTGTCTTTCGTTTCTCATTTGGTAATTTTTACAAGTTGTCCTTTTGGGGCGTTAAATAGTTGACTGTGCTGTCTGAGTTTTTGCTCATTATTTAAAGCCGTTCGTTGACCTATAGGTGTCGTTTCTATGTCATCTTATATACAAGTTTTCAGGGAGAAAATCATATTAAACATTTGTTATAGACAATGTAAGGTTTGAACTAAAATGTGACTCATACAACTGAATGGTTTAGCTAGCTATAAAACCAGATTCAATCCACCATTTTCTATATAAAAAAAAAAAACGCCTGTACCAAGTCAGGAATATGACAGTTGTTATCCATTCGTTTAATGTGTTTAAGCTTTTTATTTTGCCAATGGATGAGGAACTTTCCGTTTTGAATTTTCCTTGGAGTTCAGTATTTTTGTGATTTTACCTTCTATGCTATCAGTTACGACATAATGCAACTTTAGTAAACCGTCTTTCGTTGATCAATAAACGATTTATTACGGATGATACGTAAAAGTTGTATCTGCTTTTAGGAAAATAATATTATTTGTATCCTCAAAAAGAAAGCTGTAAATTTTCTCGTTTGTTTCATGTTCTTCAACTCGGGTACTTTTATAGCCGACTATATGAAATGATGACACAGAAAGTTAACGTTTGTCAACTTACAGGAGAATGATGCATTTACGTGAAAACTAAACAGTTTTATAGTCATTATAACAGTCATGTTTATTCTTGGTACAAACAGCCCAATGATGCAGTTATTACCCTTGATACATTGTTCCATTACATCATTGAATTCAAGGTAGAATTATCATTATAAGGTGTAGTACCACCATTGATTTTCCCTTTTTATTCTTTGTTAAATTTGCACTTTAAAATAATGAAGATTTATCTTTGTTTCAAACAAGGAAATACTTGGCATGAGTAAAGTTTTATCCTGTCCAGTACTGTAGACAACATTTCACAAAACATTGCATTGCATATAAGAAAATAACTATCACTGCAAGTTAACCAATCAAGTGTTTACCTGTTTTTGTCTGTGTACAAGCTGTAGTAACCATGTAACCGCAAGTTTCCGCAATATTCGATAGAAACACCAAATTAAAACACAATAGTGCTTTTAAACAACCAAGAGATATGTTTATGACCCAGAAATGTTTACTGCAATGAGCTGTAGGAATAATTTTTTAAAACTGTCAAGTTCAAGGAAATATTATTTTCGACCCTTTTCCGTATGTAACCGGATGTGACGTACTATGAATTGGTGGTATTACACTTAAAAGCAATCCAAAGTACAATATGTTTTGTAATGCATTTCGTCCAAATGCAGATTATATTCTTCTTATGTTTCTGATGATATTTTGATAGCGTGACAAATGCTTCCTCCTTTTGTTTTACCTTTCTTTGTGTCAATTATAAAATAATTTGATTTTTCTTTCTTAATAGAAAACACGTAATAAAAAAGGTATAGCCGAATTGGGAAAACAAATTGGAAGAGTATTGGAACAGGTTAAAGAGGACTATCGTTTCCTTCCAAAAAAATTATCAGCTTCTTATAATGGATTCAAAAAGGCTATGCTTCAGGTTTTTATATTACGTTTCAATGTTTAAAATCCAGAGTTATCGTATAAATTCAGAATTGAAAGAACAGGAGTTTACATCTAAAATGTAGTAATATCATTACATGGATCGAATAATTGTGTCATCATTAAACAGAAAGTCATTTAACGACAACTTTCTTAAATAATCCATGATATTTATGTTATCAGCTAGCTTTTTTCTTCTTTTATCATAGGTATAGGTATTTAAAAATAAATGTAGTATGTCTTGAAACTTATATATTTGACTAGATACGTATTTTAATTTTAACACGACAACCAAGCCATTCTGTTAAATAAGAGCAGCTAGATGTTACAAAGCATGCATGTATATTTCATTTTTTTTTTTCGTATTTGGTTGTCTTTCGACAAATAATTTAAATGACAAACCTCTTGTTAATGTACATTGCCATATCATCAAACTTTCAGTGGTGTGTAAACACTACTCGTATCCAGACTCTTAAAAAAACATCACATATTATATTTGTGTTAATTGCATGTATGATTACTATAGCTGTACAAGCTGTTGTAATTGCTGTTAACTCCTATCAATCATTTTCATTACAGTTCAAGGACGTTGACGACAACAAGGCAAAATACTTCTCAGATCTATCACAATCGTTTGAGGTTATAATGGATCATATGACTGTTGATGCTTTGAATGGAAACAAACATAAGTTAAGGGAGATAGTAAAAAAAATCGTTGATGTAAGTTCGATATTATACATATGTTATTAATGATCAGGATTATATTTTATAAATGTATGCTTTTGATTGAGAGTTTTGTATTATCTCATTTTTCATAAAGAAAGACGTGATTGGATGATCCTACATCGATAAACGCGTTAGATTTTAAAAAGTTATTGGCAATAGAACGGCTTAAAAACTGAGCAAGTAAGATACTAATTGTTCCCAAAATAAAGCACTTACAACAATGTACAATGTTAATCATCCATTGTCGGTCTGATTTACAGTAAACACAACGATACACAAACTTTATGAACATTGATAGGCTTCATAATGGTAGTAATGGGATATCTATATATTTTCAAACTAACATCAATCTTCAAATATAGTACGTTACTTATTAGATAAGCTTTGAATTCAAATAAAATTGAGAATGGAAATGGGGAATATGTCAAAGAGACAACAACCCGACTACAGATCAGACAACAGCCGAAGGCCAGCAATGGGTCTTCAACGCAGCGAGAAAATCCCGCACCCGGAGGTGGTCCTCAGCTGGCCCCTAAATAAAATTGTGTAGTTTGAAATACCAATAAATGTTATGTTCGTAAGAATTGAAACGTTATTCAATCATCGAAACAAAATATTTATGAATAATATATCTTCATGGAGTTCTTTTTTGTGACAAACATAATTTTATGTAATTTTTTTTTCTTTTCTTCAAGAAACGTCACATTCGATACCACGTTTTATTGTTTTGGGATTCTAGCCATAAATTTATGCCATGTATAACTCATCATATCACATGATGAGTCATATCTATAAGGCTATTTTCTTTTAACAAGCTACTACGTTCTGTGCATATCTGCTAAGACATGTGTTTTTGTTTATTAATGTATATTATTCAAGTGACAGAAATTTGTTATATAAAAAGTCTAAAATTTCTTAAATATATTTCAAAACAATTTATGTTGTCATTATTTTTTTTTTTTTAAATCATGAATTGTCATTTTAATTCATTAGTTTATATATCTAAAAATAGATTGTTTTACAGAAAATTAGCACAAAAGAAATTTTAAATTTTTTTTTTTTGTCAGAATCTTTAGATTCAAATAATATTTTATTAAATATTTAAAAAAGAAATAACATATAGAAATGACTTTTGATGTTCTGCTGTGTTTAAATAAAAACAAATGTTGATTCATTCCAACTTTTCGTTTGGTAAATGTGTTTGTATTTTTTCTCTCTGGGTGATATTTTGATAATCAAAATCAGTTAATTTCATCTTTTTCTTATTAGTCCCTTATCCATTAAATAAAATTGTCAAAGTCTGTGTATTATACTCTTTAAAGGAGCAATAGCGTTGGTTAAATTTATCACATATTTCAGATAAATTTCAAAACAAATATATATTTACAATTCTTTATCTGCGAACATGAACTGGCGCAATCCTTTTGTCCAGAATAACATTTTTTTGTCTTGTGCCGAAAGATTTTACTGCACCCACATTGGAACATTTGTCTACGGCAGCATGTTGAAAACGTATGTCCTATTTTCCAGCAGTTGAAACACACACTCTTTGTCGAAGATTGTTTGCATGTGTTTTCTGTAATTGTTGGCACGTGATCACTGAATGATTCGACAAGAATTGATTGGCAACGATTTGACAAGTGTACGCAATCTTTTCATACTAGAGTGTTATTGAGTAAACACATTTAGTCGAACGACTTTTGTTTTACATTTCATAACATTATATTTATATTTCTTTGACACTATTTGAATTATTTCAGTAACGTATGTCACATCAACATCTCTTTGGGGTAGTTTTTCTGACAAGTAAATCGTCGCATTCAGGGAATCTTTTTTCAATAAGTTTCAACAATGTTTATACATTCACATTCTTTGAGTTCAGGATCTGTTTATAAAATCCCCCAAGCAATTGTGTTTCAATTGAAGTTTAATGTGTGATGTGTTTTTGTGGCTCTTTATTATCTGACTGGGGTGTTGATTTCTTACAATATGGATTTTCCAACAATTAATGGTGTAGACTTGAGTATGATCTGTGCGTTGCGTACATTGATCTGCATGTTTGATATAAATATGCACAATTTGTAGTGAAAACCCGAGTAACTACTACATGTGACAACACAGAATGATTCGTTTATCACAGTAGATTTCTATTCTGACTGCGTGTTCAAACCTAGAAAACGACAAGAATAACATGATATTATGAAAAAACGTTTTTGTAAGCAGAAGGACATACCTTGTTTTATTGAATACCTAAGCTTTACAAAATTCCGTACATATAACAGTACATTGCCGGTTCATCTGCATGTTCGACAAAAGCATTGTCCATAAGAATGACAAATTTCTGTCTCAGCGAAAGGAGGTATTCAGAAATATTGTGAAACTTTTTACTCGCGTAGTGATATTTGCCATATGTGGATTCTAAAAAACTCTTAAGAACTTCTTGATAATTTTTAATCTCGATCTAATTCTGAAATCAGTTATGTTCAAACTTTAGGTTTCTCAACACTGTATTACACCATTCCCCATGTGAAATTCAAAATCGTCTAAAATAAATAACCCACAACGGTTGTCAACATAGAAATGGTAGCATACGCTATAGATTTATTACTTTGGGATACCATACGGCATAATTTGTAAATAGAGAACAAAAAGGTAAAACATGCTACAAGGAGGAACAAGTGATCAGTATGCTGGAGTTTCTTATTGACAACATATTTGTTGAATTTGAAGATAGATTTTTTTCAACAAATTGTCGGTATTATTATGAGAACAAACTGTGTGCCTCTCCTTGACGACCTCTTCTTATTTTATATGAACCGGTGTTTCTTCAGACACTTGTCAAAAAAAGAAGATCACAGAAGCCATGTTATTTAATTTCACGTTCAGATATATTGATGATGTTCTTTCCATTAACACTCCGAACTTCTCTGATTGGATTCCATCAATATATTCCCCAGAACTAGAAACTGAAGAAACAACTGACACGGCTTTCTCTGCCTCATTTTTAGACTTATACCTCAAATTTGACATACACAGTCATCTCAGTGCCAGAATCTATGACAAACGAGAATTTCCTCCACCTTATTAGCAATATACCAACTCAATCTGCATATGGGATATACATTTCACATCTTATTCGGTATTCAAGAGCTTGCAGATTCTACTCAGACTTTGCAAAACGTCACCGGTGTCTAAGCAGAAACTTGATGAACCAGGGGTAAGTCAAAGAACGTCTCGTCCTTTTTCTAAAAAAAAGTTTATCGGAAGGTACCAAGACTTTGTTTATAAATATGCCTTTATTAACTTCACAAATAATATACGATGGTCTTGAAGAAAAGATTCTGGGTACTGATGTTGTTTATCATCTTAAATACGTTTTATAGTATTCTTTTATGTGTCCATATGTATATTACTTTTACTGTTTAGTCTGTTTTTGGTGGTATTCATTTGACATGACTCTGTATACTTATACATCCCGTTTCTATATGCCTTTTTGTGTTTCTTTTATACATATGACGTGGCTCTGTACTTATACATCCCGTCATTGTGTTATTGTTATTGTTCTATGATTTTTTTTTTGTAAACTTGTCTTTTATTTTAGCTAATGTGCTTTGTCTATATGCCTTCCTTGTGTTTCTTTGATACATATGACGTGACTTTGTACTTATACGTACCGTCATTGTTTTATGTACATTTTTCTGTATTTTTGTCCTTCATGTTTGCTAATGTATGTTGACTATATGCCTTCTTGTGCTTCTTTGTTACATATGTGTTTGAATAGTGATTAAGATTATAACACAATGTTAACTGCTGTAACCCTATTTTTGACATTTTTACCTGTTATATCTATTTATTTTGTTCACACATCGTTGTCAATATAATGAAATTTGATACAATTGAGAGGTTAAGATAGCTATAAACCAGGTTTAATCCACCATTTTCGACAAAAGAAGATGCCTGTAGCAAGTCAGGAATTTGACAGTTGTTATCAATTCGTTTGATGTGTTTGAGCTTTGGATTTTGTAATTTGATTTTGGACTTTCCATTTTTGATTTCCCTCGGAGTTCAGTTTTTTTGTGATTTTACTTTTTTGTATGAAATAAAAAATCCAAAAAATATTCGAGTTTTTGCAACATGTTGTGATTAATGAACATCGCGCTCTATCTTTTTGTCTTCAACTGTCTACAGGGTGTATTTATTGGTTTAAATAGTATGTAATTTTCTCTTTACAATAACTTACTACTCTTTATTTGAAAAGCAACCTTATAGTTAACATTGTCAAGTTATAAAAATAGAATTTACTTGCGATTCGCCATTCTATTTAAAGGAATGTTCACTTGACAACTATAATATGGTCTTCTCCGATATAAGTATAAAAAATATTGTATCCACCTTTATAGATTGAAATTGAAATCCTTTTCTATTACATTATCGACAATATGGAAAACAAATAGACTGAAAATCTCATAAAGCTTCCAATTTTAAACAGGATAACTAACTAATTCGTGTATTCTTTCTATGAGTGTTTGCTACATGTTTATCAATTTTCATGACAATAAAATAACATAATGAATAGATAAAAAAAAGTAATGTTATGCATTACTTAGAAAATAATAAAGATTTTGTTGTATGAAATCACCAATACTTGTTCCGGACAATTTTTTATATCAAGAATCAGAACAAAAATAAAACAGTTTTGGTCATGAGTATATTTTCTGTATCTTAGAAATGTGTTCCATTCATTAATAATTATAGCTGGCTTGTTTGTGTGTCAGGCAGCATATTTTCTCCATAGTCATTACAGGTTTGGCATCTCTGAAATAAAGTAATGTATCTTCATTTCCTTTATGTCCAAATAATAACGAGTTTGTAATGAACTTAAATATATTTTCTTTGCCGTTATTATCAACATATACATTTAATATATAATTTGAAACACCACTGATCTGTAATGAACTTTTCTTGAACAGTGCTTTTTCAAGGTTTTTAATTGTATAATCAAATGCTAGAAATCATATAACTACGATATAAAAAAAAAACTACGAAAGAACAACACAAATATCTCATGGTCCTACAATAGTTAAAAATTATATATATATATAAAATGTCACGCAAAAGAGAAGATGATCTGAGACGTATTTACAAATCATAAACATATACATTTTTTGTTAAAACAGGAATATAAAAAAGACATGGTTTCGCAGCTGCTCCTGACATCGATTATATCAAACAGAAATGACTTAGTAGAGTTGACAATTGGAAGAATAGAAAATATTGAAGCATTTGTTTTCGACAAAATAGCAAATATTTATTCGAGGGTAAGAACAATGCATTCATTCTTATCATATAGATATTCGAAGATGTGGTATGAGTGCCAATGAGACAAATCTCCATCCTAGTCACAATTTTGAAAAAAATATACCATTATAGGTCAAAGAACGGTCTTCAACACGAAGCCTTGGCTCACACCGAACAGCAAGCTATAAAGGGCCCCCAAAATGACTAGTGTAAAACCATTCAAACGGGAAAACTAACGGTCTAATATATATAAAAAAGGGAAACGAGAAACACTAAACAAACGACAACTACTGAATATCAGATTCCTGTATATGTATACATTTTGTGTAAAGCAAACGCAATGTTAGGTACAATCTTTACAAAAGCTATTGCAGGAATTATGTTTTTATTTGAATATTTAATAATAGACATAAATGTTTGCCTGGTGGAGCCTGTATTTCAGTTTTTGATAATTTAAAGAATATACATTTGAGCATTATACATTTTATTTTGTTGCAATTATGATACAATTTATATACAGATGTAAAGTGTAAATGCGAACATTGCAATTCATCCTTGTAAGATGAAATGTAGCATCTACAAACATGTACATGATATAGCCCTTGTTGTTAATTTCTAGATTGAAATCACGATATGAATAAAGGCAACAGTAGTATACCGCTGTTCAAAAGTCATCAATCTATTCAGAGAAAATCAAATCCGGGTTACGCATCAACTATAAACAGAACACAACGCAAGCAAGTCTGAAGCGTAACAAAAACAACTGCCAAAATTCATAGAAACGCAATAAAACAACTGCCATATTTCTAGTTTTGTAAAGGACATTTTCAGAATCAAATGTTGAGTTGAACCTGGTTATATGCCTAGCCAAACATCCAAATTATATGGCAATGTTAAACAAAGATCGCTAAAATGCAGCACACACAGAAAACAGTAGTATTCATTATTTAAATTTCAATTGTCAATGAAATGTGTTATTTGTAAACCTTTATAAATTGATAGAATTTAAAAAAAAAATGTACAACTACATATTTCAGTGCGTTAAGGAAAACAAAGAAGATTTACCAATTAAGCTTATTGTACAGGTAAAATTACAATGAGAGGTGTTTTAACCTTGTGTTTGTTTATAAATGCGTACATATCATGTTATGTCTTGAAAGATGTGTCAAAATAAAGGTTCGGTGAAAATATTGATATGCTTGTCAATGTTCAAGGCACATTGAAATTTAGATTTACATACTTAAGTGGAAGACACTTTTGTTAATAATCGTCTACAAGGTCAACCTCCGATCAAACAAAAATGCCTGATTCAATACTAATCCGTGGCATGAACTAAGCAAACAAAAAGCACGCAATGTCTAAAGATTTCAAAACATGAATTTCAAAATAATGCTTATTGTTACGTCTAGTTATGAAAGAATCGACTTATTAAAGGGCAGGGGCATATTATAAATGAATCAATGCTATCGAAACTCACCTTCTTTAGAAACTCTTCAATATATCAACAGACCTGTTTGTAAAAGAGGTTCTCTGTTGCCGGCATGACTGAACATTTTCACCTCCCTATTCATACAATGATTTTATTGTGACAAATATATTGACTCTCCCTGAGATGCACTAATTACTAAGCGCGTTTGTTTTTTGCTTTGTATTGTTTTTCTTTTTTGCATTGTTTCAAATATTAAAGTGAGTAAGAAACTGTTGTAAATAAGCTTTTCTGTATTTGATTTAATGTATGTTTGTTTTTGCTTTATTTTTCTTTTGCTTACCGCTTATTTATTTACGTTGATTAGTTAACTTTATTGCTTTAGCTTAGCCTAAATATTAACATTTTTTTCAGTTTTATGTTTATTAAACTTTTGTTTGTATACTTTCGTTTGTCATTTCTTACTTTGTTTTATTTTGAGAAAATCTAAACTGTTTATTGATGTCCTTAGTATGTATCATATCTAAAAGATGCACACATATCACATGGCTTTGCTTGAAAAGATGACTAATTTATCTAATGTATAGAATTTAAAAAAAATATAGTTCAAAATCAGCAGATATATACGCATTTGTGTATCATGCAGTGTTATCAATATTTAACTAGCAATTATTGTCAGAATAGCACGATTTACAATTACCACAGCATTCACGTTTTTTCGATACACTGTTGATAAAAGCCACGAAGTATTGTTCTTTTGTGTTGATACCAGATACCAATTCTACCACTCTGACTATTCGCTAAAGATGTAGACTGCTTCATTACTAATGCAATACTGTTATTAACAGCAATTACCTAAACAATGTATCACAAAGAAAACCAAGACCAATGATGAGTAAATAATATAACAAAATTGCATTTCTCATACTTTCAAAATATATGTTATGTCCAACGCTGATGTATTAAGCAACGTTAAAGAAAATACAACGTTCGTTTGATAAATGTGAGAAACTGGTTTACAATAAATTTCTAAATTCAATTTGTCTATTTATTTATCTTGTAGAAATTAGAGAATAGGTATGAAAAAACAGAGGACACGGTTAGTAGTTGGCCAATTGTTGTTTTTTTTTTCTAAAGTGAATTGTGTATACACGTGCAAGTGCGAGTGAGAGGGCTTATGTGTATAAAATACATGTTAGTTATTTCGTGATGCTAAAAATTACTTTGCATATGTAAAAATTGATACATTAATCTTGACTTTAACACTTTTAATGTGACCTATAAACTTAATTTGAAAGAAACCAAAAGCTGAAAAATTTAAGAAATGGCTCAACAGTTTCCATTTTCTTTTTTATAGACAAGTGTCTTCTTATTTATAATGGGGATAAGCTGTTGATGACAAATATATTAAAACCATGAATAATCAACTGTCTTCTCGAAACAGTCGAAACATAATAGAAATATTAAAACAGTTCACATTATTTTTATTCTTTGATAATTTCAGAAACAGATTAAAAGAGAAGACAATGAGTACTTGGTGAGAAATTTCTCAAACTGTCATCCTTTGGACAACACGAGTTATTGTCATGAGTGTTAAACTTTTCCGTCATTTTCCCTTTTTCGTTTTTGTGTAAATTTAAGAAAAATATTCCAATCTAAAACCAAATATAGGGTTTGTGGTATACAAAGTTTTACGACTTGGAAAACAAGATGAATAAACAAAATCTGACAGTAACCAAAAGGTTAAGAATGTCAAAACCTGTTTTGTTCTTACTTTCGCCAAAGGTTAATCTGTAATGGTCTATTTTACGAAAACATTATTTGGTAGATAAGTTATAACCAAAAAAAGTTAACAAGATGATGATATGATAACACATAAAACATTGAAGAACTTCTAAAGAATTGTCAGTTTTTTTTTTCATGTGCGCCGTAATGTTGTCGTTTTAGCAGTAGTTTTAACATAACTATTTAAGAGGGAGGTACTGCTACCAATAAAACCAGGTTCAACCCACCATTTTTTTCTAAAATGTCTTTTACCAAGTCACGAATATGGCAGTTGTTTATAAATCGTCCGTTTCTATGTATGTTGTTTATTTGGCAGTCGGTGTTTCTGTTGTTCCGTTAATGGTGTTCTCCTCCTATAGTTGATGTGTTTCCTCGATTTTGGTTTGTGACCGATTTGATTTAATCGATTAATTACTATTGAATAACGGTAAAGTACAGTTGCTTTTAATTGCCTGCATTCATGAATACAAGATCTACAAGCAGCAATAATGATTGAATTCATTGATTGAATAATTAGCTCGCTACTGGCGGTTTTTGTGGGTTTTTCCATAACAAACAGAGTTAACTTAAAATCTAAAACTTATTCAACAATATACAGAAATGACAGGAATAGGAATAAGACTTTATACAATAAGTAATCAAATAACATTAATTATTAAAAAAAACGATATGTGTAAGGTCGTATTATAAACACTAAACTACAAACGAGACTACATAACAGATTGCAATACAGATAAACATGATTATGAAAAAGAAATATGTGTCCTAGAAACATTTATTGTTTCAAGAGAGCATTGTTTCTTCCGTGTTTGTACGCATGTTTCGTAATACCTGTGTTAGAAAGAAGACACAATTTATTTTGTCTATGTAGAATACATGTTAGACATTTTTGTCTCTCTGTATTATTTTTACTGTTGCAGATAGAGATAGAGATAGAAAGTCAGGAACAGAAAAGGAACAGACAAAAATCAAACGAAATACTTTTTGTTGTTGACGACTTTATCAAAGATTTGTTAGGAGAAACAAAATTCCAGCTCTATACACATTTTACAAAACCTAAACCTAAACCAGAAAATGATAAAGATAAAGATGGTAAGATGTTACTACTGTATTTTTTTTTATAAAAGGTTTTAAATGGTACCTCCCAAGACACACAACACAACTCATAACCAAAACCAGACTCCATATGAATGATGTTCACTTATCTTGTTTTCACCTTTTATATTCTGAATCATTTGGTTTTATCCATGGCATGTCAATAATAATTTCCTGCATCTCATGCCTTTTTTCTCATGATTTTATTACATATAGTTTCAAAAGCCATCTTTTAAATGCTATATGATGCTTCTTCTCTTTTTCCAATAGCGTGAATATTAATTAGATGAAAAATCTAGACAAATTCATTGCCAGCCAAACGTTCAATGACTTATAACTCAGAATCAAGGACTCGTACCTTTCTTTTTTTTCAGCTTTTTTAAGTTTAATTATATATTTTCTAATAGTCTTTTTAAAAAAGCTTGCTTTTTTTAACAGAGTTGCGAGCATACTTAAATTGTTACAACCAAAATAGAGGTTAAAATAAAACATAGGCGTGAAAAGTATATGTGAAACTATAGATTTTCCGACTGTACTATACATATTGTGCAACTTTCTAAATTAGTTTGGAATGAATGAAGACGAGATTGCAAAGTGTATTTGTCCGAATGAAAAAAAAATAGCTGCATCGTCAGAGCAAACGTATTCTGCAGAAGTTGTAACACACTTGCCACAATTCATATTTCGTATCAGTTGTAAACTGTGTGTTGGATGAAAGGAAAAACACAACAATAACATCTATTTTTTTTTGGACTTCCAGAATATTTGAGTATAAGATGTTAATATCAATATTGGTCAATGAGTCCAGAAATTCATAAAACGTTTTGTTAAGGCTATGGCATTTTATATAATTATTATTTCTGACAATTAATGAAATATGCACGTCTTTTTTTAATATGATTTTTTTTATAGGGAACTCAGAGAAGCCAGTTATCAACCCTCATGACCCTGAAGCAAAGAGTAAGAAACAAATAAACTATTGAACTAACAAGTCTTACCCAAACTGCAAAGACGAAAACACGACTAACGACGAAACAGTAAAAAAACATTGAATATCAAAGTTAGACTGAGCTACAGTTCCGTCGTGTATACAGCCCATGTACGTTCTAACACAGTGATCAATCTCATTTAGTGATTTAACCTTTAAGTGAAAGATGACAACAAAACAGTAGTTTTAGAAATTACAACACAACCGTGGTTATATGTGACGCAAACAATCATTAACTGCCAACCAAGTCGTGTTTGCGTCTGTTATACTTAACTGAGAATTACTACAAATGACCAATTTGGTTACAAAATTTACAAGTATAGTCACATTGGTTAATCCTTAGATTGTATTTGTGTTGATCATTCTATATGTACTGGTGGGTGTACTTGTTCTTCTTTTTGGATATTTTCGTAGTTCAACACGGTGTTGTTTTTTTTTTCTTTTCTGTGAGCAGCAACCCTCTATCTAGATCTAAATGATATGTAAAGCAAACTCTGAAATATTGTATAAACGTAAACATGTTAAAGTTATATACTCATATACAGGTGTAAATGAAGGTATCAATGTAAGTCAAGAAACGAGACAAACTTATTTGTAGCTGTTGTATAACATTTGTTTATTTGTATAGGATAAATGCGTTCAACATGTTAAATATATACACAGAACTTTGAAATATTTAGTCAAATTATTTCACTTTTTGAACTTGCAGAATATTTGACTTTATCATGTTCAAGATGTTGAATATCAATATTTGTCAATGTGTCTGTTAAGGGGGTGATCTCAGGTGCTCACAGCCTATATAAGACTGTTAATTCTGAGAAAATATATACCGATGAACCATTTTAACGCGTGTGTGTATCATGTGTATAGTATACTACGTATGTATTAATTTAAATAACAATACACTGACATGCAAAACATTCAATGATAAAGAAAAATGACTGATAGTCCTGAGCTAAAAAAAATCTTAGCTGATATATACAGATCCGATAACAAAACAACTACATACATAATGATACCTTACATTCTGTTTTAGAAGAAGCAATCAACGAGATATCTATAGAGTATAAGGACAAACCTTTCTTTCATCTTTTTGTTATGGCGGTCCTGGCAAATTGGAAAGAAATGGCGATTTCTTTCTGGAAACGAGACACTGACCATACGTGTAAGATGTTTTGCTCTCTGATAGATAAAAGATTATTCAAAGACTTGATATATTAATAAAGTATTATACAATATATATAACGCCATATTATCACAACCGGTTATCCGATGGATAATGTCTGTCCTGATGTTTTCAAAAGTTACACAAACATAATAAAACAATATTGATGCGAAAATATTGTCATTATATCTTTTGTACATTATCAATTTTCATGATCGACAAAACTAATAGATTTCAAAGATATACCATCATACTTTCATCTATACTGTATGTTCTGAGGTACAACTCTAGATAACACTGCCGAAGAAATGCATAACACGACTAACAAAATCTACATTCGTAAATAGCCTAAATTGGTCAATGGCTCTGGACTCAGTTGTGGTGGTCTTGCCACGATGTCACAGACATAGGAATTTAAACCCCTCTTTGGGAAGAGCAAACATTTTAGACGCAAATTTGCAGATCTAACATTGTTGGGGTACATTTGAGACGAATAATGATTAAAACCTGTATCAATGTTATAGTAGATCTGATACTTTAAATCCTCTCCTACTGAAGCTTGAGTCTTTTTTTTTTTTGAACTTATTCAGCAATATCACATAGCAATTGTTGAGCACTGTATTGAAATTATATGACAATCTGATAATGTAAATGTGACAAAAAAAAGCGTTTTGACCATATGTGTGTCTTAATATATTTCTTTTTTGTATCAAGCTAATGTGTGACCTTGTTCGCATCAATTTCCGTCTTCTTTACATGTAACATGTTTAATGCAAATAATTTGTGTCGATCTTTGACCAGTTACTTATATATGACAAATCGTGTGCATAAAGTTATCTTAATGAATGAAAACAAATACTATCATATAATAGACTGATTAAGATAAGGTTTATCTTAATTTCATTACTTTCCTTAGCAAGATAGTTGTTTTTGTCCAGATATTATCAACTGTAACATACATAAGTTTGTCATTGTTGCAGGTTCTGCTTTATTTGCAAGTGCAGTGCTGAAGGAATTGGCTCATAGGGCACACTCTTCTAATCTTATGGATCTCACTGCATCACTAAACGAAAACGCTGGGTGAGACAAGATACTTTTTGAAGTGAAATATATGTGCTATGCGATAAAGAATACAAAATCGCAATAATTTAAATAAAAATTTGAACATTTAACATAGATATCTGAAATATATTAAACGACTAGATATTAGTCGAAGATGTTGTTTCATATTACATTATCGAAAATTATAAGCCATAATGGGATATTTTGTTGATTTTAGTGATACGTGCTGGTATACAGCCAAATGCTGACATAACATTTTGACTGAAATTTTAAAATCGTTATATGGTAGCTGATGTTTTCTTCATTGGTTGCATTTTGAGCTAATACCATAGGTATACATGAGTTTTTGTATCGTCATTTGGCGTTCGTCAACGTTATTTGTTCACTTTTACGGAGTTACCTCTCTAAAGCCATCGGTCAACTTAAATGTAGCTTTTGTTTTAAAGTTTTACAAATGTTTTCCCGCCTGCCATCAAACATATAGCCTACATGACTGGAAAAAGAACAAGGTATATAATGCAAATTTTGTCCATTAAACCGCTAAAGAACAGAAAACCTGCCTTGAGCAAAAAACTCAGATTGTTTAGATCTACTCTCTGTTTATTTACACTAAAACCTTGGTAAGAAAAGTCCTACCAGCAGGTGCTTAGACCCAGTGATCCACTCATCATAGATACCGAACGTATAATAGTTGTGCATGACAGATTCGAATTTGTCTTTAAAACACTCTTCTTTGCAGATCAAATTATAAATAACGAAAGTACAAAGTTGAAGTTTTTATCCAAATACAGTCAAATCAATCTACTGCTTGAGAAGAAAATCCTTAGTATTCCGTAAAACAATTAAAGATTTGAAAACAGTTGATATATAATAATGACAATTCCAATGATAAATCATTTCAACAAAACCGGGCTTATAATACCTTCAGGGATACAATTAAAGCATCCATCAGCAGTCGCATTGACCCGTTTTGTCTACAACAGACATACAAATGTACCACGAAAGCTCAAATAAAACAAGAATAAAAGAATAAACAAAATATTTCAAGTTGAAAAGCATTAAGAACCTACAATTCCATGAATTTCGAAAACAAATGAATTTTCTGACGTACCGAAACCACCAACCAGTACAGTCCTTAAAAATACCGAAAGATTGATGAAACACGTTTTTGAATTCGACATAAATGGTAGTAAGGTATATAAATAATGCTGTCATTTATAATTTTATCCTGCAATTAGGTGTCTTATCATACATAAACAGACCAACAGATATCGCTATGCTGTATCTGTATAGTGTACAGATATCGCTTCGAAGATCCGCCTACTGCCGGACTATGTTTGTGTATTGCTGTTGACGAGTGTTGTATGAACCTGCGTAACCTTAGAATGTGTATTACAGCCGCATTCCAATGACGTATTGCTTGACCTTATGCGAACTAAATATTGATTGTATACGTTGTGTTTGTTTTCGAGCATTTCTTTAGATCAATATGAACTAAACCCATTTTCTGATAACAGACCAACATGAACAGCAGGATTTTCTACGACGTCAATCATCGATTTCAAAACTTGAATGTGTACATGGGTAACACAAAATTAACCATGTCAATTTCTGCATGTTAAGTGAATGTCAAGTTCAGATCAAAATTCTGAAGCGAAGGACAACCCGTACACTTGTTTTAAATCGGACAATGTTTTGTTATTTGTTTAAACTGTTGAAATTAGTTGTTATGTTAGAATAGATAATTATTTACTTTGAGTGATGTAATTTATTGTTGACTATTTGAGATTTTTTTTTTGCGAACCCGTCTTCAGCTGAATGTGTAATTTTGATATTACTACGCGGGCCTCAAGGGATTTTAAATCGAAAATAAATGCAAAAAATGTGAGTTTTGCTGTCTTTCAAAGCACAAACAATATACAGAATTAATTGCAGGATAAAGCCCTGTTTTTCTTTAAATCCAGTCTAAAAAATACCCCTTTATAGAACGATAATTTTATCCCTCTATAGAAGGATTATCCCTCTATGGAGGTATAAACACCATACAGAGGGTTTGTTCCCAACCTGTTAAAAAAATATCTTTATGTTAACACGTCTCTTTATTAACGTGGTATACATTTTAATTTTTCTATGCTCTTCAACATCGTGTTTTTTTGTTTGCCTTCCGAGCGTTTTTGTCGAATTTTCAAACTGTATTTAGACTTAACGTAGGGCATGAGTTACAAATAATAAACCTGATACTTTTAATGAGTTTGTTCAACAATTTGCTGACGTTTAATCGGAAGTTTACACCATCCAAGGGCTGAGTTAATGGAAAAGCATATTAATCTGCACTATTCATGAATAATTTGTAACATGATATTTTAAAAGATAAAAGTGTATTACTTAACTTTACCTCAGGTTGGTAAACTGCTCCATATATGTGAATCAGGATATATAAACGTTTTCTTAAAAAAATCGTTTTTGGCTCGGGACGTTCTGTGTTTTGACATCATATGTCTAGTCATTCCTGTTAAATAGCTGTTTACAAAATTCAACATGATTCGGAACACTTACTTAAAGGGATTTATTTTTTTACTTTGTCTCAGCTGTTATTTCTAGTTTTATTGCCGCATATTTGTTTTCTTTCAATCAAAGCAGGACCTTGTTAATTAATATGGAAATAGTCAATCACTTTTCAAAAAAGCAAATATCTCTTAATTAGATTAACCAACAACAACAAAACCACAATCACTTTCATGATACATGTCATAAATGGAGCTGCAAATGACAAATATTTTACAGCATATTTGAATGACCTTTGATTTGAATGTGATTTACTCTTCACATGCTTTAGTTAACTGAGTAGTCATGTGTATGTTGTTATCAATTCTTTGTTCGTTTTGGATGGTTTACGCGTATGTACTGTCCAGACTTAAGTTTGTATTGCTCTTTGTGTGTGTTAACAACATTTGCTATAAATTCAGATACTTTGAAGACCAAGCTTGTGCTGTGATAACAGAACTATATAACATTGATCGGGAAAAAGCTCTTACAACACTGGTCACAAAGGTTAATCGGTACAATACGACCCCTTTAGACATTGCGTACTCGCAAAAGTTGACAAAATTTATGGCCCACACGGCCTGTCAAGCAAAGATTAACAGTCTATGGAGTGGAGATATTGCAATGTACACACCACCATGGAAGGTAGGTTGCTATATTTCAGCAATGGTAAACATCGAGTGATCCAGCAATTGATTACCTCAACATGCATTAAACACTCTGTGCTTTTTATCTGTTTTTTTATGCCAACTGTGTTTTATATGCTTATAGAAACCGACAAAATAAGCATGTAAAAAAAGTCTTGATAAAATGACTCTAAAAGTTATGATTGAAGACTTTGAGAGTATCTTTAAAATGTGTTAAATCAATATTTTATTGGCAACGTACAGAAAATATATCTTATCATGATATGTCTTGTGACTATGTTTTACTACAGAAAACAAGTTAGTTAACACTTTGAATAGGTGTGTAGTCGGTGATCACTTATTTGCCTTAAACGATGAGTAAAACTCATACTTTGCTGTCTGTAACCAAAGTCTGAGACGACTATATGTTAAACAAGTTGCACGTGAAAACCTACGGCCTAATATATGATAAATTGTAATCAAGAGCTACAACAACAATAATTGATGTGTAGTCGCCTTGCTGTGGACAGACATTCACATAATGTAGCGGAGTCAAAACGTGTTATGACAGTGGTATGACAGTTATACATACACATAATTTTGAATGACACATTTCAATTGGCACGTGTGACAAACCACGCCTAAGCATACGTATATGCATGAACGATAGCTCGTCTAATCAGATCGTCAAATTTTGTCTAAGGTTATGATTCTATAGATAATAACATGTCATAGCCATATAATCTTTAATAATTGGTATCATACTTCTAAAATTCAAAAATCTTGGTAAGGTATATGCAAAAACAAACTCATCATAGATACAAGGATTGATTTTGTATTTGCGCCAGACGCGCGTTTCGTTTGAAAAAAGACGCATCAGTCACGCTTGAATAAAAAAAAATTTAAATGCCAAATAAAGTAGGAAGTTGAAGAGCATTGAGGACCAAAAATTCCTAACAGTTTTGCCATATGCAGCTAGGGTAATCTATTCCTGAGGTAGAAAAGTCTCAATACTTCAAAGTTTTGTAAACACTTGATTTATAATTTTGACCATATCAATGATAACTCATTTCATCACAGAAATGCTGACAAGAGGCTGGTGATACCCTTGTGTAATAAAAACTTAACCAGCAGTGGCATCGACCCAGTGGTTGTAAATAAACTCATCATAGATACTAGAATTGAAATTTTGTATTTACGCCAGACGCGCGTTTCGTCTACAAAATACTCATTAGTGATGCTCGAATCAAAAAAGTTTGTAAGGCCAAATAAAGCACGAAGTTGAAGAGCATTGAGGACCAAAAATTTCTTAAAGTGTTGCTAAATGCAGCTAAGGTGATCTATTCCTGAGGTAGAAATGTCTTAGTTTTTCAAAAATTCAATATGGTTACATTAATTGTTTTTATATACATATAAAAGAGACTGTACAAATTACACGATTTTGGCAGTTTTTGAAATAGGGTCATAGAAGACGTTTTTCAAAAATTCGATATGGTTACATTAATTGTTTTAATATACATATAAAAGAGATTTTACAAATTACTCGATTTTGACAGTTTTTGAAAAAAGGGTCATAGGTTTGTAATTCATTATTAAAATAGACAAAACACGACACATTCTTTTTACTTTTAGTAAGGTCATTATCCATTATTCGTTAGACATTTTAAACTATACCTGACTTGTTTTAATGCGTGTTAGTTCTCCTATGTATTATGTTTTAGATTGGTATGGCAGTTTTCCTTCCAATATTGATCATTCAAAACTTCAGATTTATTGATATTCCAAAGAAAGATCCATGCCAACCTAGACTTCAGGCTCAACAACCGAAAAGGAACAACAATATCACTTCATGGCAATGGATAGTCTACTGTCTTTACATGTTTTACAGAGCGCCGGTAACAAAATTCGTCATTTATCTGGTATGTGTTTTTTTCTCTCCTATTTTTTGTATTTCACACATGAAACATATGTGCACTGTTGAGAAAAACAAAATGCATATTTACAAGCTTTAAAAAACGAGGCTTGTAGAGATATTTTCATTGTTCTCAGCAAAATCATTACATTTCGTATTTTTGACTATGTACATATATTGTCTAACCTTACAATTTACAGGCATGGGTAAAAATCCTCAAAATTTCGAATACTTATAAGTTTTGTAAAAAGTTACTATGTATATGATATAATTATGACCATAACAATGCTTATTCATGTGAACACAAATCTGTTGGCTGTTTATCTGTTTATAACTTCGGAGAGAAAACATAATCAAGTAAGGGCGTGTGAGATACGGCAATTTATTTGGTGTTTGTTATTAGTTTCTAACTAAACAGTAAAATTAAGAATGGAAATAGGGAATGTGTCAAAGAGACAACAACCCGACCAGAGAGCAGACAACAGCCGAAGTCCACCAATGGGTCTTCAACGCAGCGAGGAACGTTTGTTAAATTTGCTTAACTAATATCGAAACATATTTGTCACACTTACAAACACATTGAACCGAAAAAAGTGTACATCTTTGGACTATTAACGGTTAAGTAAAAGATGAAAACAATTTACAATATACAATAATGATTTACATTTATTTGTCGATATTTAATGAGGGACGTGTATAAAAAAAAAGATTTTCGAATGTGTGTAGTCCTAATATGTACACACACTGTTTGCTGTTTTACAAATAAAGGTAAAAAATATTGTGCCAACAAGAAAGCTAGAATTATCGATTGTAGACAAATATAACTAGACTATTCTAGACTTATAGAAAATAAAGATTAAGATAGACCAATAAGACCTGTTTGGTATGTATACATTGTCGTGGTTAGAACTTTTCTCTATCAAAAATGCAGTTTGAAAGTTCACTAACAGATGAATGTTAGTCTTTTACGGTCATGTAGGTCTAAACCTTATTGAAAAAGACAGAAACTAAATACGTAAATACAAGTTTAAGGTAGTTTTGAACATATTTACTTGTATTCTGCACTTTTTTGATATTTTGCTAACATTCAACCTAGTGCTGTTTAAAACCTTTCCGGACAATTCAGTATGTTTGTTCCGTACAGATTTACAACAGCTGCATATCAAGCTGACCACAAACTGAACGTATCTAAGTTGACTGCAAGCGAATTATCTGAACCTTTCCTGAGAGACTGAACATGCTTAACGAAGTGAAATATTAATTGTTCTGTACCTTTAGACTTGATTAGATCAAAATTGGTCTACATGTTATGGGAATTGCAAAATAAGAATTGGACGTTCCAAGATTAAATGTGGATTGATTGATTGATTGATTGATTCATGTTTGCTTTACGCCGCATGTGCGCAAAATGGTTATATCGCGGCGAGAGCTAATTCAAATATTTTTAAAATAAAAGTTGAAAATTCCATAATTAAAGTTTATAATTCCCAAATTAAGGTTGACAATCTAAGATTATTGTTTGATAATTCCAAGATAATACTTGGACATTCCAAGACTAAAATTGAATTTCCAAGATTATAGTTGATAATTCCAAGATTAAAGTATATAATTCTAATATCAAATTTGGAAATTCAAAGATTAAAATCGACAATTTAAAAACAAAAATAAAAAAGATATGGCCCTAATACGCTTTCGTACTATACAGTTATGACTCTCAATATAAGTATCTTTCTGTTTTTAATCACTTTTGAAGAAACAAAAACATGTAATACAATGTCGCATGATTCAATCGAAATGTATATTTACAAATGCAAGTAACATTAAAAACCAATTGTTCTCTAACAATTGGAGGTCTTTCCACTCGAAAAGATCTATTTTGATACAAAAATATTAAAAATTCGGTTTAAAATGTTATTTCCATCGTCAATTGATAGCTTATTGTACGCCGGTTTAAGAAACATATATGGTTTCTAGACATTTTTTTTAAATAAGGGAAATAATTTGTTACTTCCGGTTTGAAAAATGTCACTTCTGGTATTATTTTGAAGTTAACCTGACACTGATTCCAAAAATATAGGGTTCTATGTACTTGTACATTACACAAGTACAAAACATAGCTACTTCCGGTTTACACAAAGTCACTGCCGGTTGGCTTTTCCAAGGTCATATGGGTTGCAATCTAATGCATCAAGTCCCATGGCTTTATTATGTATACATATGAAGTAAAAGCAAAGGTCAAAATCTAGAACGTCAAATTTACATATGACCTTTAGCTCAATTTGAAGGTCATAAATCAACGACCTGAAATGAAAAGACACTAGGTCTTTATTATATAAGGTCAATGAGTTATACATGTATCACCAATTTTAAATCTAAGAGGGGAGAAAACTCCAATTTAATGTTAACGTACTTTTTCAACCAAAATGTATGTGTGACGACATGTCGCAACTAACAATTTAGTAAAAATATGTTGTCAATACCTTATACGGTTTTTGAAAAGAAGTGAAATTAAGCCAAAATCTAAATTTAGAATATGACCTTGACCTCTGACCTTGACCTATTTTTTTTTTTTTTTTTTTGGGACCAAGGACCTCAAATCAAAAGACCTTAGGTCTCTATCACTTATGGTTTACCAGTTAAAAATGCATATCACTTATATCAAATGCTTACAGGGGAATAACTCTCATATGGAGTCTCCAGATAGCTTCGGTCAAAATAAAACGTAACATCCTGTGAATATAATGAGCATATTGGAAACATTAATTTGTCGCTTTCTTTTACGGTTGCAAAGGAGACCTCATAACAAGAAATGTTCGGGGAGATAACTCTTACACAGAAAAGTGTTAGGTTAAACAGGTTCAGTTTCAAAAGCGTAGAGACTGTATGATATTATATACAAAAAAACTAAGCGACATCTTTTGAAACAAAAATACAGCAAGAGAAAAAAAAAAATGGCGGAAGAAAAAAAAAACAAACAAAAATAATCAGAAGAAAACCAATAGGTCTTTCCACGGAAAAGTGGAAAGACCTAATTAAAGAAGGGTGTTTTGTTTTTAATCTAAGGACCGATTCACATATTATATTATGCATAGGAAACTAAATGTATATGATTGGATAGTACCAACAATTGTTATTTGTTTTTTTTTTACTCCTAATAATATGTTTTGCCTACAAACGTTATGCATTGTTTGTTTGCTTTGGAAATAATATCATAAATTTGACGAAATATTTAAACGAATGTTGTATGATATCTGGAAGTATAGCGTACAGGTGAAAGTTTCTGTACCAAATTTTAACCTTCTTATCAATTCTGGAAGATACATGTGTAGTTGTATGTCTATTATTTCGGTAATACAGGCTCTTAATCATTTGCATTCAGAAAAATTTAAACAAATACAATATTATCTGACACACCGAGACTACTTACCATTTCAGTACTTTTATCTTGTTCAATGTTAAGAAAAGTGTTGACGTACTTTTTAAACCCGACAACAACTATAGTGAGGTATACATATGATGTCATTTATAATCATGCATATACTCTGTAAAATCTGAGTTATCAAAATTAACTAATGTGTGAAACCGGTATTATACTCCAAGTATAAAGTAAGCTGAGACAAAGGTTGATTTATTGAATGATCCATTCTGAAATATTAAAACCATTCGTTGTTAATGTCGGCTCGGTATTTATAATATTGGCACCCTATACTAAAGCATACAAACATTTGCATTCATTGTATACCAATATTACTATTTATATTATACATGCTATACTATTAATCCGTAATTAGCAAAAAAAAAAAAAGAAGAAAAGAAGTAAAGCACCCCAATTAATGTAGCAGCTCTATAAAGGTGTTTTAACACCAATTATCAAAGTAAATACAAAGTGTATTTTTGCTAAATAAATGACATTTGAAAGTATGATTCTAAATAAAATGTATATATATTACGAATAACAAATGTGTCGAGTTTTTATTTTTTAGCCATGGCGTTGTCAGTTTATTTTCGATCTATGAGTTTGACTGTCCTTCTGGTATCTTTCGTCCCTCTTTTGTAATTGGATAACAACACAGATATGCCAGTATATATTCAGGAAACTGCCGGAGTATATACGACGTTTTTATCCCAATTGGAACCTCAACAACGTTATCATAACACATGTTGATATGTGGAGTAGACAAAAGTTTTACATAACACTCAAGAATGTCAGAGATTCACATATGGAAAATAATAACATGCATCCGTCAATTATACGTTTTTAATTTAATGTACAATCCAAATGCTAACATATAATGTTTTAACGTGTTACTATAATTATAACATACACAATACAATTATTTTAACATCAAATTACAAAACCCCTCACGTATGCAGAAAAAAAACAATGTTTGTCAAGATGAAAAAGGGGCATTTAAAAGATTTTCGCAAACAATTAAGAATAAAAAAAAACCCAAAACAACATGTAATGAATATATTAACTCTATTGTGAATGTTTGACAGATACCTGGCATTGGAAAAAAACATTATGGGTGGGGTAATCTGTAATATAAGTGTAATTCAGGTTTCAGAAGATATGAACTATAAGCCGGAAATGTCACAATACATACCCTGTCTGAAACCTGAATAACATATATTTTTTTCACATCTATACATATATTAGCCTGAAATATTTTTTTGTCCTTCATCCGTGTTTGATATGTGGTGCCAATCTTCCTAGCGCATTGATTTTGTTGCGAAGTAAAGAAAAGGTTATATAAAGAATATTGTTTGCAAAAATATGTGTAAGTGAAGAATGGCGCCACCTTAAATATTTCCAAAAAAAATATCTCCTGCAGTTTAACGTCACAAATACTTAACTAATGATGCAATTAGTGAACATGAATCTTATCTTAAACAATTGGACATTTAAAGATACATTTATCCCTCCATTATTGCAGTAAAATCGACAGCATATACTCGCATAGAATGTAAAACATATTTCAACCAGAATAAAAGAGTATCGTTACATATGTAATGACTGTTTACAGCATTTTCGTCAGCATTTCTTTCTTTTTCTTTAAGGTGTCTTACTTCGCAATGTTGGTGATCTTTGCAATATTTGTGCTTACTGATTTATACCCTTTGTCAGAAAGACCACCTTCTACGCTTGAATATTTGACTTGGATTTGGACTTTATCACTATTGATAGAGGAAATAAGACAGGTACGTTTATTATTTTTTAAGGAACGTTTTGTGATATGGTTCAAAACGACATCTTTAGATTCGTTATCAGTATGTGTTACTAGTTCCGAATAACAGACGTTTTCCTTATGATGTAACACCTCAATTCGGGCCCGTTCAGAAAGCATATACCAAAAAGTTGTACATATTTAACTCAAAATAGTTTCAAGCATGGGTGTTGATTTCAAAATATGTAGAATATTTAGGTAATTTTGTTATCTAATGAAAGCTGAATGACAGGGAATCATTGTAGCAAACTTTTTTGACTTATGATTTTGAATAATGGAAAAAAGCATGAAACTTGAAAATGGGGTTACATTTTGCCTGTTTGGCATATCTGAAGTACCTGTTTGGTACATCCGAAGTTCTGGAAACCAGTTCTTTCTAATATGCTGTTGAAGGTATGTTACTTTGTTTAATACAATCCATATAAAGTGTTGCTTTGACTAGCAGTGGTATATTGTTACTTTATTTCACCTAAAAACAAAATAGGTGTGTCTGCTTGAAATTAAACGAATTTAACATAGAAAGCAATGGGGCCATGCATTAGTGATGTTCTTCTTTATAGATGAAGAATTGTTGATTAAGTCAATCAGTTGGTATCTTTGCGCAGAACTAGTCAATTAAAACCCAATATTTGAACCTGAGTTGAAATAAGGATTTATTCTTCGATATGCCTTGTACACAATTACTACATTCTGTGAATCATAACAGCAGCTTAAACTACAGACTAAGTATGCACACATTTAATGTATTCGTTTTACTGAATATCCAGGAACTATTTGATCATTTGAAATGAAGAATTCAAAAAACAACTAACAACACGAATATATATAAGACAACAATACACCTGGCAATACTACTATACAACAAATATTTGGTTATTTAACTACACTTGATTAGATTTGTAATTGCATTGTTTGATCATATAATTATCAGATTTTCTCCATGTAGCAATTTGTACATTATCATATGAATTTGTTTGTTTATATAGTCTTTAGAAACTAATTTCACATTTGAAATCAGAACATAAAAACATTTGTCCTTTGTTTAATGTTAAAGTATTTTATTGTCCGTCATGCATATATAAAACTGTGTAGACATGTTATTCCAAACCAAATCAAAACAATAACACACATTACAATACAATGTAAATTGTCTATTATCATAAATTTGGCATGCTTATCTCATTTAACCAAATGCACACATTATATTAACAGATATATCTGACACACAGGGGATCATTGAAACACAATCTTCAGTATTGGGCTAAAAACGTATGGAATATATTCGACATTATAATGTATCTCCTATTCATCTTGCCAGTGTTTCTCAGATGTTTGCTGAACTCGGACCAATTCTACTTTGCTAGAATGGCTTATGCAATCACCTTATCTATGTTTATCTTGCGCAGCATGCATTTCTTCTTCGTCGATAGGTATATCGGGCCTAAAGTGGTAATGATAGGAAGAATGGTAAGTATACATTTACATTAGTCGAAGCTCAGACACATGCATGTAAATGGTTCACGAATCATCAAAATGTAAATATGTCTGAACATATCGGAAATACCAGGTTTGTATATGCAGAAGACCGTTTTGTCTATATGTGACTTATCTGTGGTTTTAGAATAAGTTTGAAGATCAAATCGAAACATGTGTTAAACATAAAAAGAAAATATAGTGTGCCAGAACGGGTTAAGGCATTCAATTAAATAAAACCTAATTAGCTTGATAAAAATGTTTAAATTTTGTTAAACGTCATTCAAAATTGGAGAAAACAGATAGTTGATTCTGTAAAGAAAGGTTTGGTTTTCAAAACAACCTGTCCATTAATACTGAAAAGAATAAAGAAGATAACAGATCTTGATGTTTTTGTGAACAAGCAAGTGTTACCCATATTATCGCATGGTTCAAACACTCCGAAATCATTTTGAATGCATCCACTGGAAAAAAAAAATTTACGTTCATATTAGGTTATACTGAGAAAAGATGTTTGGCTCCGATATTTGATATAAAATTTGGTAAAATCAAAATCAAACATTTTACTCTTTTTTTACTGTTGAATAGACACGTTATTTGTTTTTCATAATTGACTGCATATGCACTTACACGTACGACGGAATGATCCTGTTTTATTAGATCATATATGCAATTAGAAAGTTGGTGATGTTCAATCCTACTGTTTCTTTGTTAAGTGTTATAGTAATTCGATTATAAAGAGTTTATTCACTAATAGAATCAACTATTTTATCTACACTTAGCGTTTTATGATATGTTTCTACTTTTGAGACAGCATTGGCGTACCATTTTACGCCATCAGATACGCCTTTCGACAAACAATGTATCTTCACTAAAGTTTGAGACTAATTCATAAGTTATTAATACAAAAAACATAGAATCAAAAGTAAAGCCTAACTCACTCGACAAGGTGTCATTGCTGTTTATGACATAAGGCCTAAGTATTAACATATACAAAATGCCTGCTTATTTTTATTTTCAAAAGTAAATACAAGATGTGCGGCTGCATATGCAATGCATACAGGACGTAGGACCTTTATATCTTTTATGCATTTCAAAGAATTATGATTTCAAATAGGCGTTAACTCAATAAGGGATGCATATTACTTTTCTATGACTTTCAACAGAAATAGAAGGTAAAATCTCTGCAGGCTTTCTACATTTTTAGAAATGTTTTTTCGCACAAAGTCGCAAAAAACTCTATCACAGTGCATCAAGTGATGACACTATAAATGAGTTGCTAAGATTTGATTAACTTTCGCCATCATCATGATATTTATGACACATTTACTAATAATTAAGACGATAGCTACACTGTTGTAAAATTGCATGAATTTTCTGAAATTCAACGTTTCTCGCTTCACTAATTGCTATCTTGAAAACTCTGTACGGATGTCTGGAAGGCTAAAGTTATTTTACAGTGTATAACTATCAATGTAATTTCATTTAACATATGTAGATATAGGAAGATGTGGTATGAGTGCCAATGAGACAACTCTCCATCCAAGTCACAATTTATAAACGTGAACCATTATAGGTCAAGGTACGGTGTATACTTTTTTTCAAAGGGTAAACCTTTTTTTTATTTAGATCAACATGTAATATATGAATATTCTTGTTAAAATAAGTGTTTTTAATTTTCCGAATTTATTACTTTCTGTTGCGTCTTTCTTCTTCGTGTCATTTGGGTGACCTGAAATGAAAATACAAAAAAAAAAGACTCAAATTATTGAGTTTAAACTCTTACAATGAAAAACATCAAAGTGTTTAAATTTCCATTATCCTTAAATAAATACATTTCATTATTATATAGACATCTCCTTTTGGTTGTGTATATATACTTTTCGAATTCAATTTTAACTATGAAAGTAAACGGTCGACAGAAATAAAAAAGAAAATACAGAACAGGACACCTAAACCCTGACGTTATACAAACATACAAATTCAAATTGCAAACATTTAAGAAATATTTAAAGAGATCAACATCAGTCTCAAATGATAATGTACAGAATATTTATCAAAAAAAAAATCAAATAAAAAAATACTGACAATTATTGCAAGCTATTTCAATCGATCAAAAATGGTAAATATCAAGTTAAGGTTTTGTGAGGGTTACCAGTTAATTAGTGTAATACAATTAATCGAACGAAACGATATTGCCAAAGTGCACGAGATCGTGTACGCCGTTATAACAGTGTCAAATATAATGTGTTGGGTATTTAGAAAAAACTCAATTTGCAACCCTTGAAAAGCAGACCGCCATGAACATGATGAAATTATCAGTTATTTTGATATTTTTTACAGCTTTCAGACCTTGCATTTTTCATTTGTTTGTTTGCACTATTCGTATTCAGTTTCGGCATCATGTACCAAGCTGTTTTGTTTCCGAATTCGGTGCTAGCCCCTTGGGAGCTGTTAAAAGATCTTGTTTATTTTCCATACTGGCAGTTGTACGGCGAGCTTTATTTAGATCACATTGAAGGTATTAACTTTGCTTAAACTAGTTGGTACTTATATACTACAGTGTATTTTCTATAGCCTAAAAAAATCCTTAATCGTGTGTACAAATGTTAGCCTTCAAGTTTCCTTAGCATTTTGTTTAAATTTTAATAATGTAATTTCAGGTCAAAAATCAATACCTGAAGATATACAAATAGAATATGCAGAACTATATAAGCAATAAGTAATGCGGCTTTTTGACTTTGTTCTACTTTTCACATCAGCACAATCGCTTGATTCGATAAATTCGTTGATTTGTGTTTAGTACCGCTTAGCACTATTGTCTATTCCATATGATTTTTAATAGATGGTGGAAGCTAGGATGACCTGAGAAAATTATCAATCGTCGGCCGGAAAACAAACAACTTTAGTCAATTTGAATTCAGTTAAATGCAACTTTAAAAGGATTCGAACAAAGACAGAGTTAACTGGCTAATGATGCAAGACAACTTACTAGTAGTGAACTAGTACACATTTTAAATTAAGTGTCAGTTGAAGCCCGCCTCCGGATGCAGGGTTTATTCGCTGTGATGAGAAACCATAGGAGGCATTCTGCTCTTTGTCATATTCCACATTTGTATTCTTAATTTTACTTAGACCACTTGGCAACCAAGACCAAACAAACTCCTTAAAAAGTTTACACTATTATTGTTGTTATTTGTGAAATATTGTTGTTATCGTTTTGCAAAGAAATGAAGAAAAAAAAAACAAATCCTAATGTTTATAATTCCACGCCACGCGTTTTAAATCACTTACAAGTCTTAAAATGAGATGTTAAAATAACTTAATAAAAATGGACATCTATGAGAAAACCATGCAGATGGTGCTCCATGCAAGGTTGTTTGATTTTGATGAAACTTTGCTTAAATGATCAGGTTGACTTCATATGAAATATTCGAATTTTAAGTGATAACTTTTAACCTTATTTTCACTTTTCTATATTACAAAGGGAAAGAACCGTCGGAATGTACAAATGATTATGAGTTATACATTAACGGAACAATGGATCGATGTGCACAAGCCAACCAATTCAATTCTACTATATTGGCTGTTTATCTGATTCTGACAAATATTATGTTAGTCAATATTCTTATTGCGATGTTTACGTAAGTATTTTAAAATCAAATTAAAAAATAATTCCTTCGTCCCATGCTCTATGCTCATTTTAACATGGGTAGGCATTATATTTTTCAAGTTCTTAATACCGACCGTTAGGGGTAAACGGTAAAAATGACGATGTTTATCTGCCCCGGTTTTTTTGAGAGGGTAGATATAAAAAGTTTATCAAAACATGTAAGAGATAATATAGATAAAAAAAGACGAGTTCGAAATATAGGACTAAAAGAGATGCTTCTTCATTAAAAGGGAGCAGCGCGTTAAGTTTAGTTAATAAGCATGTTTAACCCTGCTACATTCTGTATGCGCACGCTGCAAGACCGGAGTGACCAAAATACTTAGATAAAATCAACTACAAGTCATTGTACTACCTTCAACAATGTGTATTACTCGTTGAAAGTACAGATCAACCAGCCGGCGGAGTTGTTCTTGAAAAAACGGATAAATTAGCAGAAAACGATTTTTCTTCCTTCTACCTCTAGAAGGGTGCCCAGTCAACAAATTTGATATATTTGGGTTAAAGGAATAACACACGGCTATATTTTATATCATTGGAAAGAGGAGAACAAGCCTCGTCGAAATACTGATGTCGTCGTTGTCTACAGTGGTCACGATTTTCTTAAATTTGGGTCAAAGGCCAAATCTAAAATTTCAAAGAAAACGTAGAGTCACGTTTAGACAGATGGCCATCCCTACATATTTGCGTTTATAGCAAAATAAATTAGAATAATTCAACGAATTTTAACTAAAGTTTCTATATTTAGAACTAATTTGATAATTTTATTGCCAAATATGGTTCGAGATTAAAATTTGTACTTATAGGGTGCACATTTACAATTTTCATTCAGCTGTTAAATAACAGTGACCTTGACCTTTTAAAAGTTCCAAAATTGGAATTTTTACATAAGATTCGATACAAGTGAACATTAGAGATGTTTTTTAGATATCAACATTTTTAAGTTGCCCTCCCAAAATGTTATTTTTCCGTCATTTGATAGAAGGTGTTCGTCATGATTTTCTGGGTAAATATCAAATTTCCTTTTGGTGAACATGGAAGCACATCAAATAGTTCTTAGTTCTGAAACTGATGAATATTAACGCCGAATTGATTGAATTAGCAGGTCTGAGTATATATTTGCTTTACAGAAATAAAAAAAAAAACTGCAAACGGTGAAAAAGGGGAGGGTTTATGGTACAAGTTGTGAAAACAAAATGAGAATTAGAAACAGAAGGCTAATCACTCCATCTTGCACACTTATATCAAATGTAATGTACTTGACTTATCGAACATAAATTGGCCTAAAATTGACATGAAGTTAAAGATTATCTACAAAAGAAAGTTTTGTACAGCATCGATGTATTTTACCAACACTTGTAAACAATATCAATCTAATGAAAATATAGATCTCTGATTTCGTTATCCCCATTTGAGTGTATATATATAAGAGCACTCGAGTTAATAAAGACCAGAAATTTAATAAAAGCGAAACAACATAGAAAAATTACCGAAGCTAGTAGTAGCTATTACGTTTGATTGTCTACTATTAAGTTGAAAGCCTATCGACTAGGTTTAGGTAAGAGAGCTAATTTCAGTTGTTCTTTTTTAAATCGCCTTCGACGCAAGTAGCTGAATGCGAGGCATACAGAATACAATATGATGGTGGTGGCGGCAACACCGTAAACTATTAATATAGCTTTATATTTCAGAGGGCAGAGGAACTGGATGATTCATACTTTGTATATAGATCCATTATGTTACGAAGTTTCCGTCATATAATCATTATCCTTGACCTCATATTCATGGTTAAGTGACTGCTAAAAAAAATGTATAGCTTTTTTCGTTATGTGAATGTCTCAATTATCACGAGTTCTAGGATAACTATATTTGGTTACTAATATATGGTATCCTTGCAAGGTCTACATGACCGTCAGACATGATTCACCTGACCTCGACACAATTTCACGAATCAGTGAATAAGGTTAAGTTTCAGTGATCAAGTCCGTACAGTCTCATATAGTAGTGGGTTAAATATATTTGGTGTATGGAATAGTAACAAGGTGTACGTGATTTTGTGGCAGAGTTCATCTGACCGTACCTCATTTACATGGAACATTCATAGTGTTAATTTTATGTCATACTTGTTGTATAATAAAAAAATTAGGAGATGTGGACGCAAACAAGTATAGGCAACCGTGCAGCCTTCAACAATGTGAAAAACTCATACCATATGATCGGCTATAACAGGACAGTTATGAAAAAATTAAAGAATTCATTTGAAAAAAAAACCAACTGCCTGATTTATAACAAAAGCTAGTTTTTACGGTAATGATGTTTATGATCATACTTTTCGCAGACTATTGCTGACGTCCTTTCATTAGTTTTCAGTAAGGGAACACCCATTTGATTTCGAAAACAGGGAGGGAATGAGGATTTTGAAAATGAATTACTTGGCCTGGTATGAACTGACATAATTGACTTTGCACAAGACAGGATGAGAATGAACACTCTTCAACATGAAATGCAGAATAGTTGAGGATATGAATGTGTACAAAAGTGAAAATAAATTTTCGCGCCGCCAGCCCCAACATTTTCTTTGGAATATACAATGTTCTACCCTAACGGCGAGTACTATTATATCGGTACTTTGTGTTTTTTGTCTTCATGTTAGTTGTTTTTGTGCTTCATGCCAATTTGATAAGTCAAGCCATTTCAAACTGTTTTTCATCAGATTTTTCTTATGCTGTGTTGTTATGCCATTGTCCAGGTCAGGTGAGGGTGAAGGATCACAAACATGTTTAACCCCTCTAAATTCTGTATATGTCTGTCCAAAATCAGGAGCCTGCAATTAAGTGGTTGTCGTTGGTTGCTGTCTGTTGTATCCGTTTTTTTTTTTGTTGTTGCACGAACGGTTGTATATTATTGTTGTCGAAAACATCATACAAGACTTTTGATGTGCCATATTCCGGGTGTGAAATAAAACCGACTGATTTGATTCTTATACTACAATTATAACAAAATATTTATTCAATAAAAAGTTTAAAGTTTTGAAAAACAGACACAAAACCGATTTCTCCAAACAAAGTGACAATCTATAAAGTTAGCTGGCTTTTCACAAATATTAAATCAACCACACAACTAGCAAAAAAAAAAAAACAAATGTTTTGAGTGACCTTTGTCCTTGTTGATGGCCTAATAGTGTAAGCAACAAAATGATTAAAGGCACGAGATAATCCGTGTTTAATCAATACCAAAATGTTGACTGAATTTGTGTTTTTAATTGCTAATTTCTTCAAAACGATTTTTATTTCACGCATGCAATTTGGCACACACATGCACTGTGTCTTATTGCCTATATCAGAGTAAAAAATATTGTGATGATACACGTAATAATTTTGCTATCGATGAAAATAGGGTAAATTTCGGGTAAAATTTTACTCTTACTAAAATGCTGAAATACTTATATCAAAATAACTTAAATACTTTCCGATTTCGTTATATGATATATTTAATATATAAACTATATATATATCATAGGTACTGTTTTAACTACCAACAAAGAATGAAATAATTTTATTTTTCATGTTAAAGATTCCACGTACAATACAGTATTTGGTGGTACCCTGTAAAAACACGAAATTTAGAAAATCGTGACCACGGGAACTTACGACGACAATCATGATTGTTAAATATAATGATTTTCCTATAATGTGCAAAAAAATCAGCCGTGTGTTATCCGTTAACTTAAACTCGTTAACTAGAGGACTTTTTGGACATTGGGCACCCTAATACTCCGCCATATTTGGATCGTGTTTACTGCAATAATCATGACCAGTTTATCGACTGTAGTTATGACAAAACAATTGGCAAAAATGAACGATACCAAAACTACTCACAATATAAATGTTATTTTATACAATGATAAATCTAAATATCTTACATTTTTGTCCTGTCAAGTAGATTTCTTATAGATAACTGAGTTCTACATTAAACATTTCACATTTCTTTTCCAAGGACTACAATTGAGAAAGTACAAGATGATTCTGAAATGATTTGGAAATTCAACATGTATGAATTGGTAAAAGAATGCTATGAAAAACCAATGTTTCCAATTCCAATACTTATACACTTATTTAGACTATTCATATTATGTCAAAACAAAATAAGAAACCAGTATGAAACTGATTTTGGTAAATATTGTTTACTTTATTATATCTGATCTTTTTTTATTGGAACATCAATTGAAAAAAATATTTAATGCCTTTTCTCATGTCAGTCATGTACACAAATGTATTTAACAAAGTACTGGTAAAGACGTTTGATATGACTTTGTTGACAACTGTACCCGAACGTTTGACATTTTTATCTATTATGCTTGTTAGTTTTGTTCACACATCGTTGTCAATATAATGGAATTGTATGCGACTGTCATGCAAGTAAGATGTTTAGCTAGCTATTAAACCAAATCTATTTCCCCGTTTTCTACATAAGAAAATGCCTGTACCAAATCAGGGTTATGACAGTTGTTGTCCATTCGGTTGATATGTTTCAGCTTTTGATTTTGCAATTTGATAAGGGACTGTCCGTTGTGAATTTTCATCGGAGTTCAGTATTTTTGTGATTTTACTTTTTATATACTACATATGAATAATCAAAAACAGTGTGTGCTATTTATCATAAGTACTGAACAACTAGAAATTTGTTTAAAAAAAACACTGAATTTTCGACTCCTATATTTCTTTACGTTCTTATCTAAAATCGTCCCTGTAGTAAAGTTAGCACAATATACAAATGAAAATGTAGTATTAATTTCAATGAGACAATTCTTCCAAAGAGACCAAATGACACAGGAATTATCAACAAGGAGCAAAGCCAATACCGCATTTTCAGCTATTAAAGGCCCCGACATGACAAATGTAAAACTATCTAAACGAGAAACTAACAACACAATTAATCTACACAAAATGAACAAAACAACAAATATGTAACACAACAGCAAACAACAACCACTGAATTACAGGATCTTGACTTGGGAATGGCTCACATCATTTTACTATTTGCAAAATTAAGTTTGTCATTTATAAATGTGAGAAATATTCAACATACATGTTTCCAAAAATTGAATAACATTTCATTTCTAGAATTGCTCCTTACATTCGAAGACATGGAAAATCTAAATATTGTTGAACATTTTGCTTTGCAAAAGTGTCAAAATGAAACTGCCCGTGCTGGTAGTAGATATAATGCTAGAAACATGATGACAGATGAAAGGTAAAAATACTTATAAAAATGTCTCAATAACCAGATTTGACAAAAACAGCTTCAAAATAATCATGATAATTAAATGGTTTGATTTCGGTCAATTTGATTTCATCAACTTTCTGAAAATACATATAGCAAACATGTACAAATAAGCTGATTTACAATGTATATCTACCTTCGTTTGCATTTATTTATCTATAAAAAGTCCCACTATATATTAAATCCCTCTTTTTTACTATTTATTTTAAAAATTTCTTTTTTTTAGTATATGTTTTTAAAATTTATTGAAAACACAATTCAGATTGAACATGTTTAAGGCTTTTGACACAATTATTAACGTAATATTTCTTTATGGAACTGTGTTTCTACGAGGTAAAATGAAAATTTATACTACTTCCGTTTAAAACATGGATCTTATAAAATTGCAAAAATAAAAACGACGCACTAGTAAGGAAAAAAAATGTAGTCAACAAAAGCAGCCTGAACAATATTTAGCGAAGTCATAAAAAACTATTTGTAATTTTCAGACTTATGCATAACCGTTGCGAGACATTCATTACTTTTCAGACAATAAGCTGTCTGTCAATTTACTGTTGTTAAGCCTACTTCAAGGGTTTTTTTTTACTTGTTTTTAGTTTGGCTAAACATACCAACAGCATATCGTATTGTATGACCGACTACGAAACAGTATTTGATTGACTACAAGCAAAATGTCTTTACAGTACCCAATTCAAAACGTGAAAATATAAAAAGAATCACTTAAACATGTTAAACTGTTTAAAAAACTCTCAACAAGAAAAACATGTACCTCATGTTTCACAGATTTTTCCCATTATATGCAAAATGAAAATTCTCATATCATTTCAACTTTATAAATCAGTTGAACCACCTGAAAAACTCACAGAACTGAAATTATGTATACACATATTTAGCATGTGAAAAGTTTTATATTTTGATGTATTATTTAATGTTGCATAACATACTTACACATGAGTATTTCTTGTATTGACTTATACATATTTTTCTAGGGATATGAATACAGAAGCCGATTTAACCCCTACCCAGAAAGACATAAAGGATTATGTGACTGAGGTGATACGTCAAATTGCTTTACGACAACCAATTGTATTAGTAGATTTGCCTAGGCGATAACATACTATTGAAAATGAGTCAATACAATTTGAATGACATCTTGTAGAAGCAGACTTCGCTTAAAATAACATTGTAAATAGTCTTTATTGTGGACCAAGTTTACTTTTGAGGTTATATACACCTCCATGATATGTAATCTGATGTAGAAAAAAGATAAAAATAGTGTATCATGTTTATAATCTTTCCGAAATTGTTTCATTAAATATAGGGTAATATATCAATTAGTTAATGTATGTGCGTATGTTTGTTTGCTTGCTAACAGTTGTGTATTCTATATGATAAACTCTAAATTCAAACTTAAGACACCAGTTTTTGTTTAAAGAATTGGCTTCATTCCGTTTTAATTTGGGAAACTATTTTCTTTCAAATGTGTTATCTTTCTCGCGAAACTGATTGATGAAAAATCCATTAAATGTACATCGATTGAAAGTACATGCATTTGTTTACATACAATTTTAGTCCCAAAATATTAAAATTCTATCAAAATCCTGGCTCATATTTTCTTTGACTCGTTGATTTTTTTCAATGTGTCCAAAGTAAAAATTGTTGTTTTACCAAAAAAAAAAAATGTTCATATCTATTCAGTAAATACAATTAAGGGGGTGGGGTTAAATTAAAAAGAAATTGATAAGATGTGATTTGTTTTGGAAACAAACAGAAAGTCTAGATTGGCAATTTTATTTTTGCAGATGCTTTGACTTTAATAAACATTGTATGTGTTGTTGTTTTTTTGTGTTATTGCAATATCCTAATGTCATTTCCCTTATAACATTGTTATTATTTTGACTATAGATTTCTTTTTCTAAGTATTCAGTGGATTTCTTAAGTTGCTTAGAGTTTAATTTGATGCTGACTTAAATTACAAAAAGAGACATAAATGAATATGTTGGTATTAAGATTTAGTACATGTATTTATTATTAATGATATATCTTTACTTGGTCAAGTCAACCTCTGTTTTAACTATTGTTTTCATGAATATTGGTGAATATACTATATTTTCATGAATAAACTCTATCAGCTTCATTTTAACCAAATTCCTTGATCTTCTTTTTTCATATGATGACTTTAAAACTAATTTTACCTTTTATAAAATTTTGGTTGATCGTGTACGATCTGCTTTTCGTAATGGATAAATGACATCTCTTTTTTGTAACGATTTCATTGTTAGCAATATCCTTGAGATTTCATTAAACTAGAAAAGAAGACAAAATAAGTTTGTTTGTATTCTATTATTCTAATTCAGTAGATGCTACTATCTGGATGGACTATTTAAATTTATTGCTATCTCCTTCAATGATAAAATCAAACTCGATTTTAACAAATTCTACCTTTGACAAATTACATTTCTAAAAGCGTCATCTTCACAAATTATCACATTAATAGCGACACCACTGTCTTCTAATCCTTTTGATGTTATCGTGTTCGGCATATCAGACATTGTTATATGGTAAACTCACAGTTATGTTTTTTTTAACAAATTGGTGGCAATAGGTTAAGAGTCACGGGATTCGTTACATTATAAAGCATCCAGTTTTATTGAAACATTAATGAAGTGGTAACATTTCATTTAGTACTTTAGAAAACTGCTTTATGATTAAAGTTTGGTTTCAAATTATAATATACGACATATTTCGCAATATCATCAACTCTATGGAAAATATGATTTCCATGTGTGCTGGACTTGTTTACACTGCTACAATTTGAATTTGAATGATGTATACAACATGACTATATTTACACTATAAACAACAATTGTACATGTCATGCAGTATGATGTACATGTACATGTATCCAGAAGAGACAATAAATACACAACATGAGTTTTTTTTTTTATCCTTGAATGAATATAACCATGTATACATGTATAATATTCAACATGCATAGTTATATTTGTTTGAACAGAGGTGCCACAGCGGTAAAGCTTGAGGTAGTTCGCCGAAAATTCAAACAAAATTTGGGATAAAATGTTGTGAATATAACAGAACGTTACCATTCTTATCCTAGATTTATCTTCTTATAATTCATTATTTACGTATGTTCTTTCAAGTGTATCTTGTGTGAGCTAATTAAACCTTATTTTCCATTATATCATTATTTAGGTTTTTTTTAAACGGTCTAGTATTTATCATTCACAAAACTGTTTTGCAACGTTTGAATGCAAGCATATTTTCAGTTGTTTTAAATATCTCGCTCACATCTGCCATTTTTTCAGCGGTGGAGCTGCACTTTTTTGTTTTCCAAACCCCAAAGTGCCAGTAAGTTTCAAACTAAGTATATTAACCAATATTGTAGAAAACTCGATCGACTTGTGTAATCCATCATCAGTGAGATGTATCTTCACAAGTCGTTTTCAAACTGAAAATATGATCTTAATCGTTAAACAAATTATCACGAATCGATACCCTGGTAATTGTTTTTCAATGTTGATGTTTGGGAGGAGGAATAAATTCTTTAAAACTGTAAGAGTGCTGTTCTGAAGCCTGCTTTACTGGAAACAAATGATGATAGAGACTCATTCTATGTTTTTTTTTGTAATGCCTTCTGGGCCAACTGTCCTCAACTTCCTCATCCAATAACTTTCTCGACCAAGTCTCTCGGTCTTTGGCCAACCCTCCTTGCGGTCTATGATAGTGATGGTAAGGTTTTGAAGATCTGCTTGGGTAGGCCCAGGTTATCTTAAATGACGACTTACAAGGAAGTCGGGTTTGCAAGTGTAATCACTTGGATGAGCATTCATGCGTTTGTTGAGTGGCTGCTTTGTCTCGCAAACATACTGCTTGCCAAATCAACACTGAAGAAGGTATACAATATTCTGGGTTTTGGAAGTTGCATTGAAAAATATAGTGTATACAATACGGAGATGCAAGTAAATATTTTGTTGGCAAGTCAGATATCGTCTGTTACCACACGACTTGCACCATCCTGTAGTTGAAGAGCTGTTATAAGAGGAAACATCAGCTCTCACAAATACGTCTTTCAGACTTGTTGGACTCCAAAAAGCTAAGACAGGAGGATTTAGAAATATCTTTCTTTCATACTTTTGGATGTTTGGCAATATTCTGCCAATTGACACGAATCAAATTTAAAGGGTTAGTAATGGCTGAATTGTGTGTTAAAACAAACGGAACTAATTTGCTTCGCCTCTTCTGTTTGTACTGTAATATGTCATTGCGGAAACCCCTTCTATATGTCCAATTTCTTATAACCTCGTTTTGTAAAAAAAAATTCTTGTAACTATTAAGTGACAGCCTCCTAAAAGGAGCAAATACGCTTTACTCTGGGCGCTTTATCATACGAAAAACTTTTTGTACAGTGGTTTGGATGACAGCTTAAAGGAGAAAGATACTGAAGTATTTGGATACAAAATATCAGACCAGGGGTATTATGGTTTTAACTATTTTTTGACAGTTTTAGGTTTTTGTATTTACAAGTCATATTATGTCTCCAAGCAAAAACTTAAATTTTTAGATGTGTATAATATGTTTATAAAAGAAATACGAAGAGTTATAACTGAGAACAAAACAGTTTCTTAAAATGTATTTTTCATTAATTTAAAAAGATTGATATAATAGAAAAAAATTTTATATTCTATTATATTCTGAGTATTGTCCTGCATACTCAGAAAGCATTTCACAGGGATACTTTATTGTAGCTTGGACAGTGGAGTAGAATTGTAACAAGCATTCTGAAGTAAGTTTATAGCAGAGGTCTGTTGATAAGACACCGTCCTTTATAGATATAGTGTTGTGTAAGAAATATATTTTAGAGTCATACATTTTATAATTATGTAAAGGTAACTGACTACGAATATATCGAGACGTTGTAGGCTACAATATTTTAAAAAGTAAAAGGAGAAAACGAATGTTTCCTTGATACACTTTTTAATATTCTGTTTGTGGTTTATGAGCACATCATATAGTTTTATATATTAAACAGAGTAAAAAGACAAGTCAAAGATCAGTGTTACACATTGGCGCTGTTATATTGGAGGTTTTTAAGCAATCGTTTTTACTAAACTGGCGAAAATGTAAAACAAGTCATGATTTCACTAATATGATGATTATGGCAGTTACAGATGTTAATAATTGTATTCAGTAGTCAATATGATCATCAATAAGAATCTTAACAATCGTATTTATTGTCAAAATGATTATATCGTGTTCCTGAATTGCCACTGAAAGTAATATAGGACATTACATTTACCCACATCTGAAGATTTTAAAAAGACAATTTAATATTGAAGACATATCGAATAATCAAATAGTATATGTTCCTTTAGTATTACTCGAATAACGAATATTTTGGCGTTTAGTACACTTTATGTGGTACACCGCTTGTCAAACTGACTATAATATGTGCAAGCTAAAGATCCGTCAACAGACAAATAGATAGTTTAATGTACGGCAATAAAATAGATACAATAACATTGATATTAGAACTATTTCAAAACAAGAATTCAACAGTCAGTCACTGGTTGAATTAAATAAAAACAATGTGTTCACTAAAGCTTTCTTTTAAAAATATTTGTGATAGTATAATGAATGTGTAGTATCTTATACAAAATACGCCTCTTTTAGATACGCCATTACAAGTTAAATATCATATTTGAAACAATTCACACGGTTACAATTAGCCGTTAGCTCACACTTAATTCGGAATGCAATTGATCAATACTATCTGATGTACAATTGATAAGTATATAATAGTAATCGCAATCCAATAATACCAAATATGTCATTTAAGATTTAAATGAAAAACGTTTTCAGTATAGGGAACAATTGACCTATAGTAAAATAGTTAAATATGCCTGCGTGTTAAAGGTTTATCGATACCAATTATATCAATGGTTTAAATAACCGTAACTCACAAAATCATCATATAGTGTTTCCTTTAAGATTTAATTCAACAATACGCTACATTAAAGGTCGACTCTCAAAGCAGTTTTTAAATGATACTCCGTACAGAAAACCGTTATCTGAACTACGTATTTGATACCCGACTGCCTCTAGAAGTTGTCTTTAGTGTGGATCTATGATAAAGTCGAGTTATGTTACTTCACAGTTTGATTTCATACCAACGAAATCACTTTTATTTTAATTCAATGTTTGACACAAAGTTAATATGAAAAAAAATAGAAGATGTATGATTGCAAGTTAGACAACTATCCACCAAGGTTACATGCACTATTCATTCTATCAACTTGTAAGAAGAAAGAAAAATAGTTCCAAGCATTAATTCTACACAAAATACGGAAGCTTCTCTAATTATTGGCTGAATCCCTTTCTAACAGTTGATAGCAGTCCCATGAATTGGTTATTAAAGATTCCTTATACAAATATTAAAATATAACATATAACTTTATAATGTAACATATCTAACCGTACAACAGAACCTAAGCTGCTTATTTGACATAGTCATCTATAAAAGGCCCCAAAATGACAATTCAAAAGAATTCAAACAAGACAACTGACTGTCTGATTTATTGAAGACTGTTTTTTTTTTTATGTTTTCGAACAAACTGCTATTCTTATTATACAATCGAAATTATAATAATTGGACTATTCGCTGCACATTGATTAAAAGTAATACATTGCGAGTGAGATTTCAGATTCAACATATCAATGAAAGGCTTAAATATTTTTCAGAACAGATATTTGACACAAGTTCTAAAACTAAAATAATGTGTGAAATGTTTGAATTGAATCAAGGTTTTATTATGTATGACATATATGAGACAATACAAGATGTGTCTACGGAAATAACATAGTCAAGTACATTATGTTAAAAACTAAAAAACGGACAAAATAGACAAAATCAGACGTTACAACACAAACAATTCATGCTTAAAGGACCACAATTTTGCAATATTTAATATAATAGGCTAAAAAGGTATTCATGTTTGCTTTTAAAGTAGCATCAAACCAGCATCTATGTAAAAAAATAGGTCCATTTTGTAGTAAAAAAAGGAAAACGTTATCATAGATAGTAGAGAACGTAATTCATTGACTCAGAACGTTTATGAAACTTTATTTAGAGATATTTATTACGTGTAGATTAAAATTAGCAATGAAAATTAACAAATATTATATATAATAATTACGTAATCCTTCCATAAAGTTACACGATATTTCTATTTCAATGTTTAAGTTACATTTAGCCGTAGAGCACTTACGTCATATATGAAACGAAAAATAAAGGATCCGATGTTTTTAAGCTATTTTGTGAATATGTTGTTATCCGTCTGGCTTTCATTTGTCAGGAAACCGTTACAACTTTAACCCACTTATATCACAAGTACACTTTGAAAATGTGTAGAACTGTTTTAATTATAGCTCTTGCTATTTTTGTTTATATTATATACAATGAAACTTTAATTCATTCAATACATTCTTCAAAAGTGTATTCTCCCGTAAAATTCTATTTATATCTGAAACAAAACGAATCACTAGAAACTAAATTTATGTTATGATATTCATATATATATATCATATGTATATTAACAATGTCTTCTTTATTGAAAAGCGTTTTTCTCGTGTATTGCATAATTGTTATTTTGCAAAATTTCTGTTTTTTGTATTCATTGTAAAACGTTTTCAAATTCGCTTTGCTAATGCATTTATAATAATAAAATAAATGCAGTGTATTTTGTTTTTGTCATTTTTTGTATTTTTTGATATGCTGTATTGAAAATGTTGATCAGTTTTGCTTTTCACAGTTTCTACTAATCAATTACTAGTTTCAAGATGATCAGCAAAATTTCTCATATAGATTTTGTTTCGAGGTCAACTGAATTCCGTCTCCTGTGGCAGAATTGTATTGCTGTGTTGAAGACCCCATCGGTGGCTTTCGGGTTTTTCCTGCATTTTGGTCGGGTTGTTGTTTTTTGTTTTTTTACTTTCACATTTTTACATATATATACATTTAGTGATTGAGAAATTTTTGGGGAAAAAAAACAACTCATTAGTGCTGGTAAAGCTTTTCATCCCTGAGGTAATCACACGCACTGCTGTGTTGACAAGAGCTATGATTGACAAGGTCATAATTATCAATCAATTGTTAAAAACACGTTGACTTGTCGATATACTAAGAATTGTCTACCTCGGGAATACATTACATTAGCTGTATTTGGCAAAACCTTCGGGATTTTCAGTCCTAAATAATCTTTAAGTTTGTAATTAATTTGTCTTTCTAGCGTTTTTGATTGATCGACAGTGACGAATCTTTTGTAGACAAAACACACGTCGGACTTACAACATTTTATCGCTGTTATCTATGTTTAGTTTATTTTACTGTAAATGGAGTCACATGATAATTCTGGGGTTGATAGAAAGGAGGTAGAGCGGAAATTTGTCTATCTATTATGTATTTCAAGATATTTGACAACAAATGCATTGTACTCTCGTGACCAGTTATAGCCATGGTGGTCATGCTAGTTGTTTGGTTGAAACAGATTTTACACTACATACCCTGTGAATCACTCAGTTAATGTTTGGTAGAAATTTGTCGCGATGTTTTATATGAGAAAATATTTTAAAAGTGAATTTTCGACGACGACGACGGACGACCATGATGTACGGCAAGTAATGTCAATAGTTCAAATGGTAAACTCAATCAATTGTTAGTATTACCTGTGGAAATCAGAACGATGGTTTCTTAATAATTTCCGAATTGATCACCGATGAAATAAAGAATGATTTGTTAGAAAGTTCATCGATGCAGTAGAACTGACCAATGAGCTGATGTTATCAAAGTTCTGATAACCAGAATTCTGTTACTCAGGTACTGGCATGAAAATAATGTTTTAAAGTTGTAGGTGTAACACCACTAATTCGGCCCGGCCAGAAAGCACATACCAGAAAGTAGTACATATTTAACACAAAATAGTTCCTACGCATGAGTGTAACTTTCAAAATATGTAGAATATTTAGGTATTGTTGGTATCAAATGAAAGCTGAATGACTGGTGATCATTGTAGAACACTTTTTGACTTATAATTTTGAATATTAAAAAAACTGCACCAAATTTTATACTTGTTGCCTGTATGTCAGATCTGAAGTACCTGTTTTGGTACATCCGAAGTTCCGGGAACCAGTTCTTTCTTATATGCCATTAAAGGTATGTTGATTTTTCCAGTACAAGACACCATAAAGTGTTGCTTTGACATGCAATGATTGTCACTTTATTTGAACTTGAAACAAAAGAGCTGTGTCTGCTTGAAATTGAGGAATTAAACATAGAAAGCAATGGGGCCATGAATTAGTGGTGTACTTCCTATTACAGAGAATCATCAGAAATTCAATTTTTAGAAGTTGTACCTATTCCAATGAAAATAAGTCATATTTGATGTAAGTAAACATGTTTAATCATCTTTTTTGGATGAACAATTTTGTTTATGAGAAATTTCAGCTCTTAAATTCACATAATCAGGTATTTTAGCCTTTTATGGTCACACAACATGCATGCAGATAAGACTTGACTCCAAATTCTTATTTTTGCATTATTTGGGATTGCAATCAATAAAACATGTATATAATGACTTGTTTATGGTAAAAAAATAGCTCTTGTTCAAATAATCCTATGAATTTTCAAGTTTTATTGGTTTTCATATGATAGCCTTTTACAATCTAGGTAATTGGTATATACTCATATAAGAATTCCAAAATCTCACTGTACATGCAATTTTGAACCAGTTTAGCAAGTTATCCAGCTGAAAAATATATAAATTGCTCTTTATAATCTATGTTGTACCACAGAAGTATGGTTTGTACCAAAAATGTCCCTTTTCCAATTTGAAGAAAAAAGGGGGGACAATTTTCTCAATTATGTCTTAGGTTTGGTCTAATATATTTTTATCAAATGAACAAACTCTGGTAAAATATGACTATTGGTAAAAACATTGTTTTCCTAACAGAAATTATTAGATACAACAATGATATTGAGAATAAAATAAGTATATTGGCCATTTATAATATCCATATTCAGTTTTCTTTGAATAACCTATATGTTACTACCAGTCCAATTTGAGCTTAAAATTAGTAAAATAGTATTTGAATTTAAGCTTTATGTGTTTTTTATTGCTTGAAATAGATCATAGAATGAAATAAAGTGATGCTGAAGTCAGTATAGCAAGTTTGGTTCTGTTATAGGTGTAACACCACTAATTAGGCCCGGCCAGAAAGCACATACCAGAAAGTAGTACATATTTAACACAAAATAGTTCCTACGCATGAGTGTAACTTTCAAAATATGTAGAATATTTAGGTATTGTTGGTATCAAATGAAAGCTGAATGACTGGTGATCATTGTAGAACACTTTTTGACTTATAATTTTGAATATTAAAAAGACTGCACCAAATTTTATAAAGTGGGTATTTTTTGCCTGTATATCAGAACTGAAGTACCTGTTTTGGTACATCCGACGTTCCGGGAACCAGATCTTTCTTATATGCCATTAAAGGTATGTTGATTTTTCCAGTACAAGACACCATAAAGTGTTGCTTTGACATGCAATGATTGTCACTTTATTTGAACTTGAAACAAAAGAGCTGTGTCTGCTTGAAATTGAGGAATTAAACATAGAAAGCAATGGGGCCATGAATTATTGGTGTACTTCCTGTATTGAAATTGACTTTCGGTTATATCAGGTTTTCAACCTTTGTACAGTAATACGTTACAATAACAACATGGACGATGATGAAATGCTTTATCATTTAAATCTTTCGTAACTATAGGGCAAAATATAAGCATACAAAGTAACTGTTGATCCAAATTTTAGCTGAAAACCATTTTTAATGTTTATGCTAGTCTGAAATAAATGCTTTTTAAGGTCAGGTAAAATGTAAATGATCTTATACAACATCGATGTTCTTAACGATTATAGAAGAGAGTGTGGTATAATATAGCGAATGGACATAATCAGTGTTCGTTCTAAAAAATAATAAATGGCGGAACTTCAAAATCGAATGTTTGTAGTTGCGAGTTACGAATATCAAAATGAATACACCGGAATCAACTGAGGATTAAATAGCAATTACTCAATCACTAAATGTATATATATGTAAAAATGAGAATGTACAAAAACAAAAAACAACAACCCGACCAAAGAGCAGGAAAGACCCGAAAGCCACCGATGGGGTCTTCAACACAGCAATAAAATTCTGCCACAGGAGACGGAATTCAGTTGACCTCGAAACAAAAATGTGAACTAGTACAGTGAAAATGGACGTCACATTAACCTCCGAAATATATAAATGAACTGAAAATTAAAAAAAAACAACATACAAGTCTAGCAAAGGGTAGAAGCTCCTGACTTGAGACAGGCACAGAAACGCAGCGGGTTTTAGCCTGTTTTGTGTTATCCCAACCCTACCCTGATACCTCTAGCCCATGTATGATAAACAAACACAAAGCAATACGCAGAGTAAAACTTGGTTAAAAAGAAGTCCGAATCCGATGCCAAAATTCAATGTGTTTGTTTAGGGGAGATGAATTTGGGTTACACCATGATAAACGTGTAAGTAATGTTCCTTATTCACTAAAACATTACATGCATACACATGTATACTTGCTTTTATTAATTTTTTTACCTAATACTTGTAATTATGAACATCGTTTTGTATCATATGCTTGCAATCGTTTTTTTCTTAATAACTGATAAAGCCGACCGTGCAAACCCACATGGGTAATCAAGGTTGTTTAAAACCACCCTTATTAAAGAATGATAAAACGTAATTTTAGATTTTGAAATATTTTATTAAACATAAAAAAAAAACATAAATATTAGTTTAGTAGAAATAAAACTCTGTCAAGTTTGCGTTGCTTTGGCTATTTTCAAACTATTTTGAATTTTCTGTTTGCTGAGTTTTGAATAAACAACTACAGATCTAATATACTTGTCTCTCTTGTTGTCTAAAACCAAAAGGAATAACACCTACAATGCACTTTTTAACACGCTTATTTTCCTTTCGTTGACTTGACTAAATTAAGCGCAAGTAAACAGCGGCAAAAATATTGATTTCATTTTTTCAGATTATTTTATATTCTTTCAGAGCTGAAATGGCTATACCGAATAAAAAAATAATGTCATTTTAACGCTCGTATATGAAGTACATGGAAATTCAATATTCATTATTCATTCATCAATCAGTTTCATATTATTCATATTATCTTTACCATATCTGAACAAAGGAAACAGGTAATACTAATTTTCAAAATTGAATATAGTCAATCCACTTAAAAGCAACGAAAACGCTTGTCAAGTTTAAATAGTGACCTTTAAAAACACATGGTACTGCAAAAAATGCACATCTAGGTAATTAAACAAACAAAAGCTTTAAAAAATCAATAAATGATCCACTTCTCTAATACTAATTAAACTTTAGGGAATCAACTCCTTTAAACATTGTACACTATTTGTTTTTGTGTATTTCATATTAGATATTAAAGAGTTTTGCATAACTTGGTTCGAAACAGTAATTATTTGCAATGATATAATAAGTAAAAGCGGCTTCTACAATCTGTTCTGTAAATTGTAGTCAACTGTTTTTAATTCAATATTATCGCCGATTATCTAATACTATAACTGGTTTTTGATATTCTAAATTTCGAATCTCCTGAATCAACGATTCTCTCATTCGATGCATTTCTAGTCGTAAATCCTTTATATCTTGCTGGGTAGGTGTCGAGTCGATTTCTTTAAGTATGTCCCTGTAAAAATGTATAAATCATTACAAATCGAATGTTAACATGTATGTGAGGAAAAATAATATTATATAACTCTAATCACACGATGAGTTATCAAAGCACCAAAATGTGTATTCATAACTTTGAGTTTTTGAGTGTTAAAAACTATTTGTAACAAATAAATAGTACGATATGTTTTACATAATATGGTTTTGAACACAGATTTCAATATGGGGATATGTACAGACATACAACCTTGATATACATAAATTTTACGTTTGACAGTTCATTAAAAATGTTTGGTTTTATTAATACAATGTCATTTTATACTGTTGTCTTAAAGGTTATGTTATCGACTTCAGTTATATCGATAGATAACTTGATTTTGCATGTATTGATGTTCGATATTGAATTTTCTGATTTATTATTTAACTAAATAGGCTGAAATGGATAAACCAGAGGAATAAAACTTCCACGTTTCGTTTAAAGCAATAGCATGGTTCTGTGAATGTCCAAATGCATTAATCTTACAAAAAAACATGTCGGTGTTTCATCCCGTTTATGTGCGTATCACGAAGTGAACAAGACGTTTATTTCAAATTTGAAACTGTATTTCGACTGTAAAACATCAGAACAAGCTGGAAATCGTCAAATGACATAGACATATATTCACATCATGTACAATATTTTACAAAGTGTTACTCGGTTTTACGATGATGTAGTGTCATTGAAATCGACCAACAAATCTCTTGGTCATTCAAATAGGTAATTTTTGGTCATAAAGCCTCTAACGTTCATTCATTTTTATACCTCCATGGCTTTCTATTGTGCTCATCTGAGCATAATTGCTGATGTAGATTTATACATTAAGAGCTTGAGAGGCATTGGATATATATATGTATGTGTTAGTCAAATGCGTTTTATTAAAATATACTTTTTCACCCTTTTGGTCTTTTAGAAAATGTTGTTTGTGCTGTATTTAGACCCCTCTAACAAACAATTTGTTTTGCATGCACACGTATAAAAATTGCGGTTTTTATCCAACGCAATCATAGGTTTGAACGTTGTTATCAATTTAGACTTGTTTATATTTTTTCGTTTGGGCTTGTTTTATATTTGCCTTCGGGTTTATATGATCCGTTCATCCTATTTTGACTCCTCAAAATTCAAGAGTCTATCCTAAATTGAGGTAAATTGTACGGATTTCCAAATACCGTTTCGATTCCTAACATCACTGAAAAGACATTATTTGTCGAAATCCAGATATGGTGTACAAAAACCTTTGCACATTTTGTTTGCGGTATATCATCTTTTCCGCAAGTTTATTGTTTTCTGTTTAGTGTTAAATTTATAATTCAGATCCATTTATTACATCGGTGATCCGTTTTTTTGGCAATCGCCAATGGCAGTCAGCAGGGTTTAAGAACATTTGTTTTTCGACCTGTTTTGCATGCACACGTATAAAAATTGCGGTTGTTATCCAACGCAATCAAAGGTTTGAACGTTGTTTTCAATTTAAACTTGTATATATATACCGCAAGTTTATTGTTTTCTGTTTTGTAATAATTTATTATAAGATCCATTTTATAAAATCTGGTGATCCGTTTATTTGGCAATCGCCAATGGCAGTCAGCAGGGTTTAAGAACATCAGTTGTTCGACCTGTTAGTCAAATGCGTTTTGCTAAAATATACTTTTTCACTTTTTTGGTCTTTTGGAAAATGTTGTTTGTGCTGTATTTATACCCCTCTACTAAGAAATTTGTTTTGCATGCACGCGTATAAAAATTGCGGTTTTTATCCAACGCAATCATAGGTTTGAACGTTGTTTTCAATTTAAACTTGTTGTATATATATGGTGTTTATTTCATTTGCCGGCATCCCATATAGTAAATTGGTATAATATTCAGTTATGCTCAAAATCAAAAGAATACGTTTGCATGAACCTTGTTATTAGAATAAAAAAAAAAATCTCAATATTATAGACATAACAGGCAAAAAGTAAATTCAAAAATACCGAATTCAAGGAAAATTCAAAACCCTTACCAAATGGCAAATATAAAGCATAATCATTAAAGAATTGAAAACAACTGTCATATTTCAGACTCAATACAGGCATTTTCTTATGTAGAAAATGGGAGATTAAAACTGGTGTAATAGCTTGATAAACCTGTCTTGTACGATAGTCATATAATCTTCCATTATAGTGACAACAATGTGTGAGAAAAAAAACAAGACATAATAAGTAAAAGTGTTAAAGATTTGGGTACAGCAGTCAACATTGTGTTATACTCTTTATCACTATAAAAAGAAACAACTATCTAAAAAAAAACACAAACTGGCATATAGACACTCTATAGACAAAGCATATACTAGGTATCAAAAGTTAAAGACGAGAATACAAAAAATGACCATAGGACAATAACACAATGGCAGAATGTAGAAAAACCGAGCCCGGCCAAAAAGATATCACTAAACATGGATTAGACAGTTAAGGTTAAAACTATATAAATCTCCTGGTTTTTATCAAGACAAATAAAAATAACATTATAACACGTAATTAAGATGATAAAAGGCAATTACTAAAATTATGTCCATGTTAGTTTAAAAACAAATGTAGACTAAAGGAATATAAGAATTAAAAATACAAAAAGTTATAATTATAAAATCTTAATCAGACAGAACTTTGATTCTTAAGGAAATGTATGAAAAACATGGTCCATCAAGAAACAAAAATATGGAAAACAAGAATCCGAGGAACCGACAGGAGTGATAATCTAGATAAAACTATTGATGATTATCTTAAATGCAATAATGAAAGCTAGAAGTCAAGATCGTTTACAATCTTAAATAGATACATGTGTCTCAACAGTAGACCTTCCCCTAGCTAACCTCGTTACCATTGATAACTTTCCTAAGGTCCATATATTACTCAATCACACACAAATTACTAACTTTATATTGTTTGCAATACCTTATCTACAATGTGACCTTGTAAGTTACTAATACTTGGTGATGAGGTTTTGATAAGTATTACATGTTTGAAATTGTTTGGATATTCTGTTTGCGTTCAACAGGTGAAGTGAATTTCATAATCCTTCAAACTTGTCTAATAAACTGTATCTAACCAATTTAGTTGACGTTTTTGCCTTCGCATCACGGTGCGGAGCTATTAGTTTCAGACGATATACACGCCATCTTGAAATAATTACTTATCACAATTATATTCTGATTGGTTGCTTTATGATGCGGCTGAGATATAAAGAATATCAGACTCTTTTTGTCTCATGATAAGACATCAAATGCCGGAAAATTAACTATGTGTATTTCAGTTCCCATCGACTGTCAATAATTCATGTTCGTTTTATAATGCATATATTGCACACTGAAATTCAACATTGAAAATATCAATTATTTTATACGTGTTTATTTGCTTTGTTAATCTGCAATATGCACAATTTGTTTTGCTAACCAATGTTCCTATACAATGTTTACAAAAATGCATTATCTGTATTTTATAACTTCTGCCATTAAATGCACACCCCAGAGCGGCACACCTCCAGAGTCGTGTCTATTTGTAAATGTTATAATTTGTGAACAAAATTTTTGAGGCATGGGTGTTTAATGCACACTCTTAAAGTAGAACATCATCATTTTCACTAAAACTAAATATTTATTGTTCAACCTTGTTTCTTATTTATTTCTACTGTTGTAAATATATTTTGGTTGTACAAATCTTTGTTTACACCTTGGTTTTGATTGTTATTGTCTTCACCACTCGAAATCATGTTACTCTTAATCAACATACCTAAACATTTATATATTTCTAAATAAATTATACTAAGAACTAGCAATCAAAATTGCAAGTCAATGACCAGCTGACAGAACTAGAAAACCTAACTCCACAAAAAACATTGACAATTTAACACTGAACAGCCAGTTTAAAATTTCAGAAAAGTTCATCTTAATAGATATACAAAAATTCATATTCCAAGTCTAATACATCCATTTTATATCAATCACTATCTTAAAATACAACATTTCTAATACGAAATCAATAACCACATGCACACATATTAAATAAAATTAGGATAGAGCGAAGCAGTCCACAGATTTTTAGACAGCTCAAACTTGTAAAATAATATGTTTACCTTTCATCTGTCATCATTTTCATTGCATCATATTTATTACGAGTATAGTAAGGTCCGTTCTGTAAAGTTTCGTATGCACTTTTTTCAAGAATATGTAGTTTTTCAATTTCTTCAGGCTTTGCATCATGTACTACAACACAATGTTTATTCATTAATGGTAAAGTGTATTATGAATGTACTTAGTACTTATCAGTTATTCACTATTTTTTACACAATCGTTGTAAATGCCTAATATTTCATTTTGATAATAACCACAAGAAGAAATTTGAATAAAACTGGAAACAGTTTTGACTAAATACGGTGAAAACAAAGCTTCTTCCTGAAAGTCAATACTATACATATATGTATCTTAGAAGAAGACAAAGTTGCATTAGAAAGATATGTGAATGGCCAAGGAGGGCAATACTAGTAATTCGTCATGTCGCACAAAGTCTCGTTTGGTATTTCTACTTAGGCGTTACATCCTCCTGATTGTTCATTGCTCGTTTAGGTATGTTTCTTAAAGTATATTTCGAAACATATGAGAAATAAATATCACATGTTCTCGATGATGAACAAAATAAAATGATGCCAATTAAACGATAGTAGATTACAGTTTGTATACGTTTTCTTGTCAGTTTTCAAGACTTAGTCAGAAATACTTAATAATAAGAGAAAATGCGTTTGTTTTTTTATCATATATTTCTTTTATTAAATACGATCAATGGATTAAGTTGATATATTTATAGTATCACTATCTACCCATAATCAAATAAACGACAAATGCACCGTAGCAACACAAATTGTTTACCTTTATAAACACATTTTTGCATTATTTGCAATGAGACGTACATTAGATGTGATTGATATAACATTCTGATTCATTTAATTGTAAATGCGATTTTACATTACGAATGAAAATATGTATTGTCATCCAATTTTTAATTAAAAAAAAAAAATAATAATAAAAGTTTCATATCGATTAGGTTTGATCAACATTATTGTTTGTTACAGGATTATAAAACTAAGGAGATGTGGTATGATTGCCAATTAAACAGTTATCCAACAAGTTAAAATGAAGTGTATGTAGGCACTTGAAGGATATCGTACGGCTTACTACAATTAAAAAAACATACCGTAAAGTCGGCAACATAACAAATATGAACTAAGTAACGGCCTAATTTATAACAAAACAAACATGTTTGTTCCTGTGATACCCTTTCAAAACTGAACTTATCAGACTAGCAAAATGTATTTGTAATAAAGATTACAAACACATATTTGCATTATTTGCAAAGAGATGTACATTAAATGTAATTGATATAACATTTTGATTCATTCAATTATTAATGCGATTTAACATTACGAATGAGAATATGTGTTGACATCCAATTTCTAATTTAAAACAATATATATATATATATCGATTAGGCTTGATCAACATTATTGTTTGTTACAGGATAATAAAACTAAGGAGATGTGGTATGATTGACAATTAAACAGTTATCCAACAAGTTAAAATGAAGTGTATGTAAGCAGTTGAAGGCTACCGTACGGCTTACAACAATAAGAAAAAAATATACCGTAAAGTCGGCAACATAGCAAATATGAACTAAGTAACGGCCTAATTCATAACAATATAAACATGTTTGTTCCTGTGATACCCTTTCAAAAAGGAACTTACCAGACTAGCAAAATGTATTTGTAATAAAAATAGCATTACAATGCTTTTCAACCTCAAGATATATTGTACAATATTTACCAAAAGCGCCTCCATATTTCGTAGGTCTCTTTATTTTGTAATAACAAAATACAATGATTCTCCATAAGTGTATTACTATTGGTATTGGAAACATTGGTCTGTCGTGGTATTCATATACCAATGCATACATGTGGAATTTATAAATCATTTCAGAATTGTTTTGTACATTTTGGAATGTTTGCCTGTGAAAAAAATGATTAAACGATAATTTTAACATATTGAAAATATTGAACGAACAGTAATTATGATAATTTTCTTTTGCGCAGCCTTGAAATGCTTATATATTACATGTATTAGTGTAAGTAATACTACCAAAGAGTACAATCCGAGTTTATCTTTTGACTATTCTGTTTCAAGTTTCGCAAAAATAAAAAAAAAACCAGTAAACATATCAGTGTAAGTCCCCAAAACAATTTCACAGTTTATTCGATATGTACGCATTAAATACTTACGAAAATATCGCAATAACGATATTGACTAATAGAATATTGGTCAGAACTAGATACACAGCCGGCATAAGCATGTTGAACTGGCTGCTTTCTGGGCATCGATCTATTGTTCCGTTCATGTATAGCTGAGGGTCATTCGTACATTTTGAGGGCTCTGCACCTGAATAATAATAAAAAGCCTTCATATTATTGGACAGCTCATTTGTAACTCGATGGAAATTTCATTTTTGGTATCCCTCTATCCTCGAAATCCACGAAAATTGATATCCAACGAATAATAATACATCCACAGTTTTATAAGTTTCTGGAAGATAGTAAAAGAAAATGAGAAATGGTAAAATTCGTCTTTTACGGGCAATAACTCATATTAACTGCCGTCTTATAGATTTGACTTAAAAGGAAAATAGTAGCAGTTCCACATTTTAAACACGTGTGTTCCCATCAGTATTTCTCTATCAATAGTAGTTTTCAAAGTAATAGACAAACTTTTCTTTTACTCCTATGATCTTTTTTCGCCATGTCTGTCATTTTGGTTGACTTGGTATTTCAAACAATCAAAAGTTTTGTAAACATCTAATTTATACATATGATTATACCAATAAAAAGTCATGTCGACACAAACGAGTCTGACTTTTAGGCTGCTGATATCTTTATAATACAATGTATATGAATCACTTAGTTCATATTAACAGGTTAAGTAGATTGTTTCTCCTGAGTATCCTGAACATTATTTATTTGATAGGGAATAAACTAATTGCTGTTGATCATTGTCATTGTTTAGCTCAATTTGCCTAAGTGAGCAGCTTCATCCTCATTAGAGTAAATGTCCTTTAATAACAATGTTCATCACATTATTGTAGATATGAAAAGTAGATACATTGTAGAAACTAGATAGATATATATGATCTAGAAAACGAGATAAAAAAAAATTAATTATCTAAAAATCCTTAGTCGACCAGTTTTAGAACTTCTATTTTCCCCATGTTTAACTGTTATTATGGAAACTGTATTAATCAGATATCATCTTTAAATAATACAAATAATCACATTTGTATTACTTGATTTATTTCACTTGACTGGGCGGAGTTTAAATGGTTGGCTTATCATAGACCAGTCCATCTATAGACAGGTGTTTTGGGATAAACTCATCAATGAAGTGTCCAGTTAGGGTCATTGATCCGGTTAAAATATGTAAACACTATATGTGTATTCGCAAAGTAAATAGTGAGACAACACCGTTGATTTTCTTGAAAAAAACGAAGTTTAAAAACATGTAAATTTTTTCACATTTTGGAAATTGTGGATATGAAAGTATGACTATGACGACGGCAGTTGAAAAATATGCATATTTCGTTATATTATAACATTTTGAAATACTTTTTTTCCTCCTTTTATTCCGAATGCATTTTTTGGGGGGACGGAACAGGGAAAATTTCCGTATGGTAGCCTCACTAACAAAGGTAGCTTCTGCAGTTCTCTTTGTAAAGTCTTTTACCGGAATGGCCGTCGGTTGCTGAATCTGCGACTCGAAAAACTTTGACACGTTGTAAACTATTTCTTTTGACTAAGAGAAAAGTATCTTCTTACGCTCAGCCATGATTCGTAATACAGAATGATTTACCCGAACTTATATAGCAGATGTGTTTAAATAGAAAATCTAAGAAGGGGTAAAACATACACGCCTAAATCGAAAATTTCTTTTTTTGAATGCTGTATATTATGATCATATTTAAGGAAGAAAAAGTAGGGTGTAAATATTTTCATTTTTTATATATAATTTTTATAAATCCAGTTTAATATTAAACTCACAAGTAGATTAAAGGTTTTAAAAAGAATAACACAATAGCCGATATTTTGAAATACTTAGCTATAGCACATATACATGTTATCAATTTTAAACTATTTTATTCGTCCCATATCATACGCTCAGTTCTTTTGTTTATCCGTTTGGTGACACTGATAGGTGATTAGAAATCAGTAATAATAATTATAACGGTAATCATCCTTATCACACACATCTTCAAATAGACTGTCCTTATGCAAATTAAAACGTAAGCTCCGCCCGATCAGTAGAAAAAACATTGGTAATACAACGTTTTGCATATTTTGCCTATAATCTGTCAATTGTGATAGGTAGATAGGTAGATTGCAACTTAAGACAATGCAAATTAACAGCAGAATAAGATCTACCAATATGTCAAACTGACTGAAATTGTCAGTTATTTCGAAATAAAGTTGTTCCCCTTCAATGATGTTTTTCACCTAAACATGTTAAAAGTTGCCATTTTTCAAGGCAAATGCTTTTAAGAGCCTGTAGTTTGTTTGTTTGTTGTTTTTTTGCAGTCCATTAAACAGTTATTCAAGGGTAAGTTGCTTTTGCCTCAATGATGTTATTGAAAGTTAATGTTTAGTCCACTAAGTAAAAAGTATCTTGTTTTTCCAAAACTAAAGTTTATCCTCTAAATATTCATAGACATGTTGTTAAGAGGCATACACTAGGTCAGTGGTGGTATATGTTAAGTATATCTTCAATACTTTGTATAATGTGTATTATTTAGACATGTTTTTTGTTAATCCTTTCTAAACCACAAAACCAGGTTTATTTTTTCATTTTCTTCATACGGAAATGACTGTACCAAAACAGGAATATGACAGCTGTTTTTCTTTTTGTCTGATGTGTGTGCTGTTTATATTTTGCTTTTAGAAATTCGTCAATTTTTTATTTTACTTTGTTTCAATGTATTCAGAATTCATATATATTTTTATACATTGATACATAGTACATGTACATGTCGTAAATTGAGGCATAAATACTTAAGTAGTAAACGCACATAGAATTTCAAATAGTGGATACCTTCAATCTGTTCCAAATTTAGCTCGCCATACAACTGCCAGTAAGGTAAGAAAACAAGATTTTTTAGCATCTCCCAAGGTGATGACACCGCATTTGGAAACAAAATAGCTTGGTACATGATTCCAAAACTGAATAGGAACAGTGCATACAGAGCAATGAAAAAGCCAAGGTCTCCAAGCTATTATAAAAAATAAAGAAAATAAAGATTTGTTTTGTTTTTGTTTGCTTGTCTGCTTTTCCATAGTTTACAAAACTACGGACGTTTTAATTGCAAACAACTTACATTTAGAAAAAAAAACATAATGAAACAGTAGTTGAACACACTGATAAAACATACACGATATCGTTAACTTTAGCAATACTCTCATGTTCGATTAAGTTTATTTATCTAAACCTATTACGCCATAGCAGGTACTCTTTATATAGAAGATTGAGATATTTCAAATAAACACGATCCTTAATTGGTATGACCTACTATGTTGTGCATTCTATAAACATATCTTTAGAATGTCATTGCCAATACCTTGTCCGTTTCTGTTAATGCTAATTTTGGTATATTTAGCTTCTTTTCTATTTTATGACGACATTGGTCTAACATATAATTTATTTAGTATGATACTATGTTTTACAATACTGGCGATTGATACAAAACATTTCTGCACAAAGACATTTTAAAAGTACAGTACACGATATGAAATATCTACGCTATACTTAATATGAATGGCAAATAAGGATAATGAACATTTACGGGTGATATAATTCATTGTATTTATATAACTTCAGTACATTGAGGCGTCTTCTTTATCTTTTTCACGTGTTACATTTATTTCAATCGACATATTGGGATTGGGAAAAGAAAAGTGATAAGTCAGGAAAGAAACGAGGGGGAGGGTAAGTAAAGCCAAAAGACGTTCGCTGTCTAAAGTGTGAAATAGTCTTCGTCCAAGTTGTTTTAATTTCTATTATAAGTTACATAATACAACTTCTTCACGTACTATTTAACGTTTCATAAGGATACTATTGCATTGTACAAATGTTGTATTTCAATCAAGGTAATAGGAATAACAAATGACACCGTTTTGTATGGAGTAAGATTCAATGTTCTTGAGTGTACGAAATTCATTTGACAAGAATACGTATATGTGATGTCAAAACAATAAAATCATTTGATTATAAAAAAGCTTCAAAAAATATCATTCTCTAAAAATATTCCTGTTCTGAATACCTTTATTACAAAAACAAAAGGTTATTGATACTGAAAAGGATATTTAAATTCATTGTCGAAAAAAAAACCAGACAGCATGAGAAAGAAATAAAGACTAAAAAACAAACAAACAAACAAACAGCAGTATACAAACACAACATAGAACACTTTATATTGAGCTAAATAACTAAAAAGCCGAGGTGATATAATGTGCTCCGCATGAGTGAACAGATCATGCTCAATTTGTCCGGTTGCTCATGTAAATACAAACCCGGTGAACAGTCTTATTCGATTAGTCATATACGAGACAAATAGTGCAGTACAATGCTTTACATTGCATGATCATCATATCGTTGTCGACATCCGCACACAATTACTCCGAAGATGGAGAAAGTTTGAATCATAACACCTCAAAGACAGCATTATGCAATTTGATTTCAGAAGCATTCATAAAAAAAGTAATGAATATGTCACACATATGAATAATGCTGATTATTTTTAGGAAATATATAGGAACTTGTTTCATTTTGTCATGAATTTATGCACTATAATTAGCAGTTTCGCAACATAATCTAAATGTTGATAAATTATCATGACAGCTCTATTTAAAAATAATCCAAACATATAGAACTACCACTGCTACTATACAGCCTATACCTTTTGTTCGGTACTATAGTTTGTCCAATAAACATGTTACAAAAAGTACAGGTATGAACATATGGAACATTTTCCACATAAACAAAAACTATCAGACAGTTAAAATACAATTTTTTTCATGACTCCTTTTTTTATATATATAACACAGCTGTTAATAAGAAGTATATCTACACTTTATTTCAGAACAGTTTTGATTAAATTATCAATGAACAGACAAATACTTTAGAAAAACAGTTAGAGGCAAATCCCCTAGCAATGAGTTTCATATTATACACCTTCCAAATATATACTAGTACTTATACCACACAGCTCATTGTAAGTATTTTTTTCGGAACCAGCACTTTACTTCAGCTTAGAAGCAAAGGATATAATCTATGATATAATTATGTTTTCTGTAATCGTACTATTCATGAAATGTTGTATTAAACTCAAAGGTACAGAATGCAGAGAATGCCGTAACTGCATTTGACAAAACCATTTGTAATGATCGGTGTTTATGCTTTACAACTTGTAATTTAATTAGACTTTCTGAATGGTTTAAATCTAGCTCCACTGTTGAGTCGTATGCAGACTTATCGGGTTTGTTGAATCCCAAATGTTAAATCAGGTAAATCTCATGTAGTTCTTGAAGATACATCAAGACTGGAGTGTGGTCCAATGATTTGGGATCTTGCATTAATGCAAATTTATGCTTACCATTCTTCCTATCATTACGACTTTAGGCCCAATATACCTTTGGATGAAGAAGAAATGCATGCTGCGCAAGATAAACATCGATAACGTAATTGCATAAGACATTCTTGCAAAGTAAAAATCATCCGAATTCAGTAAACATCTTAGCACAACAGACAACAAGAACAGGATATACATCAACATGTCAAATATATTCCAGAAATCTTTAGCCCAGAACTTCAGATTTTTTGGTAGTGATCCCTTGTTTGTCTGTAATATCTGTGAATAGAAATTGAATAAAATGGTTAAATTAATTAAAAAAAAAAAACAACATAAGGAAATTACAAAATTAAGTTTTGATTGTTTATATAATTTTAAGAAACCTAGAAATATCGTATAACATCTGTATTTATAATTTAATTTGATCAGTTGTAAACAGAGAAAAAGAAAACCTTATTATTCTAAAAAGAAAAAAAAAACTTTTTTTATCTGAATTCAAGTATTTGTAATACGTTTTTCTAAGACTGTATCTAACCAAACAATGGTAATATATGTAAACGTACTAAATGTTACATGTATATCGAACATTGTTTCTTGATTACAAAAAATGATATACAATTCAGGTCACCTATAGTGATTAGGCCACACATGTTGTTGATAGTCGTAGAATAGCGTTGTAAATTTGCCGTAAAGGGTTTTTATGAATATTCATTTTGTAAGGTAAGTTTCTTATTCATGTGTAACAGAAATCACGTGTTGTCCTATCATCTTTCTAATAATTTTCGACAAAATGATAAACGATCATGACAGTTGTTCGAATTACGTTTAGGTATAAGTAATAAGTTAAGACGAACCTGTCTGATTTCCTCTATTGCTAATGACAAAGTCCACACCCAAGTTAAATATTCAAGTATAGAAGGAGGACTCTCGGATAAAGGGTACAAATCAGTCAAGACAAATATCGCAAAGATCACCACAAATGCCATGTATGTTATCTTAAAAAAACAAAATAAATATTGTTAATGCTTTTAAAAAAAAAATCTTCTTGATTGGATGTTAGAAATCTTACAGTGTAAAGACGCTTATGCTTTCGTCAGTGTGAGATTTTAATAAAAAGTTAGATAATATGAGGAGTTTTGCGTGGATATCATTTCACCGACTTTGAAGGTGTCTTATCGATTAAAATGTATGTTCTATTTTTCAATCAATGAGTATTAAACATGTTTTCAAGGTTTTTTTTTACAAAAGTGTGTAGTGTGTATTACTAATATTTAAGGTTGTACCAAACACCTTCACTGAAATTTTCATAAAACTTTTACAAAATGTTCACTTTGACCATATGACAAAAATATAAAAATTTCGAAAAAACTTGAACCATACACTTTATATGAGAATTTTCTGTTGGACGAATAGCAGTTTGACCAACACCAATTTTCATCATTGAGAGGCTTACTATTTCCTGAACAATAGAACGTAATCAAAACGTTCTGCTGATTTTTACACAGTTATTTCCCTGTTGTGTTATGTACCACCTTAAGGGAATGTTATATAACCTCTGGATTATTTACAATAGCAATTCAATCTTTCAATTAAATTTAATGAACTTTGTAATGTTGTCTGAAAATAAAACTGTTTGTTTGATTATACTCTTTTTTGCATTATATATTATTTGATACTGTTAAATATTTTAATTATCGATTAACCGTTTAAATTCTTATATGTGTAGGTGTAATGTTTACAACAATGTCTATCCCGTCTTTGAACTATTGATTTAACAAACATTTTACATTTGTATTCAAAAACATAACTTACATGTACCTAAAACGAAGCATGTATTTCTCTGTCCTGAGTGTTCCAATGTTTATCTATACTGTCAATTTATGTTGTCATTTTAGCGGTATTTTCAATATTGCCATAAAACCTAAACCATATTCAAACCATCATTGTTTTCTAAAAATGTCCTGAACCATATCAGGAATATGGCAGTCGTTATCAAATAGTCCGTTTCCATGTATGTTGGCGTTTGTCTTTGTTGCAGTTCAGTGTTTTTAATGTTCCGTTGTTTTCCTCTTATTGTCGACGTTTTGGTAGGACAAAAATGTTTTAACATGCATCTATCATTTGTTTAAACAACAAAGCTTCTGTTTGATATAGATGTGTTGGATATTAGCTTTATTTGAAATTTCATTAAATATATATTCAATATGATAGAGAAAGAATAATAGAAATAGAAAAAAAACCTACCATATAGACAACGAATTTTGTTACTGGCGCACAGTAAAACCGGTATGCACTATATAGCATGTTGAATATCTTATTACTTTGGGTACTTTTTGGGTCCGAATCTTGATTTTGACCTGGTTTCGGATCTCCATTTTTTTCTGATTTCCGACCTCGGTTTTGATCTCGACCTGCAAGTCCATTTTGACCTTGGTCCGCAGATCCACTTTGACTTGGACTTATTTGCCTCGACTCCTTTTTTTTCTTTTTAATAATAATGAAGCCCATGCTTTGAATTAACAAAATGGGAAGGAATATTACCATACCAATCTGAAATATATTATTTCTGAGAATAGACACCAGCATTACATTGTGTGAACTATATTTCCAAATCTTGTCAGAAAAAATAAAAGATAACTGTACTGAAAATAAAAACACATCAACAGCGTATTTTCAATATTGTGAGAGAGTCACATGTTATATATGAATCTAATTTAACAATGTATTCAAATAACAGATCTGTATTTAGTACGACTAAAGTCGTCAAATTAATTACGTTTCCCTTTAACATAGATATAAGAAAATGAGTTGTGAGTGCCAATAAGACAACTGTTCATCCGAGTCATAATTTGTAAAAGTAAACCATTAGATGTCAAAGTACGCCCTTCAAAATGGATCCTTGTCTCACACCAAACTGCAAGATATAAAGGGAACCCAAAAACAATAAGTGTAAAGCCATTCAAACAGGAAAACCAACGGCATAATCTATATGAAAAACAAGAAACGAGAATCTCTTAAAAAAAGATTTTGAATATATATCAGAATATATTCTGAAAGCTGTGTCATTTTGTAATTTTTGTCAATTTTGATTTTCAGATACTTTAACTTCTAAACAGTGGAAAAGAAAGCAATGCACCACTGTACATAGAAACTATCCAAACACTTATGATTAAAACAGCTAAGCCTTCTTAGTAAAGAGCTTGTCGATAAAAAAGAGTAAAAGAAACAAATAACAACGGTGAATTCAATATTTGCATATGATCGAATTGCGATTTGTCAATTAAAACTGTTGTTCTTTTTTATAGTTTTAAAGTTATAAGATATACCAAAAACTATTACAAACGATAACATACAGATTTTTTAGACGACAAGCTGACGCTTTATCACTTATGTTTATCATTTCATACTTAAAATAGCATTCAGCATACCTTCCAAGCTGGTGTATATACCGCAATATCTCCGCTCCATATCCTGTTGAGCTGTGCCTGACAAGCTGTGTGTGCCATAAACTTTTTCAGTTTTTGCGAGACAGCAATCTTTAAAGGTGTAGAATTGAATCGACCAACCTTTGTCACCAGTGTTTTAAGAGCGCTTTCTCTGTCAGTGCTATACAATTCAGTCATCAAATTACAAGCTAGAGTTTCAAAGTGTCTGAAATTATAATTAGGAATATGAAAATACCACGGGGTTAATATAAAACTCAAACAGTGACATGTCATAATGTCCAATACACAAAAAGACAAAAGAAAAAAAAAATACGTATTACAAAATATATGCAGCACAATAAACAACAAAATAAAACTGCGAAGTTCAACAGAACAAATAAAACAAAGTAAAAATAAGGTGTTCCGCAATAATAATCAGTTCATACTTCACTAACACTACATGTATGTCATGTGCTTGATTTTGTTTGCAGAAAAGGGAAAGGATCAATTGTGGCCTCTACAAATTGAACACATGTTTTGTCATTTGTGACACAGATAATTTACAACGGTCTACACACTGTCACTAGCGACCCTAACATTTTCGCAATGATTACTCCAACATTTAGGTTTGTTGAATATTCATGGGTTCAGTGTATATCACAGAGTCGTGAATAGAAACATATATCTTCGAGTATTACTTTTTCTAATAAGAAATACTATTATTCGCTACTGCAGTGATGCTATGTACATTTGTTTTTGTTAATTTTATAAAATTATGATTTATCATGTGTCGTTAAGTTATATTCCACCATGGTTAACCTTTATAGGCGAACTAACTTTTTCAAATGGCTTTCCATTTAAAGGGTCAGTCACGTACTTGCCCTATTGGCAAATAGTAATATCTATATTTCTTGAAATTGGAAAATATTGATTGATTGTTGGTTGCTTAACGTCCAGTGGCAATAAATTGGAAAATAAGAACACGATATAACAAACGAACAATTTTCAAAATCAGCTACCACTTATACAATTTTTTATTCTAAAATGCATTCGTGTTCATGTATTAAAAAAAAAAATTCGACTATTTAAACAAGCAGGCATAACTAAAACAAGTAAAAGTGACAAAATATCATGCATTATTTCAGATATAAACATTAAAATGATAATTTCGTATATTACAGTGTAACCTGCTTTAGCCGACACCTTAGTATTCCAACATCCTGCTTTAACCGACACATTTTCATGGTCCAAAATGTGTGTAATATTGCAGAAAAAACCTGAGTATTCCGGCACCCTGCTAAATCCGACATTTTTTTTCTGGACCCCCAGTGTGTCGGATTACACAGGTTACACGGAAGTTCCATTTGTGTAGTATTGTTTTTTTTTTTTTTATTCTAAGGCTTACTCAGCATTTTCTTTTAATGATGCACTGTGATGCATATGTTTCGAAAAGAGTGCCTTTTCAGCCAATTCATTCAGCACAGCACTTGCAAATAAAGCAGCACCTGAAAACAAACTAACACTTTGTAATAATTTTACTTGAACAACTATCTTGTTAAGGACATTTCAACATGATTTAGATATAATTTAAACATGCACTAAAAGCATCGATATCAAAGATTTATAGACCTTTAGCATTATGAAAATAATACTTTACAATTTTCTTGCTTCCGAAGCACTTCTCTGGATTTGTCTTCATCAAAAGACAAAGACGTATAAGAACTTAAGCAGTAGAATAGCTGTATGACCAAAAAGGAACATTTATGCAAATAGTTGGTCATATAACTGTCCAGGGTGCCCTTACTGCTTGTATAAAGAGGGAATGTTGAATAGTTAACAGATCAAGATTAAAAGAGAACTAACAGACAAGGACGTGCACAGCTGAAGGCGACCAGTAGGTCTCCAACAATATGAAAAATCATCGCTATATATTTCGCAATAAAACGATCCAAAATGACACAATTTGGTATTCACAAGACATAACGATGATCTTATCATTGACATAACAATTAGGAACACATCAATTAGCTCATTCGGCAAATAATGGTAAGAATTATAGTGCTCGAAACCTAACAATTAGGTTAAACAAAATCATTGAGTGAATGCTCTTTTTCTAAAAAGTTTCAACATAATTGAGTTTAAAAGAGGGGCGAAAGATACCAGAGGGACAGTCAAACTCATACAGTGAAAATAAACTGACAACGCCATGGCTAAAAAATAAAAAGACAAACAGACAAATAATAGTACACAAGACACAACATAGAACACTAAAGACTAAGCAACACGAACCCCACCAAAAACTGGGGGTAATCCTAGGTGCTCCGGAAGGGTAAGCAGATCCTGCTCCACATGTGGCACCCGTCGTGTTGCTTATGTTATTACTAATCCGGGAAATAGTCTAATTCGGTAGATCACATTCGTGAAAAGGGACAGTAATTGTAGTTACGACATAAGGAACATATCCGATATCATCTGTGAAACGGTTATTTCATAACGGTCAACCAACTCGTGATGGCGTCCGTAAAAGTTATATTGGATAAATAAACCTATAAAGTTTTCTAATTCACATGGATCCCGTCGAGAATAATGCCAGACAGTTGACACAACACAAAGACATTTACACTCTTCCTGAATGAGTAAGGTCTGTTGAAAATTTTAAAATAAAAAGAATGAACGAGCATTCGAGCACACATATAATAACCAAATATGTAGTCGAAACCTGAACAATTGTTTAACACATTTTAGGAAACATGACACCTACGTTACTTTTGTATATGCTTTTATTTTCGTTAAAAAAATCCGCCAGATATGTTATCCATATTAATTTGATATTCACATACTATTCGAATGCTTGTTTAGAGTATAGACAACTATCTTGGTAATAATATACAATTGTTTATTAATTTTCAAATATTTAATCAAATACAAGAACGCAGAGACACCCAACGATGTGTTTTACGACAATAAAAACCTAAAATTATGTATTATCGGACTAATAGTCGGCCAGAAAAAAAAAAAAAACATTTATGTTATTCAATATTTAAATTAAATTCAACACAATACAATGGGAAAAATATCCAATCTTGTTGCACTTCCTTCGTTTACATATTGAGTATAATATCTTACACGTATGATCAGTTTCTAGTTCCCAAAAAATCATCGCCATTTCTCTACAATTTACCAAAACCGCCCAAACAAAAAGATGATGGAAAGGTTTGTCTTTATAAATTAGATCTATCTCTTCCCCTTCTGAAAAAGATGTAAACAAAAATATTTTCTATACAGTCAAATACGGAAACCACCTGCAAACAAAAGACTTATGATGCTGGAAAAAATATATTTTGTATCTATTCCATACACAAAAGCACTGTACAACAAATCATAGTCAAATTATTTGGTTTAACGGATATTCTACTACCAAATTGATCTATGGTTGAAGACATAGTTTGAGTCATAAGATACTATATGACATAGTATATTATTATTTTTGTAAGTGAAATAATTGATGCCATACATAGTCAAGCAATGCATGACATACAGTTTGTACCAGAAACAAAGGTAGATAGATGATGGTTAATCAGCCATCTCATTGGGACGAAACATTTCAGATTTGATTTTGACCGCCAAGTTGCTTGTTAACAATGACGTTACACAACTGCTATTCATGTATCAAAATATTAAACAACCACTGACCCAATACTTAATATACAAGGTCTCCACCTGTTTGTTTTCAACAGATAATATAACTAGAGGTGAAAAGAAAGTAATAGAATAGACAATCCATGTTGAGTTACCATATGTACTTGTTTATAATAACGCCATATGACATATAAAAAAATAAAGAAAGTCTCGTTGACCGGATTGTCTATGTAGTTCCACTACTGAATTTAAAACCTGTAAACACTGTTGATGTGAGCTCGACCCCGAACGTGGTAGTTTTTTTCTACCCTGAATGACAAGTAGTGTCAGTTGTCCTGCACTGATGAAAACACATAAGCCAATATTTCTAAAAGTTGCGTTAAACCCCCTTATTAAATCAATCAATACAGTACAATTATTGCCAGTTTTGATTCATACTAACAATTAATTGAGTTTTGCACACTATCCTAAGGTAGCACAATTACTAATTTAAAATCGGTCCATTATTTCGAATACAAAAGAGTAGATGCTGCAAGTATAAATTACAGCGTCCATATTGTTCAGTCAGTGTATGACAATGGCCTTTTTATACAATCATTATTGAATTACAAGGTTTACCAATTTATATTACTAGCACTTACTTGTATGCGCTTATATTTAATACAAACATGACAAGTTTTTGTTGATGCGCACACATCTTGTTGTCATATAAACCATCCTAAGATATTCAAGGGACTTATTTAAAATGACAGCTCCATTCCATGAATGAACAAATATAAAGAAGACATGTTACCAATGTTGATTTATTGCAAGATAACTTTAGTGTTATGCAAACCAGTTTGATATACATGTTTCAAATGGGTGGCACTTGTACCTACTATGAAATATGTGGTTGGAGTGAGCTTGAAGAAAAGTTCAGAATTTCTAGCATCATGATATATGATCAGGACTAGAAATAAGGACACACTTTTATAAAAGGCTGTTGATTTAAAGTAGTCGATATTTTTTACAGATGTTGCTTTTTAATTTCAATGTTGATGTCATTTATCATATATATTTTGTTCAATCTACTGATGTACTACGTTAAAAAAATCGTTACTGTAGACGTTTATTTCAAGCTTTATTGCAACTCTAGGTTTAAGATGTCAACCAGTAATTGTTGCTGTGCAAAATACCTTTTCCAAGTATTGACTTAAACGAGCAAATAAATAAACAGCTTCAGGAAAATGATTACCTTATTACAACGCAATTAAACAAAAAAAAAACAAAAAAACAATGCGTATGATTGTGACAAATGTTTGTGTAATTGAAAATATTTGACCCAAATCAGCTGATGATTTCGAAAGAATGATTGTTTTAAGTTGTAAATTTCCATTCTATACATGTACACATGAAGCACACACTAACAATCGGTATACAAATTTTAACATTATCAGCAATGAAATTAAAAAGTATTTATCAGAGATACTGATTAGTATAACTGTTTACTAAATTCAACCGTCAATTTTTAATAAAAAATAAAACTGGCAGGAAAAGACATGTGTCATGAAAGCATTATTAAACGTTCATATCAATACATTGTTATTAAATGACACCTGTGGGCCATCGATTCTTTCATAATCAAGTGTTTAAGCAACTAACATGACTAAGTGCACTCGAACTGCTACATTTTAAAATGGATCAGACTTTGCATTTTATATAAAATATGAATGACTAGAGGTACTGATGATATTTTTCGTATGAAGGGTTCTAATACATCATTCGAAATGATACATTAAAAAAATCATACCTTTCACTTCGTACAGTTTAAATTCTGTATCTTCAAACAAATCTATGATAAAATTGTTAACAGCTAAAAGTATTCTGTTGTTTTTTTTGTCTTTCCGTTGCTGTAGCTTTAATATAAAAAGTAAAGTCAGAATCAAAAATACGTTTTTCTACAATTGAATAACTCTATTAATCCGTTAACGTTTCTATCGTTCAGTTAAACTTATTAGATGTACATAAAGTATTGTATTGTTGACAATTTCTGAAGTACAGATGTGATTGAAGGCTCAAAATAATACTGGAAATATCTGTAACATGATTTATTGTGACTCAAACTAATATCATACAATGTGTTATAACAGTTTTCCCTTTATTGATATTTTTTTTAAAATAGAATATTATAAAAAAAAAAGAATATTATAATTTATGACATATAAAAATATATATATATATATATATATATATGTGACTATTTTGATAAAAGTGCAATTTTCTTTTACAAGAGTATTATTAAAATTGTAATTAAAACCTGTATGTATTTAATATATTTATTTGTAAGATTATCACTATCAAGACAAACTCAAAACGCACTCAAATTCATGTTTCACTTTGTTAGTTTTTTGGCAAAAGATATTGAATCATCTTAAATGTCCTGACAATTGTGAGCGGAGTAGAAATAGCAGTAACAACTCATTCTTTCTTTAGTGCTTGATAATGAGGATGTTGGACACCGTATCGCTTAAATGAAGACGTATTTAAATAACGATGAAAAATACGAACATTTCTTACTTACTTTTTTATATATTTGCTTGAAAAATATACGGATATGCAAAACTAGCTCTCTGAGAGAAATACAATGTAAGTTTGATGATGTTCTTTCAAAAACAAATTATTTTCTTACAGAGAACTGGACAAGGTTACATGTCACGCCTTTATCTATGATTTATGTACCTCAGTGGTAAGATAACCAATCTGATGCCAGAAAGGTCGCGTTTTTAAACCTCACTGTCGGGGTTGAAAAAATAGTTTCCTTTAAAAAAAGTAAGTTAACAAACTTAAATTTTTAATTTCAATTAAAACAACTGAAATACATGCTTGAAATCTCATAAACATGTTTAACCCCGCCGCATTTTTGCGCCTGTCCCAAGTCAGGAGCCTCTAGCCTTTGTTAGTATTGTATTATTTTTAATTTTAGTTTCTTGTGTACAATTTGGAGTTTAGTATGGCGTTCATTATCACTGAACTAGTATATATATTTCTTTAGGGGCCAGCTGAAGGACGCCTCCGGGTGCGGGAATTTCTCGCTGCATTGAAGACCTGTTGGTGGCCTTCTGCTGTTGTCTGTTCTGTGGTCGGGTTGTTGTCTCTTTGACACATTCCCCATTTCCATTCTCAATTTTATTAATATAAAAAAAAAGAAGATATGGTATGATTGCCAATGCGACAACTCTCCACAAGAGACCAAAATGACACAGAAATTAACAACTATAGGTCACCGTACGGCCTTCAACAATGAGCAAATCCCATACCGCATAGTCAGCTATAAAGGGCCCCGAAATGACAATGTAAAACAATTCAAACGAGAAAACTAACGGCCTTATTTATGTACAAAAAATGAACGAACACTAAATATGTCACACATAAACAAACGACAATCACTGAATTACAGGCTCCTGACTTGGGACAGGCACATACATGTAGAATTAAGTCAAGTTAACAAGAAACTGAATTCCTAACTCTTCCACTCACCCCTCCTTTTTTTTTGTAACACCATTGGCCTGGAAACCCAATCATACCAGATTATCATTGCATATCCAGTGAAAATTCTTTCAAATATGAATCATTTCTGATAACAATTTAAATTTAAATCTGTGCCATTTATTTGACTTTGGCAAAATTTCTTCACAAATCCATTAATTTTGGATGTTTCGAGCATTGATGAGCACCTAGCATGTTTTTTCATATTTCTTTATTAAGCTTGAACCTGGTAACATGCAAGTTTCCAAGAGACTTTGCGCTTTACTTTTATACTAAAAGTATGTTTTTATTTCGGTAAAAAAATGCCTGTACTATAACTTTTCCTCTTGAAGTGTACATTTTTTCACATTTTTACAGTAGTCACGTGACTCTTTGAGAGATACAAAGTGTCCAAAGAAAGAATTATTTTCTTTAAATTAGTTTTCTGGAAAATTCAATCAATTATCTGTCAGATGATTCTAAGTTGGTGGCCTTTTTCATTGAAATTGCACAGCGTTTATTCAGGCACGTGGCCAGTATTAAACCCTTGTCTTTTTCTAAACAAGATCAAAACATTCATTTGCTCAGAAATAACAGTAAACTCGCAAAACAATGAATAATCCATTTGCATTATAACAAAAACGTAAAGAAATGAGAATTTTATTCTTACTACGATGCTACAGAAACAACAAAACAATAACAGTATCCATGACGCATAACAGAAAAATCGTTTGGTTTTACAATTTTAAATGATCATATTACGGTTAATTCAAATCTTAATCATGTTAACACCATATATCGCGTTCACAACTAATATCAAATAAAGTTTGTTAAAACAAATCGGGCTTACAATATTTTAACATTGTATTCAATACTTATTTTAGTATGGGTTTCGTCCTGCTATGAACAGTTACCCAAAGGAATATATCAGGATAATTTTTCTAAGATTTTGTATTAAGCCGAATATATGTAAAACAGAAATAAATTAGTAAAAACAAATATCTTTCTTCCACATATTATCCATCTTATCCTTGCATAAGTTTTTAAATGTTTTAATCACATTGGCTTTTCTTTAAACCGTGTACTACCGATCAGTTTCTGCGTATCTATTACATTTTTTTTTGTAAAAAAAAAAGGCAAATTCAAGCAGCATTAGTGAATTATTGTCATTTGACTAAAATAAATTACTAATTTGTGTTTTTATCGCTTACAAAGTTTTTCTATTTATTTTGGTTTTCACAATTGAAAACAAATCATATACTTTCTCTAATTCTTACTCGATTGATCCCTTTCATGACTTGTTTGTTATTTGTATTTAATCAACGTGTGCTTTGTTTGATATCAGTTTTTCATTAGTCAAAATTCTATTATGACGTCAACTTTTCCTGCTTTCTTCTGAAATGCCTATTGTGACGTCATGAAAAAAAGATAACCATGCCTGAGACGTCATATGGAAAGAACACATCTGTTTAGCAGGTCGTTCGAAAAGAAAGATTAAGATTGTCTGCATATAGTCTAAAATCATCAGAGAAACAGATTCCATACCAACATCTCGACAGTTAAATTTTATATATTTCTAAAACGCTCGGAAAGCCTTGCGTTTTAGATTTGTATACTTAACTGCCTCGAGTAGATAAATATCTTACCAAACTCTACGCAGTCATGTATCATATTTAGAGAAATTAACTTCATTATAGCTAATGTGGTTCGATAGTTTTTGCGAAGAAGGATTTAAAAAGTTTTCAAGACGAAAGATGGATGATGACGAGAAATGCATCCAAGCAATAGGAAACACTCAGACAAACTACACTCACACAAAACACCCACACAAACAAGCACACATTTACAAGCGATATCAAAACAAAGCATTAACAAAGTCGTATACTTACCCTATCCGTTACAATGTCCAACTCAGTCAACTTCTTCTTGTCAAAATATCGAAGAAAAATTAATCAACAATGTAAACTGTTTTAACTTTTCTGTAATGTTTCAAAGACTTTTTATATTTACGGTTTTGTATATTCCTTGTTCACACTTCAAGCAATACGTGGACATAAGAAATGAAGTAAAAGATATTGCACAAACACACATACACATACATGAAAACCAGAGCACAGATACACACACACACACACACACACACACACACACACACACGAATAGATACACACACACATACAACAAACAACACGCATGAAATATAGAACACAACACTAACAAATGTCAAAAACCATACCAGATCACTAACTATCTTTCGTATATTTCTTTTTTTTTTGTTCTAATTATTGAGTTTTAAAGACAAGTTTATGAAATACGAAACTATTTTAATATGTCTTTCATTTGATTGTAATTTGGGGCTCCTTTAAAAAACAGTTTATAGTTGGAGTTGGAGTAACTGTGTGGAATTTTAAACGTTGCGTTATCCATTTCATAAATGCTGAACAAGTCCTAAAATTAAGAAAAAAGAAACACATATTCCGCACAAAGACACAAAAACTCACAAACACACTCATACGTTGGGAATTTCTGAACAACAAAAAATACCAAACAACTTACCTTCACGTTGTCTTTGTTGCTATTGCGAAATTTCTCCCAATGCTAAGAAAATATAGACATATTGAATCTATTTAATGTGTCTGTAATAGGAACGTTTTTTCTAACAACACCTTCGCTGTACATATCTGCGTCATACTCAAACATGCACTGGAAATTTTTTTTTGTGTCTATCTCATGTTAGTGTTAAACATCTGTTTTTATTAAATTCCAGGTTAATAATATATATAAGAAATGCACATTATTTGGCGGCAAAATATTATTACTATTAAAATAAGATACGATAAAAAAAAATACAATACAATACAATAAAATAAAATCATGTTCACACTTTTCAAAAGTATAAGGTATACTGCAATGTAAAATGAAATGTCGGTGAGAACATACACATCTCCCACTTTTAATAAACATATGGTTTGTACAATGTAACGTATTTGAATGTTTTCATTGAACACAAAACGACCTTTTTTATCGAGATTTTTCACGATTGTTTGTGTCAATGCCTTTGTAAAAGAAAAGCAATGTACCATTGATAATGGGTTTTAAATTATCTTTCATTATGAATTTACCTGATCAATAAGCTGAATCACTGAATCTTCTTCGCTATCAATGCACTGAAATATATATCAATAACTTTATCCAAATAAATTGATTTACTCTCTAACTGTACACACAAAATTTAAACTAATTGAAAATTCAAAGAAATAAAGTGCGACTAAACAAAACTGGTGAAGGTATACAAAACTAGTGATTTACCTCACAAGATATTATATCAACGTTCCCACTTATATTTTGTATGTATATATGTATTGTAGCGTTTGTACAACAAAATAAAAGTTTATAACGCATATTTGATAAATCTTGAAAAACAACAAGCTCCGTGAACACAATATTATAGTTCCTCTAAAGATTAGTTATCAACACAATTCCTGAAACACCCTAAGGATTTAACCAAAACTTACTGTGTGCGTGTATTGAATAATAATGATAAAACAGCATTATACTTACCAACCTAAACACATTTGGTAGGTAACCTAGAACAAATGCACTCATATGTTCCATTTTATCCATTATCAAAATGACAAAGTCTGTTTTTCTTGCTATGAGTGTTGACTGGAACAGATCTGAAACACCGTCTTTTTCGTATTCCTGTTTTTCAAAATGTATATATTTCTTATTATTATTTGGAAAACGTCTTTGATCATTTCGTTTTAAGAATGCATTTATATATATATATATATCTAATGTATTTATAAATGTTATGCTATTGTACGATCTTAATAGTTTTTGTCTTGTGATGAATTGAAATTACCGTCAGAGATGACTTTTTGTAGTAATAGGATTTGAAATGTAAAAACATTGGTACAGTAACTTATATCGATTACTAATGTTTCGATTTATCCATAATTTGACAAATTTATCCTCCATTTAAATTTTGATACTAACAAGCGAAGACGACATAATCATTTACAATTCACAATAAAATTACCTACTGTCATAAAACACTAGAACGATTCAAATAAGGGTTTACAGATTTTAAAAGTTTTTAGTTGGTAACTTAAAAAGTCTGAAAGGCAGAGCAATACGCAATTTCTTTCGTTTGAAATCCACGAAAAAGTTAGATAATGTATCATATAATATCTATAGGATTTTCATTATATTTCTTTGTACAAAAATTAACTCCTGTTAATGAAGCTTTGGGGGTATTGACTCTACTTAGAAGTGCAGCATATACATGTAGCTAAGATTTCAAAAATGCATATTTACGCAATCAGATCTTTCTAAAAATTATAGTGTTTTTTCTACGATATATTACAATGGTCGTTGCTGTTATCAATTTGTTCACTATCTAAAACAACAACACTGTTTGCATTCACACAATGTTATTCTATTATTATTATTATTATTACAATTTTTCTATAGCGCTAAATCTAAAACAATATTACTCAAAGCGCTTTACATCACATGTTATATAAACCTATCTCAAGCTCTTGTTTTAAATGGGGGATATATATGGATTTGAGGTGAATCGTCGTTGACGACGTCATCGAAAACAATCAGTTCTTGCTCTGACGTAATAACACAAGCATTGTGACATTTGCAATGTAAAGGATTGTGCAAAAAAGTCGCTTATTCTGTGCATTTCCATAAGTTAGTGTTTCTTCATATTTTATCAGAATGGACGAGTAAATCAACTGAAAATAATGTTGGCACCGACGACAAATTTCTGGCCATTCATAATATAAGAGTTTCCTGACTCTGGATCCACTGATGAATGAATTATAATTTTTACCTGAAACATCGATCTAACACTATTTGATTTGTTTGATTTTTTTTAGCTTTTTATTTTTTTTTTGCATTTGCTAAAGGACTCTCAGTTTTGAGTTTATGTTTGAGTTCAGTATTTTAGTTTTTTTACTTTTCGCAAAGTCTTAACAATATGGTAGTTTACAGACTTATCCACAGTACTTCAAAATTGTGCATTGGATTAGCTTTCAGTTATTGTACTTATAAATAAACATTCTGGCTTTCGTGTTTTATTGCAATTTGTTTCGAGATGTATAGTAATTTCTTAATAGATTTCTGAATGATTTATGTATTTAGAGTTTTTCAGCAAATTTTCAGAATGATACACGGAAATTCAATACTGATATGTTCAGTCTACGATCATATTCTTGAATATTTAATGTTAAGGTCAAAGAAAAGTACATTGGCTATGTCGCAGATTTTGCTTAAATTTTGCATACAACCTTGGCTCGGTGAACTAAAACTGAAAATCGAAAAAATAATGCATTTATTGCTTTTATTATTTGAAATATTGCAGATTGATTTCGTTTCATATAGGTGAATATTTGTAAAGAAAGCACATAAAATTGGCGAAAAAACATATACAATGTGTCTTAAAACCCCCAAATCTCTAATTCTACTCCACAGATTTTCTTAAAAAAGCTATATGTTTTTGACACAAAAATTTCTGTTTAATGATATAAAATGAGTATATAGTCACCGACTTCGTTTTTTGTCTAATAATCAATTTGTTACCTTGTTGGTAGTGAAAATCAACCTTTTATGGCCTGAAACGCGGCGACGTTACGATTATTTAGACGTTTTTTTTTTGGATTTTTTTTACAAAGAACACAACTTTTAATGATGTATACCGTAAAAACGAAGTCGGTGACCTTATCTTTATTTTGCATCATTATTATGGAAATTTACGTATCAACAACATATAGTTTTTTAAGAAAAATCTATGGAGTAGAATTAGAGATTTGGTGATTTTAAGACAAATTGTAGAAGGTTTTATGTCGATTTTATGTGCTTTCTATACAAATGTTCACCAATTTTGTAAAACTTCAATCAGTAATATTTTAAATGATAAATGAGATAAATGCATTATTTTTTCGATTTGCAGTTGAAGTTCATCGAGCCAGAGTTGTATGCAAAGTTTTAGCAAAATTAGTGACATAGCCCATTTACTGTAACTTGACCTTTAACTGTACTTATCAAGATCCTACTGAGTGTCGAAAAAGATACTAAACAGAACTTAACTGATGTGAACATTACCGACTGTGCCACAGTGGATAAGTCTAAAAACTGATTGAAATGAATTACTATCATTAAGACTTTGCATTAAGTAAAATAACAATAATGCCGAACTCCAACCTCAACCTAAACTCAAAACGGAAAAGTCCTTTATCAAATGAAAATTAAATCAAAAGCTCAAACACATCAAAGTTACAAAAAAAAAGATTATCTATTTATTAGTGGATTCAGAATCGGGAACATCATTCATATGGTATCTATTAAAGTGTGTCTGAATAGTATGTTTATTTGTATAGTCACAAATTACATTGGTTGGCTTTTATTTTGAATGAGTTAGTTGCTTGTCAACCGGAACCTTGCACATCTTAACACACAATAAGGCGCAAAGGTGAAGGTATAATGCTATCAAGTAGTCGTTGACATTCTAGCATTTGGTCTATGTATGATAGCTGTCTTAGTGGGATAGTACAACATCGCCTCAGAACAAATACGACAATTTTTAAAAGGCATTTATTGTATTCGATTCATACAAAACTTAAGGATATGTATTTGAATTATTGAAAACAAAATTGTTTTTTTTTTATGATAGTGAAGTAAAAACATATAGACAGCTTAAAAGAAAAAGCAAAAACTAAAACACACTTTAAAAAAAAAGACAAACCGAAAACAAAAATCTCAATTTAGAATTTAATTTACACAAAATTAAATAAGGATATTTGATTTAACATGTTTAAGAAGATATGTTTCTTACGAACTCACATCAACTAATTCGTGTATTATCCTCCTGATATCATCGTGTTTTATTTCTTCAAATTCACCCTCCATACTTTTCATAAGATCTGTTAACGATGTTGAAACATTCGTGAAGTATTTTGCCTTGTTTTTGTCCGTGAAGTAGTTCTCCTTTTTAACTTCTTTGAACTGTAAGGAGAAATGTTTTCATGCTTTAACTACTATTGTTACCGCTCCTAACGCAGTCATTCTAATGCACAACATATGTGCGTTTGTTTAATACCAAAATAGACATTTTGGTTTTTGTAGAACTGGATTGTTGTCATTTAGGACTACTCCTAAATTATGTTTATAATTATTCCTATTATATGGGGATACATATATACTCTAAAGAATTGCTGTAGTACATTTCTAAATCCTCTTTCAATAACTAGAAAACATTTGAATTTTCGTCACTTTATACAAGTATTCCTTATTCCAGACTTAAATTTGTTAATTTCTGTGTCATTTTAGTCTCTTGTGGAGAGTTGTTTCATTGGCAATCATACCACATCTTTTTCTTTTTTTATATTAAAGAACATGTGAAAGAGTTTTCTGTTTTAATAAATAAAAACATTGACCAACGTAAAGACAAGTACCGTGTCTAATGGAGAGACACGTCGTACATTGAAAACAATCACTCTAATTCAACATAAATTCTCCGAAACTGACAATATCAATGCTTGATTTCTCATTTCACACAGTATTCGTTACGTTTGAAAAGCGTGTTTTTCATAAAAAAAAACCAATTGGCAATTTCAGTTGAACCAACTGTACTCCTCTTCCTGTCGACTTCAATTAAGGAAGACTAACAGCGATACAGCGCATATTCTTTCGTGTCTTGACTTACATATAGAAATTGATAATGAGGGAGAAAAAATGGTATTTTAGCGTCAAAATTGTTAACTTTCTTTGTCAAAGTAGCACCATTGCATCAGTGCCTGCATATGAAGTATAAATGTCTAAATATAAAAAAAAAAATCCAAGACCTTGTATCATTATATTCGTGATCGAAGGTAATTAACCAATAATTATTTCCACGTGTTGAAATTGAAATCATCTCTTGGAAAATGTCACGGACGCCATCACGAATTGATTAATTGATATAGAATATCTGTTTCACAGATAACGACTGATATGTTCCAATTGTAATCAATACAATCCCGTTTTTGTCCCCTAAAATGTAAACTACCGACTTAGACGTATCAATTGGTTCGTATTAACATAAGCAACACAACGAGTGACGCATGTTAAGAGGAGGATCTGTTTTCCCTTCTGGATCACATGAGATAATTTACAGTTAATGGTTTGGTTTCGTTGTTGATTCCTTAGTTTTCGATTGTTTTGTTGTTTTATGTTACAATGTATTATTGTTTGTCTTTTCATTATTGTTTGTTTTTTTTTGTTATTACATTTTCAGATTGTTTTCGACTTATGCGTTTGAATATCAGGTTGGAGTATTTGGGCTTTCTTCTTAAACTTACACTTATGATATATAAAAACAAAAATCAGAAGTTAGTTTAAGTACAAGATACGTACAGTTGAACATTGAAGTTACTTATCTCAGTTGTTGTTTGTAGTAAACAGTATAAGTGTACTTGACCTAACTCAGTTCAAATTGTCATTGCGGTGTTTGAATATGTAAACATCTGCAAATTGATAATTCATTTACTTAAGAGTAAATACCTGTATTACATCATTCTTGAAATGTTCATAAGCACCATAAACACTGTTGGACATGTTTCTATTCTTTTCCATAATTGTTTTAATTGTTTTTTCCAATTCAGCCATTTCTTCTTCATTTAATGTCTGCATCTGCAGTATGAAAGAAAAATCTGCATTCTGTTATCAAAAGCTTGATGAAAAAAGTAATGAAAAATTAGTTATAAAAAAGAAGCAATTGTTGGTCATTATTTTAATTTTTGTAGACCTGTTATTATGTTTTATCGTTATACCTTAATCTTTCACATCGTACTTTTTATGAAATGTGGTAAATGAATGTGTCAAGGGTAGTAACTTCTTTGACGCACTTTCATAAAATGAATTAACGTTTACGCATTGTTTATCGTGTAGGTAAACAAGCGTTCAATTCTATTGTCTATTAAGATTCGAACGTGTCATTCAACACATTGTGGAAACATATCGTTAAGTGATGAGATATTAATAACATTTTTCAATTTGCTTCGTTTCCTATTTTAAATGTCTCCTTCTTAATATATATTCTACTTGAAAAAACCGGGATATCACGCGGATCCGTGACTGAATTTCAATACTCATGCGTTATTTTGGTCTTGAGTTTTAGTATTCGTTTTAGTCTTCGTACTGTCATCTGAAAAAGGTATGCTAATTGTAAGGTGCACAGTTGTCTTTTTTTCACAATCTTTCTTTTTGCACCCGTCCTGTTTTTCTTACTGCAGTAAACTTTATATAAACTAAATTTAATATTTAAACGAATAAACGACAATTTACAGTGGTATTGAGTTGGAAGAAAATATATTTGTTTTGTAGTGTACTTGTTTTGCAATATAGATACTTAACAACTACTGTTAGAATCCCAGGTTCTCCTGGTAAAGTACAGACTAACTGAAGGTAACTACAACCGAAAACTACATGTGACACATACTGTTGGTATCGGACTTGATCAGACACTTGTTAATAATTGGTAATAATATTTCTGTGGAAAACAGAATGGCCTGGTATGGTGTATTTTTTAAACAACGATGGTCCTATATTAGTTATAAATAAAGTTAAATTGTATAATTCGTCGCTTTGAGGTTTACCGGCTAACAAATTGAACTTCAGTATTTTAGTAATGTATATGCATTACAAGGATTTTTTTTATCTTAATTCATTGTATTTGCCTTAAAATTACGATTTTATTTTTCATGGAATGTTCAAACAAAAGTGGTATAGTGGCCTGATATATAAAGTGCAATATAATTTTGAAACTTCTCGTCAAAATTGACAGAGTTAATAATAATTTATGATACTCGGGACATCAAACTTAATATATTGTCATTCAGTCTACTATTCTCACATTATACCGCCATATTCTTTACATTATAGAGTACTGATACGGTAAGTATTTGTTGGTTGATGCAGATTTAGTCTTAGATGTTTTTTTATTAGTTGTTAGTGACTTTGAACTAGATGTCAGCAACTGCGAGTACTCTCAGATCTGTACATAGTGTCTTTGTTTTTGGGGATATACAAGTACCCAGTGTAGTATTTCTATTTGGATCCATCTCGTGAGTTAGACCTTTTTCAACTGATTTTTATAGTTCGTTCTAATGCTGTACTGTTACACAACTGCCCCAGGTTAGGGAGAGAGTTGGGATCCCGCTAACATGTTTAACACTGCCACATTATGTATGTATCTGCCTATTCAAAGTCAGGAGCCTGTATTCAGTGGTTGTCGTTTTTTTTAATGTGGTACATATTTGTTTTTCGTTCATTTTCTTGTACATAATTTAGGCCGTTAGTTTTCTCGTTTGAATTGTTTAACATTTGACATTTTGGGGCCTTTTATATCTGAATAAGCGGTATGGGCCTTGCTCATTGTTGAAGATCGTACGGTCACCTATCGTTGTTAATTTCTGTGTCATTTGGTCTCTTGTGAATAGTTGTCTCATTGGCAATCATACCACATCTTCTTTTTATATATACAGATGTAAAAATTATCGATTTAAGATAACTGTTTAAATTTTGAATACAAAGTAGACATGCTGGCATTCTAAATTGTTGCTGGCCAAATAATGTAGTCATTGTTTTTCAATTCTGCTGTCATTTGCATTTAAAAAAAATCATATCAAGAGTCAACAAACTGGTTTTGGCTATGGTTATGAAGAAATCTATGACTGGCCACCAAAAGTAACTTCAAGTAAATCGGAAGTAGTGTTTTATCAATTATTTTAAAAAATATGGAAAGACCTTCAATTGTTCTCTGAACAATTGGTTTTTAATTTAATCTGTATTTTTCATTTAAAGAAACTAAGACATTTTATAATGTTGTGTAAATCGATGCAAAACAGTCCTGATCACATTTTTGTTTACACAAATATTTTATAGAAGCACCAAATAAATAAAGAATACTACTTTGAAACACCCAATATATATGTTTTTTTTTTATTGTGGTATGTAATTCAGGGTTTACTTTTTACATTCAAAATACAAGCCATGATGCTTTGTATCGTTCCATTGTACTTTTAATTCAATTAGAGTCTTTGCACATTAGTCGAGATATTTTTACATCACTAAATATGTATCTATATCCGATCATTATCATAAATGACGAGGAGCCCGTAGTTCAGTGACTATTCTTGTTTTTATGTTTCTTTTATTGCAAGTCATACTGCCGATCTTTTCCATTTCTTTAAATGTTTCATTTGGTTATCATCACTGAAAATGTCATACATTACTATAAAGCATATATTTTGTTCATTGTTAAACGCACAATTACCATTAGCTGTAATGCGTTTGACTAGTTGGTAATCATATCACTCGGCGGGCTACTTCAATACCAAATTAATAGGGGGTACCGCTGGGGTTCTGTTACCATACCCTTTTCATATAATTTAGATTTTAAAAATGTATACCTTTTCATATATTTCGAAGGTAAAAATGTTACCTTTTCCCACACTGTTTGGGTTTCATGTGGTCTGTAAGTATAAGTGGAATACCAAAGTGCAAAAAATAGAAAAAAAAATGGTTGATTAAAACAGTCGGGAACAACAAGAAAGATGACAGACGAAGAAGTTATGGGAACTTTATTGACCTTATCATATATGTCTGATAAATTTCCTGACCTATTCACATATTTTCAAGCTGGAAAAAGTGACTATTCCACGTCCTATCACCTAACCCCCCCCCCCCCCCCCCCTCCCCAAGTCATATCACATTTCCTCAGTTCATAACAACAAATCAAAACACAACTGTTAGTGAAAAAAAGGCAAATTTACAAAAGACGATTCTAATCAACTATAAATTATGTTTATTTTCAACTCACATCATCGGATTCTTCTTCTATCTCCTTGAATTTCTTGTTGAGTGTTTTACTATCTTCAACAGATACAACATATATACTATTCGCTAGCTTGTTAAACGAGTTCTTTACAGCCGAATAGTATAGTTTCTTGTTTACTTCCTCGAACTGTAAAGATAATGTTTGTCTCGAATTTACAAAAACTACAACTTTTTGTCCAGCTTTATGAATGATAAATGCACTTATATTTAACAGTTGTTATCCATTGGTGTGATGTTTATGTGCTTATCATTTTGTCATTTAATTAGGAACTTTCCGTTTTGAATTTTCCTCTGAGTTCAGTATTTTTGTGATTTTACTCTTTAGTACTACTGTAAATTCAGAAATTATTGAGTGCATTTATTATTGCGAGTTTGTCATTTTAGACTAAAATTCGATTTTTATCTTTGCGATATTGAGAAAAAATACTGTTCAATTCATATAGAAAATTTCAAAATGCGAGTTTAAGTTATTGTGATTATAACCCTGTCGCATTTTCTGCAATAATAAAAACATCGCAATAATTTCTGAATTTACAGTAATTACAGATATAAACAATGTTGATTTTCTTAAGAAGATTTTAGTAATGACCATACTGATAATAGTTACAGGAATATGAAAAGCAGGAAAAAGTAAAATATATAATTTATACATTATGTAACATGTAAATCGCCAATGTTGAACTGAAATTGCTTGACAGTTAACTGTCGTAAACTAATTTAGTGAAAGACGAATTTCTTATCAGCGAAGACGATTACATATTTGTATTTTGTAGCCATAATTTCTAGTTTGATCAGATACAGACTGAACGTGTGATATTTAAAAAAAATCATAGCCCTATAAAGCAGCCTGTCTGATCATTTGATTAATTTGTTGCGAACAATTTGTCTGATTTTATTACGAAATTTAGATTCTGTTCTTGAGAACTTTATGAGTACGTAGTACATGCCATGCTTATGTTGTATATAATTAGTATAATATTTAACATCAAATACCTGTAATACACTCTTCTTGAATTTCTCATAAGAGTCTGCTAAATTATTGAGTATATATTCATACTCGTCCAAAAAGTGCTTCATTTTGTTTTTCATGGAATTTTGCAGCTTTTTCAATTCGTTCATTGTTTCTTGTTCATGTTTTGGCAACTTAAAAAAAAAATATTTCCAATCATGTTTTTATTTGTTTGGAAAACCCCACAAGGGAAAAGATAATATGACCAACGCAAATGAAAAAAAAACATCATATCGAGAAAGAAGCCTGGTGGTGATATTAACGGAAATAAACTCTGAAACAACCGGAAAATATATCGGCATTTGTATTTCTCAGGAGTGCATAACAAACCAATCTTTAAAGGTATGCAATTGGTGGTTTTGATGTTGCTATTGGTAAATTATAACAATGATCTCCGCTGCATGAATTAATTAATCCAATTAAACTCATCATGTTATGTGATTTATCAATGTATTCAGGGTACTTCTTAGATGCACTATAAGTACAAAACGAAAAATGCAGTTTTCACGTAAAAATGCAACAGCTAACCTGTGAGTTAACAAGCTTGCAATGCAATTTAAATGCGGCGTTTACATGAATAGAGCGAGAGTTAACGCAGCGTTACAATTATTCGATCGTTGACATGATCTGTTTCATCTTCATCCATTGTGAGTTGGTATTTTATTCATAGCACAAACACATGACACAAATCATTATCGTTTGCTATGAAGCATACTGTAAACGTTCTTTATTTGGTGGAAATCAATTTTCGTGGTTTAAGAAAAAAAATCATGTGCATGGGTTCCTTAAATAGTGGATCTAAAATATCGATAGAATAATTTGAGGACATCACAAACGAATATTCTTGAAAATAGTTATATGTTCTTCCTGAGTTCTTATGACCATCAAGTAGTATGAGAATTATGAGGAAATCAAATGAACAAACAATCACCTGAAGTCAGACATTTATCGATTAAGAATTATTTGTCATGACATGTAAAATATTAAAATTGGTTCAGTTAAATTTTTCTAAAGATTAAATGGATAAAATTATATCGGATGTCCTGTATATAGTTCATAGTGCGTTTGCTGATATTCGATGTATTCTCTAGATTATATCCCCGTATCGATGTAATCAAACTTACACGGGAATCTTATTATGTCTTGTTTTGGACTACAGTTGTTATATTTCGTTTGACACTTAAAATTATGTATAAAGAGCCTACAACGAAAACTACGAAAATTGGTATCCCACAAATAAAATTATTTTCACAGTATTACAGATGTTCTCTAAACAAACAGAAGACCTTTCGTTTTTGAATACAATTACTGTATATGCTAGGTATATAACTCATCACTTTTGTTGTGATTGTAGATAGAACCGTAATACTCATTCATTGTAGTTATATTTGACAAAACCTTTCAAAATTTGTGGTCCTACATTGCTCTTCAACTGCGTATTCTATATTTGTCTTTGATTCGAGTATCACATATGAGTGTTTTGTATACGAAACGTGCTTCTGGCTTACGAAATCTTATTCCTGGTATCTATGACGAGTTTACGTAAAAATTGATCAGATATGTTTCTAATCAAACTCACATCATTGAATTCTTTTCGAATCTCATATAACTCTTTCTTGTATCTTTTGATATGTTCAAGAGGCATTCGTTCAACATGGTCAAACAATTTGTTATACGCTGTTGATAACGCCGTGTATTTGTGTTCCCCGTTTCCTTCTTTGATCTGTAAAGAAAATGTGCGTCTTGAACCAACAACAACTACAAATGCTGGTAAAAATATAGTTATGATACCCGCAATTAGAACAGTTATAACGTATGTTGGGATCTTATATATACCCGAATAGTTAGTTTTTACACAAAATTCAACTCTGAAAAACATAAGGACGTGCTTTTAATCAGATTTCTAGTAATTACAATTATTATGGAAAGACGTAAAAACACAAGAACTGTCTAAAATAAAAAAAAAATGCATGCTAAAGAAGATGCAACATCTGGTCCCTAATGAGTACAGAGATCGCTTGGCAATGAAATGATAGTGATACTAACTACCCCGAAGACGTTAACCTAGTGGACGAGTTAAAATATATATTGTATTATTTACTACCCATTTCAACATTAATCAGTATGAAATTATGATATGAAGAATAACAAATAAATGTTTGATTTATAAAAAGAGTATATCGAACTTTTGATAACACAACCGTGTATTGCTGTTTGATTTTATAACGTTATAACTATTCTGCTCTTGAGAAAGTTTATATGCAGATTATATCTAAACACTAGTTTTATCCCTAGTCTAAATTAAAACGATTTCTGCCATGTGGACATATTTTAACGTGTTTATATCAATTGTTCAACATTAAAAATACTTACATCCTTCTTGAATTGCGTATAAGAGCTTGCGAGATCTTTCGAATGTTTTTTATAATTCTTCCTAACCTGATCAATTACGTGTTTGATTTCATTTGGCAATTTGCCCATCCTTTTTTCATCGAGTGTCTGCAAATTGAAACAAAATACATCAGAATGTTCTCATTTTGGCATACAAACCAACTTACCGTAATAAATGATAAATGCAAAAATAAAGTTCTACCAAAGCATTATATCCTTAATCACAATACCGATAATAATATAAAAACATAAAATCAGAAACATAAGAATAACAAAATCAGCATATTTCAGAAATGCATCTCAAAACAATTATAAAACGCATAAAGTCTTCGATTAGCTATTGGTCAAATTAAATTGAGATAAGATATGTGTTCCCGGTAATTATACTGCATTACATTGTCGGTTAAGGAAATATGACTTTGACTCACAACTTAATATACAAAAGAGAACAATTATCATACCTGTAAATATGTAAGTTGCGTTCGGTGTTTAGAAATAAAGATTTCTTTCGTCGCAATATCACATCTTTTCCATTTTTCAACAAGTTTCAATTGTTTCTTAACTGCCTTGATGTTCAGTTCATGTTTTTTCAGTCCACTTGCTTTGTCGACTTCATTTTTATAGTAATCTAACAAAATTAAAATAACAAAAATGTACTTACATGTGTAATACAATAGGAACGGCTGATAAAGCTTTAATGAAATAAAGCGTTTAATTTTATTATCATTTTTTTTTCAAACTGAACAGCACCATCAATTGTTATAATATTTTTATATCTACTGAAGTATTCACTCATAAATAGACTACCAAAAGCCTTAGCGAAATATGCAGCGGTATTATCAGATATGGGAAAAGAGAGATTGAAGAAGATGTAGTATGAGTGTCAATGACACATTTCTCCATCAATTCACAATTTGTAAAAGTAAAAGGCTTCTTTTAAATCTGTTATTTTTTTTAACTTTAAATTTGATTTTAAATTAAAATACAAAAAGTGTCAAAGTATATGATAATGGTGAGAAGTACTACCTTTATGTTTTTTCCCTTTACTAGTTAGGGTATAATTGGGACTATCAAAATATCCATGTTGTTGGGGTCAATATCTGATTGTTTTTCATTAATTTGTTATGAACGAGTTGGTTACTAAATTTTTTATCAATATTAGCCTTGGATGTTTTGAAATATTTCAATAATGCACACGTGTTTATAAAAATTATTGATGATACGACTCAATTAAAAAAAAAGGAAAAAAATAACAAACAAATGTCAGACAACCAGTACATGTAGTCTGTATGATAATATCGACAGTCTGAACAACATGTTTTACGACAGAAATTCGAAGGTGGAAAAAAGTCCTTTGCAAGATGTTCATTCACGCCCGACTTTTGACATTAAAATTATTAATAATTCATCGTATCAGTGTATATAATAAGATTTAAAATATTTTGTTCTTACATTTTTAACATTTCAAATCATTCAGAATTATTTGGTCGAATAGTACACCACATCACATATGAGTGGAGCAAATAGTACACTAATTAAAAGTTCATGATTCAGCTTCTCATGTAAAATAACGTTCGTTATCAAACTCAAATCCCCCAACAGTATAAAGGCTAAGCCATCAACAACAATCAATTATAAGTATAAAACGTATATATGCACATATGTGTATATGTAGTTGCGGGTGCGGGATAATATATCTTGACTGATAACATGAACTGTATTGTCATCAACTAATTTGATCAGTGTAACGTGACTTAGTCATTGCAATTGACGAAAATGACATGCACAATGTACACACAATCAAAATAAAGTATAATTGATAAAAAAAAAATATATAGTGTATTTTCTCTACTATTTTACCGATTTAAAGTGTCTTCAAAGCACCTAAAGTAAGACCATTCAACAGATATCCAAAATTGACCTTAACAGTGTCGTCAATATTCATTATACAAATATCAACATGACCATTCTTTCAAATGCAATCAAGAATCTTAATGTTTACCGTAGAGACGGTCTCGCTCAGTTCGAATATTTTAAGTTAGAGTCATTGAGCTAAAAAGATGATTTTAAAAAAAGAAAGTTGAAGCATATTCTTTTTTTTATTATTATTTTAAAAGTATGAAATGCGTTCTTATTGAGTGTTTTTAAGATTACCTTTGTATGTGTTGAATATAGCATTCTGAATAAACTCGGCTACTTTGGTGGATTTTTTCTCTAACGAATATATATGAATCTATAAAATAGAATAGAGAAAAAAAACACATGCTGTAATAATTTGTATTAAATATCTTATGGAAATTGTGAGGAGGAGTTTGAATAAATTATCACTGCTAATTCATTTTGATTGTTTGTACATCTGTTGATAGTGATATGTAAGTAGCCATCAATTAATAAGCTATAGCAACCAATGTTAAGAATGATGTAAAAGGAGAATAAGTATATTGAATGATTAAATGTTAGCTTCAGACTAAGGTATGGTATTGCTTTCAAATAATTTGTATTGTTCATTTAAATGCAATATTTTTTTTTATTTTATTGGTTTAATTTCATTTAAATACTGTATTTTTTGTTTTTATTTAAATGGTATATATTATCATTTAAATGTAATATTCTTTTATTCAAATGGTATAATGTGTCATTGAAATGCAATCGTTTTAATTCATTTGGTTTAACTTGTCATTTTAATGCATTTTTTTTTTATTCAATTTGTATCTTTGTCGTTTTAACCTTAATTTGCAATGTTAAGTAGTTTTTAATTTATATGCATTATTGCATTATGGAAAATTGTTTGACGTCACAAGGTCAAGTTTGCAACAACGTTTGTGATTGGTCGATTCAAGATTGTATATGTTATCTGAATAAGTAACTCTTGTATGTTCCTTTTAAAGCTTATCGTATTACTACAACATAAAAAATTCATGACTCAATATTTGGAGAATTAAAAAACAAAGTTTGTTATTCTAATCTACATAACTGAGCAACACAAACCTAAACTAAAACTGGCAAAACATATACCATGAAATTATAATCAGTTCAAAACGGACGCTCTACGTACGGTTTTTGGGATTTTCCCAGTCAATTAGTGACACCAGTGGTGTAATTTAAGTTTAAATCAGTTGTAAGTCATAACCCGTTCAATTGAAGCATACACTTACAAATTGGTAAATTTTCCTCGCTATATCTATACATAAGTCATTACCAAAATAAAACATCGGAACATGACAAGTCTCCTACTCTATATGTTAACTATTTGAAATAGAACAATTTTCTTATGATAAATACATTGAATACCACAAAAGATACAGCAGAAAAATATAGCAAATCTTCAACGTCTCCCCTCAAATAATATCGAGACGTGAACTAAGGTTCTCTGGAAGGTTAGGAATATCCTGTTCCACTAGTGGAACCTGCAATGTTGCTCATGTTATGCAAAATTCAGTTACCAACAGGGAAAACTATTCATGGGTAGTACAGGTTTTTTTTACCATCAGCAGCAATTGCCAATAATGACAAATATCTTAAAAGTGACCAGTGGTGTATTTGTATATTCCTGTACTAAGTCTTAGTTTTTTTGCGTAGTGTTTATTAGACCGTTGCCTGTCTTCCAATCGTTTTGTTTTGTTATGTTAGTGTCTGGGTTTTTTTCCTTCTTATGATTTTTTTATTGTCTCGTTTGTATCTATTAAAAACGTCACTACAGACATGGACATATCAAACGAGTTAGGAATATACCGTATAAAGGGATCACGGAACATCACCGTCTAAAAGGGAACATTAACAATACGGAACGAAAATCATATCTTGTGTAATCGATTTTGGTAAAATGTTTTCCGTGTGATACTACAAATAGTCCAATCTTAAAAGAAACTATTCGGAAACTCGTGAAATTTATAAAGTGTTGTTTTTACTTTTTATTGCTCTTTATATTAGATCTCTTAAAGGTTGTCAGTTCCCTTTGACAACTTTTGTCTTGTTTATATCTGCAGACTCTTTTTAGCAGTTCTTTAGAAATTTGAAAAAAAAGTCTGTGACGTATAGATTCCAAACCTGCATCGAGTATTTTACGATATTTCGCGCACTCGAGACAGTTTAATTGTAAAATTTAAAATGCGAGGCTTAACGAGCTTTTTATCATCTAAAATATAACTGAGAGTGATAAATTATCGTATTACATGAATTATTATACTGGAATCGGTTTTTCTAATGAAATCTTTATCTGATTAAACTTTATCCATCCTTTTCAAAGATTTCCAGGATGTAGTGCTCTTTACATGTGACGTCATCAGGCAGGGTCACCTTTTTCATAACGTCACAATATAAACTTCAGAACAAATTAAGAAAGTTAGACGTCATAATTTAATTTTGATTAATGATTTTCCGAGAACAAAGTTTGCTCTAGAGATGAGACATATTTTTCTCACACCGATCTATAAATGTGAAAGAAGCATGAAAATTAGAGAAAAGGTATAATTGAAGTTGACATTTTCGAATGTTTGAAAATATGGGTTTGTTCTTTTAAATGTCCCTCTGTTATTTCGGTGTGGACGTATAATTGTTGGAAATTGGGGTTTTTACTTCTACATTGTTTTATTAACAAAAATCAAGAGTAACCTCTTGTTTATCATGAGTTTAACTTTTTAACGTTAAACAACTTAATGTAAGTAAATTGCAGTTAGATAGAAAATCTAGTTGAAAAGGAAGATGTGAGATGAGTGCCAATGAGACAACTCTCCATCCAAGTCACAATGTTTAAAAAGTAAAAAGTATAAGTAAAAGTACAGCCTTCAATACGGAGTCTTTGCACTGTTTGAACATCAAGCTATAAAGGGCCCCAAAATGACTAGTGTAAAAAAATTCAAACATGAAAAACCAACGGTTTAATATGTATAAGAAAACGAGAAACGAGGTTCCTGACTTAGGACAAGTGAATACAAATACAGCGTGTTTAAACGTCTTAGCAGGCGCCAACCTTCACAATAACCTTAAACAGTAGTGTACCATTTACATAAAAAAGACAAACTATAATACGCTATTTGTTTTCATCAGATAACACCTGACGTCAAATACTTTTTATTCATATTACTTATACCAATACATTGAATTTGATAAAAAAAAAATTAAAAAACAACAACAACAAATATACAATACACTTATACGATACAATTATATAATATTTACTTGTATATATTTCAATTAACCGTTTAGAAAAGGACATAGAGTGTGTACCTCTTGAAAATGTGTTGATCTAATTTACATTTTAGCTTTTTCATACTAGTACATGTAAGTAAAACTAATAAAGTCAGTATTCTGAAGAAAAAAATTCCGAAAAGTAAATCGATTTTATCAAAAGTTGTACTAAACGACAATGCGGATTTGTATTATCCTGTAAAACTTTGTGTTGTATTTTTTATCATTTGAATACTAAAAGAAGGACTTATATATAAATATGTCTTCCTTACCAAAATGACAACATTAACACATAATGTAAAGAAAACCGCTATCATACAATTTGCACTTCTCATTACATGTTTGTTCTGTGGTTTAAAAAGTAATTCAAAATTCAGTTTGCTCGAAAGATGTGATCAACTCATTTATAATTGTAGTCTTAGCTGTGAATATAATATATTTATGTTCCACTAAATAAAGTTCAATCAGAAAGTTTCAAAATATAAATCGACATTAATGTAGCAGCGATTAACGGTATCCTTCGTATGCTTTACTTTGTATTTTTTATTTATGATACGCAAAGTGGGAATTAAATTGAAATGTGAATTTTATCAAAAATGCTAATAGAAATACAAAGCTTAAACGAAATACGTCTACGATTACATTAAATCTTCGATCATCTGTGAATTCTCAAAAAAACAACTACGTGCCGTAATCCATGGTATCTTCGGTGTAATATTTTGCAATTACAATAGGTGTGTGTGTGTGTCATCATTGTTACTATTGTTCGCCACAACGGACATTGTTCTTGTTTATTTCAGCTTGTTGCAGAGCAGTAGGTATGATGGATCCTACGCATACGTAGGAACGTGCACATAACAACTAGCATTTACTAGATCATTATAACTGTTTAGTTTTAAATAACATTGGATGTAAAAAGAAGTTTTGGTATCAGAAGATAGTTAATCAAACACGGTACCAAACATGTAGAGTGTAGGTAGTGTGGAGATAATAAGTCACTTCCGGTAAAGTAAAACTCACTTCTGGTGACAAATGATAGCTTGTAGAACAGTGCTAACACATATCAATTGATTCGATGTACTTTTTTATAAAAACAAGGGAGAAATTATTACCAAGTGTATTAGATGTTACTTTTGCTTTTATGTGATAGGGTATATAACACTGGTTTCATATATATAAGGGAATGCAACGAATATAATTTTAGTACTCGGATATTCGTTTGCCTTTTATACATCTTGAGATATTTGTCTAACATTTCCCCTCATTTTAGTTCCCTTTGGAATATCCTTAGTAATACTAATCAAAATAATATGTATTCACAACGTTAATACGTTTATCCTGAGATTTCTATGTGTTATAGCATATATTTAATAAGCCTCAGAATTATCTATAATCGCTAAACGTGGTTTAGTACCAACATAGTCAGTTTCTTCCGAAAGGAATTTTTCAAGTGTAACTTGTAACAAAACTTAGAAACAGACTTTCATCGGGAGTTGTGGGTGAAATCATATTTCTGTACAATAATACAATCAAAGTGCCCTGCGTAGACCCTATGCAACTAATTAGAGACATTTGTGACGATATTTAATGATGTTTGTACACAAATTACCACTTTCATAAATTAATAACTCGCAAGCCGTAAACTTACGTGTGTTTGTTAATCAAGACATCTTTGTAAAGGTGATTGGTATGAAATCTTCATTAAATGTAATACATGGTTATTTGAAACTTTATTATTGTTAAATTTATAATTAAATATTGTTTCGTATAAGATATTATTGAAGTCAAATATTTCGTTGACAATTTAGGAGACAAGTCGTAATATAAAAAAAAATACTAACTCCACAGGAACAGATGATATAAAGTGTCTGTCCAGTCGGACTTTATGAACATATTGGTGGTTTTATTGGCACGTTTCTGATTTGGTAAACACACACATAATAATTGCTATTATGACAGGTTATGTTACAAAAACAGTAGCCTGTTATTAATTGTTCTATTGACACAAAAAATGACTAACAATACACAAAACCAAGGATCAAGTTATATTTTGTAATTTGTTTCAGTTCAGCAACAATATGTATGTCTTTCGTTAAGATTTCAAGCGATTTCATTATATCATAATTAGGTTTATGAAAGGTAAAAATCAAAATATTACATCACTATAAAAATCAAAACTTTTCACTAGACGTTAAAGATTTATTCGAGTACTCTAGTACCCGCGAGTATCGTGACAGTGTACTAGACTATTTAATTTCAGAACTATTGACGTCCCTGAAAAGTGTAGTTGCATATAAAAATAAGAAGATGTGGTATAATTGCCAGTGAGACAACTCTCCATCAGATATCAAATGACATAGAAGTTATCAATTAAAGGTTACATTGTGGCCTTCAGCAATGAGCAAAACCCCATACCGCATAGCCAGCTATAAATGGCCCCGAAATGGCAAATGTAAACAATTCACACGAGAAAACTAACGGCCTGATTTATGTTTAAACCAATGAACGAAAAACAAATATGATACACAGCTATAAACGATTACCACTAGATTGCATGATCCTGATTTTGGACATGTGCAAACAAAACGTGGTGGTGTTAACCATGTGTGTTTAAGCCCAACCCTCTTTCAGCCAAAGATAATGATGTAGCAGTACAATTTTTAAGCAAACTATACACAAATCAATTGAAAGGCTCATCGCATCAGATCAAAACGAAGCAGAAAAACAAATAACCCAAAAATAGAAAGGAAGTTGAAGGGTATGTATACATCACCACAACAACAACAAAAAACTCTAAATACAGATCTGAATAACATGTAACTCGTAGATAATGATAGTTAGTAAAATAATTTATCAAAAGCTTAAATAGAATCAGTGCACTTATTCACACAAGGTCACTCAAAAGTCAAATTATTTAGAATATATGTATTCCATCAAATTAATCATGGTTTACACGTGTATCAATATGAGGATAGTTATGGTACTTTGGAAATTCATTTTCATTTTTCACTGACCCGATTTCAATATAGTAAAACAAGGACATAAACAAGTCATGGCTTTTGAAGGAATACAACCCATATTAAATGACATAAACACGTAGTAACTTTTCAACCAAAATATAATTTTCAGTTACAACATGACGCATAGAGTAAAACAGTTTGTGTGTTTGTTTTGTTGTTGCTAAGAATAGGCGATGAAGTGAAAAATGAAAAAGTTAACATAGCCTTGATTTTATTTTCCTTTTTATGCCCAAGGGCCTGAAATAAAAAAAAACCTAGGTATCTATTCAATATATATTATCTTCAGTGTAAGAGTTACACTACGATTTCACTTAGTATGTCAAACAAATGAAGCGATATAACTTTCTTATGGTGTCTCGTCGCTGCTTCAATCAAAGTTATTTCAGCATCTTGAAGACTACATTTTTAAATACCCTGGCCTATATTGTGTATTGGAAATGATATATAACGATGAATATCATTTTATAACTTTTTAAGTGAGGAAAAATAACCTTTTGACCACAATGACGTTAAGAAAGTTTGTGGATACATTTTATGATTTCTGTAGAATAGCGATAACAACAGTTAAACAAAGTAGAGTATGGCCATATATTTTCCCTAGACCTCATATTGTTCCCTTTGGTTGACAAATAACCGAAAACTATAGACTCTAGGTTGCTATCTGAATTGAATAAATCACCCCATTTGTCCATTGTATGACTTAATTCTCAGATATAATAAATGAAAATATTTTTTCAATAAATTGAATAGATAAACTCAAAATACAATTCCTGTATGTATGGATATCATTTTACAAATCTACAAAAGTTTTGCAATATATTAGTTAATGTTTTCTGCGAGTCAAATTCTGCGTTACTTGTAGTTTACTGAATATGTGGTTGAACATAACATTACAAAGTATGTTCTTTAAGAGTGTTTTAAAATCATATATAAAATTCGAATTTAAATTCAACTATGGTTATCAGAGACATTTTGAAATGTTTATGAATATGGTGCGAATTCCCTTAACCATAACATCTCCTTTGGGTATTTAAAGAATAGTTTTACCCATTTGTGTTTCTTCAGACAGTTGTTTGCTAGCGTGTCCGCCTCCTCCTCTAACGATTCATCATCAAAGCATTGGTTTACTAATTCCCTGATATCCTCACTAGAATCTGACAATGTTGCTTGCTCTCCGTTGGTCTTCTTTTTAAAACTTAAAATTAATGCACAAAACGTTAAAAGAAAGATCTTAAAGATGTTATTAAAACATTATACATCTTGCAGGTTGACACACATAGCAAATTTTATCTTAAAACTCATTTAAGATAAATACACAAACAATGTTGTGTCCATTACAATTATCTTGACATCTTCAGGATTTCGTAACAGTGAACATTGGTGTGTTTTATGCATAAAAATGCTGATTGGTATAAATAAGTTGATGTTTTTTTAATAAGTAAGAGACAACTGGATAAAACGTTTGGTATTGCCTAGTTTATTCAATAACAATGATCTAGCTTTAGTTGACTACAAATCTTATTTTTAGAAAATAGAAGATATTGCAGAATTACTTAGAAATACTTGCAGTGTTTACATGGTGGCACAAACAACATGTGGAGCATAATTTGGTATATGAAATAAGATGTAATTGTTTACAATAAATCTGCAAAAAACATCGACAAAAACAACAAAATAATGCAACATCAACGAATGTGAATACGATTAAGTAAACCTAGTGACTATTTGATAACAAGTTGAGAGGAAATTCGCTGCTCCTCCTGATCCATCAATTACAACAACATGATTGTTATTTTCCAGTACACTCAAAACTGTTTCCAATGCATCAATTCCTCCTTCAATTAGTACCAATACAACAGGCAATATTTCGTTTGTTTCACACTGACCATTTTTGCTGTGTGAGTCATGTTCAATTATTCTCGGCTTGTCGTTAAATATTTTGGTCTTGAAATCTACAAAACAAAAATAAACAACTATATCGTTTTTTCTTTCTTTGTTCTTTTAATTTAACAATAAAATGGACAATTTTGTCATAATTTCTACTCAATTTCACTTGATTTGTTCTGTCTGTTTTTTGTGTGTTTGACGTTTTTAATTGACAATAGAATATTGAACTTGAACTTGAACTTGTTATGAATGCAGCTTGATATCAAATGATTATAATAAACAAAGTTTTCTTTTTGGTTTCTATGATATAAAACTGTATACATATGATATTAACTAACGCATTTTCATTATGTATATTTTATGTCTGACAGAAATTAGTTTGCAAATGTATTGGAGCAGAGTTTTTTGTAGTATATCATGCAAAGAACTCATATCAGCTGTTTATTTTCTGCTTAGGTCAAGAGACTATACTTCAAACATTAAATATTTGCAATAGAGATATAACATGTTATTTATTTGTATATCATATACATTTAAGATTTGTCTGCGAGGTAGTATCAAAAAGTAACTTGTTCTACATGTTCTACATGTTATACTGGCTAACCATTATATGTCATATAAAGCAATTCAATTAATAAAAGTTGATAAAATAAGAATAAATAAAATTGATATTATGGACGCCATCCTTTGCTCCCTTCTAATAAAATCTACATAACAAAACACAGATATGAAACTTAGAAACGGAAAAATATTAAATACTAAACTGGTTCAAAGAGTATCTACACGTGTCAATCTTCAAAATCGCTTATCTAAAAATACTACCATCGCTAACATTTTTAACAATAAAAATCGTGGTTACCCTTCTATCGATATGTGTCATGTCAAAAAATGACTTATATGTCCCCGTCTTTCCATCAACAATACGGTAAGGTCTACGTTTAATGGTCGAACATTTTCTTTAAATTTTGAATCTGATATAACTTGAAAAACAAACAGTATTATTTATTTACTCACATCAAAACAAACAGGGATGTGGTATTCAGTACGTAGGTGAAACTGGACGATATGTATCTAAACGCACGCAAGAACACCTTTCTCGTTTTAAAAGACCCAATAAATTCAAAAGTATCATTTATAAACATCTTAAGAAGCACAATCATCCTATTAAATATTTAACAGTTCAACCTTTAGAAGCAGTAAAAAAGCAGCCTGGTGAATCTCATTCAAAGTTTGTACGATCACGGAAAATAATTGAATTAAATTGGATTAAAAAATTACAGACAGTCTACCCTCTCGGTCTTAATGATAATATCATGGGAATTGGTAATATATCAAGAACCGACTCTGTTAACATTTTGGATATAGTTTCTAAAACTGTTCGTAAAAACCGTTCTCATGGGCGTAGAAAAATCTCAATCAAAGAAAATTTCGGATCAACCATACAAATATTTCGGACCTAATTTCTATTTCCAAAAACAACGGCAGACATTATCTGTTAACCAAGCTCTGTTCTTTATCTATAAATAAATTAAATAAAATTTTAGAGGATTGCAACACAATTTCATATTGCAGTCCTAAGTATGAAATCGTTCAAATTATAATTGCATATTGTTATTCTAAACTGTTTCCCAAAATTGATCGCCCTAAAGATCATAAAAAACATTTGATTAAAATAAAGTATGTCAATAAAGGTTTTGATTTTGTAAATATTGCTGATATTTTTAACGACCATTCTGTTAAAGAACAAATTCCTAGATATTTTGATAATACTGAACTCCCTCTTATTTGTTTTATTTACAAGAAATCTACACGGAAATATGTGTTTAATTATAGCGAAGTGTGTAAAGATGTAAATATCAGTGAAAATATCCCTACGTCACGTAATTGCAGTGATTCCGAATACACGTATGGCCCCATTTCCCATGTTATAACAGGAGACCTTAACATCGTTCGCGACCCAGAGTTAAAATCATTCCTCAGTAAAGGACCTAAATATCGTCCCCGTCAATTATTAATTTGAATGAGAGTCTTAATATCATCCACGACTCACTCTGTACTTACTGTTTGAAATGGATAAAACGAGAAAAAGCTGACAAAAAATCTTTAGACTCTTTTTTTAATATAGTAATGAAGATAGTTGATATACGTATACAACATTTGAAAGAACATTTTACTCTTAACAACAACCTAAAAAACCGTATTTCTCGTATCAAACATAAACTAAAAGAACTAGCCAAGGAATTTATTTTTGTCCCGGCTGATAAAGCTGCTAATAATATCACTATTGTTTGACGTAAATTTTACATTGAGGTTCTGCAAAAGGGAATCACGAATTCACCAACATTCCAACTGACTCCATTTTCAGAAAACGACATCTGTAACAAACATAAACTTGTAGCTACTTCTTTACAAGCAGAACCAAATACAATGAAAGTCCCAACTATGTACTAGCTTCCGAAGCTACACAAAACACCTTACAAATATCGATTTATTTCGTCTTCAAGTCATTTTTCCACTACTAAATTGTCTATTCTACTTACTAGTACACTTGGTACAATAACAAATCTGATAATAAATTGTTCAAATAAGGCCTTTGAAAATAGTGGAATTAATTACTTTTGGAGTGTCAAAAACTCGTTGGAAGTACTTGATAAATTGCATATATATATATTGGTGATTTTGAATCTGTTCAACGTTTTGATTTGTCTACCCTATATACCACTTTGCCTCATATTCTTATTAAGAAAAATTCACACACCTTATTAAATGGGCATTTAAAAAGTCAGAATGCGAATACATATGTTCAAACTCTTTTAGATCATTTTTTAGTAGCAACAAACAAATGAACTATGTCAATTGGACAAGCTTTGATACTATATCTGTCCTTGAATTTTTACTTGATAACTATTTTGTTCGCTTTGGAGATTCCGTATATCATCAAGTTATCGGAATTCCAATGGGGACTAACTGTGCACCACTTGTTGCGGACCTGTTTTTGTATTTTTATGAGTTACAATTTATGACTAAAATCAGCAAAGACCCATCAAAACAACATCTGATACAAAAATTTAACAATACCTTTAGATATTTGGATGATATATTGGCTCTCAATAATGACGACTTCAGTATGTATACTAAAGAAATTTATCCTGTTGAACTTACTTTAAAAAAAGCTAATACTAACAATGACCACTGCCCTTTCCTCGATCTTGATATCTATATCATTAACGGGAAGCTTAATACAAACATTTATGATAATAGAGATGATTTTAAATTTCCTATCGGTAATTATCAATTTTTAGATGGTGACGTTCCCTTGTCACCATCTTATGGTGTTTGTATATCTTAACTTGTACGATTCGCTCGTGTATGTAACAACATATTAGATTTTAGCGAAAGAAATTTATGTATCACTGAAAAATTATCATACCAGGGTTTTCGATATCACAAATTAGTCAAAACATTTACTAAATTTTATCATCGGTATAAGGACATCATTCGTAAATATAACTCTACATGCAGACATCCTATACGTTCAGGTATTTCACATCCAATATTTTATGGTAATATTCTTTACAAAGCACAAAAATGACAATATTCACCTCAAAAGCTAAAAAAATCTTTAAACAGACTTATTAAGAAGGGATATAGTTACGATACTGTTGTCAGGTCATTAAAGAATGCATATTTTGGCTTTAATATTGATTCACTTATAGGGTCTTTGCATCGGAATTAAACACATTTATTCTAAAACCAGCTGTTGGCATGACACGGGTTATTTCCTTCTCATATATTTTATGATGGTATAATACTAAACCCCTATCAGGAGAATGTGTGCCTGATATTTATATGACGAAGACATAATCTTTCAATCAGTTTAGTTGAGGTCTGGAGCTGGCATGTCAGTAACTGCTAGTAGTCTGTTGTTATTTATGTATTATTGTCATTTTGTTTGTTTTCTTTTGTTTCCTATTCTGACATCGGACTCGGACTTCTCTTAAACTGAGTTTTACTGTGCGTATTGTTATGTGTTTGCTTTTCTACATTGGCAAAAGGTATAGGGGGAGGGTTGAGATCTCAAAAAAACATGTTTAACCCCGACGTATTTTTGGTGCCTGTCCCAAGTCAGGAGCCTCTGGCCTTTGTTAGTCTTGTATGATTTCTATTTTAGTTTCTTGTGTATAATTCGGAGTTTAGTATGACGTCCATTATCACTGAACTAGTATATATGTTTGTTTAGGGGCCAGCTGAAGGACGCCTCCGGGTGCGGGAGTTTCTCGCTGCATTGAAGACCCATTGGTGACCTTCAGCTGTTGTGTGTTCTATGATCGAGTTGTTGTCTCTTTGACACATTCCCCATTTCCATTCTCAATTTTAGTATGATAATTCCCTATACAAAACCAAACTAAGAAAATTAAAAGGTATTTTTTTAGGATTGTGTACTGAAGTTTTAATTTGCACGAATGAAACAGAGAATATAACTTTTATAATAATTTCCTGATATACCATTCCATACTACATATAACCGAAAGCAAGGAAAGATTTGACCATGCTTCAAAGAAAATAGTTTAAGACTGACATACAAAATCCAATATAAATGAATGCAATATTCATTGGTATCACGATTAAATCTATGTATCTCAATGCCTGGAGTTTTGAAAATGATATACAGTTTTCTCAACATTAGAGAGCTATGATCATCAGAGCAAACGGTGGTATTGCATTTACTCCAGACATCGCCTTTCTCACAAATGTTTCTTTTTTTTTTTATTACTAGGAATACCAGAATGGGTGTTATAGTTGAATAGCAGTAAGTACTACCCTACGAACGCACTTGTTCAAACTCCGTCTTTTGTTCGTAAAATGTCGAATGAAAATGTTCTTACTTTTGTCTGTCCCTTTTTGATATATGTAATGTATCAACTAAAAAGCAAACTATTACCTGCATCTTTGATATTCGATAAGAATCTTTGGAAAGTATTTCTACATTCAGATGAAGCAGTGCCTGTTAGATGTTTCATATCCGGATCTCCAAGGAAAATAAACTGTGTGTGATTAGGATCTAATGATTCCTTTGTTGAACTGACAGGAATTTTAATGCTTTTTCCATATTTTTTTTCTTTTCCATGTATCACTCTTTCGAGGGGTTCAATCTTACAAAAAAACCAAAATCAAATTATGATAGTTTTCTTTAATCTAATACGTATGCAAGGTCTACCAAACAAATACCGCTCAAATGATATTCAAGATTAAGGAAAATTTAACCATTATATATCGGATTTTCTGCAATCTGAACATGCTCAATGATCGAAATCTGTAATCAAGACAATTTGTAGAATTGCAGATACCATTCCAACAAGAACAATTCATAGAATATTAAAGATCAATTAAATCAAATATCAGTAAAAAATACTTCCTAATTTCAATTTTAATCATAGCAAATAGTTGCAGTCCAATTATATTCATGTAATCACTCATACATTATGTATTCGTGAGCTTACATCTGAATATTCCTTTACAAGGTATAGTTTATTTAAGAAAAAACTAATGGAAGCCTTAGATTTGTGGGAAATTTACACATTGCCTGGGCCTTAATATCTGAATTTCATCCTGATATTCGTTAATGATATTACTCGTTAACGCTCAGGATAAAATTCGATTATCACGGCCAAGCCATAAGTAAATGTCGAACAAATATATGGCTTCCATGAATTATTTCGATTCTAATAGGACATATCCGGTAATTAAAAAACTGAAGCGAAGGTAAGATTGACGTATGTATGTCTGCTCTATTTTACCCCCTGTAAGACTAAAGCTTCAAATTTTAAGTAAATCTAATAGATATAAGAAGATGTGGTATGAGTGCCAATGAGACAACTCTCCATCCAAGTCCCAATTTGTAAAAGAAAAAACATTATAGGTCAAAGTACGGTCTTCAACACGCAGCCTTGGCTAATATCGAACAGTAAGTTATAAAGGGCCACAATAACGACTAGTGTTAAACCATTCAAACGGGAAAACCAACGGTCTAATCTATATACAAAACGAGAAACGAAAAACACCTATGAACCACATCAACAAACGACAACTACTGAACATAAGGTTCCTGACTTAGGACAGATGCAAACAAATGCAGCGGGTTTAAACGTTTGAAAATGTACCAACCTACACCCTTACCCGAAACAATAGTGTAACATCACAACATAGAAAGACACACTATAAAATATCAATTAAAATGGCTTAACTCAATTAAAGACATATATACACAAGTGAACATACACTGAAGGAATAAATTTGATATACATGTATGACACAATGTAAATACAAAATAAATAAATTAAGGGGTGAATCATTTAAGGAAACAGTAGTATACAGCTGTGGAATGTTGAATAATTACGTAAATAAACCATAGCCTTTAACAAATAACCTTGCCGCAAAATAGAAAATTGTACACAGGTAAAAGAAAATAATTGTGTTGTATACATTATAAATAGAGAACGGAAATATACATTATAAATAGAGAACGGAAATATTTTTACAAAATAAATAAATTGTTGTTCATAGTACGAGAAACAGAAGTGAAAATGTATAGTCATACTTAACACTTATCAAATCTGGTATACATTCAAAATACGTAAACATTAAATAACAAGAAACATTACAATTGTGTCAACAGGTCACATTAACATGAAAGTACGATGTGAGAGTACTCGCAGTTACTGAAAGATAGTTAAAAGCCAAAATCAATTAAGAATAAAAAAAAATCATGTATCAGAGACTAAAATCAACTAAAACACACCCCAGTCTTACATGAATTATTTCTAAATAAACAACTAGAAAGAATGTGTTCAATTTTCAGAAATTCTTTTTTTTTTCGTTGGCTACTTTTTACTGTAAAATCCAGAGTTAACTGTCGTAACTAAGGAGTGAGCCGCCATGATTTGCTGAAATACACAAATGTGCAAATAATGCAATAGAATAGAAAATGAAACAACACCTACCTCAAAACTCCATTGTAATGCAATATTATCCGAACTTAGGGCGTATACGTAACGGTAAACCTTCAGCTGAAGAGTTTATATTCGTCTGATGTCATGTTATGACATGACGTTAATGCGCCAGGATCATTCATGAAATTTCGCGAAATTTTATTTTATTTTGAATTTATACATGTTTTTAAGCTCTTGTGCATTGATTCTTTTTGTTATGTATTAGAATATGAATAACAGTTCTGTAGTGTTATTCTTCAATTTCAATTTGAACACAAAGAAATCAACATAGAGTTTGCACATTTGTTACAACACATCCGGATTTGGTTAAGAGATAAATAGTAATAACCACCAATATGCACACTCTGAGTTTGCGCTAAATACAGATATATCGAGATATTTATCACGGTGTTGTTTACAAAGCGAAAGAAGCACATCATATTAGAATTTTATTTAGTTTTCTATTATTTAATGAAGAGCTAATTTACTTCATCTAATACTCCCTCTGACAACAAGCCAACTATTGGAATGTTGTATTCTGTCAAAGTAACATGGTCGTTAACAGCGTCCTCGATAAATTTTACAACTCCACATTCTGTACCACAAGTAACAATCCAAGATCCTACAAAATCAATGAAAAAGGGTATGAAAGTAGTTTTTGTAATTTATTTTTTATTTTTTGTCTACGTGCGATAGCTATCATAGGGAAAACGTAATTCGCAAAGAAAGATAAAGGACAGAAAAGAGCATATGCTCTCTTAACACAGCTGGCGATTGCTCAAAAGGGTGCACATTTATTGCTTTACATGAATCATCCGCTATCAAAATGATTATACAACCGATTTATCGAATTGATAAACGCCTTACACTTATCTGCGAACAAAGATCAAAGGACAGAAAAGAGCATATGCACTCTAATTATGCTCAACAGAGCTAGCGATTTCCCAACAAGGTGTACGTTTAGTGGCTAACATTAATCATCAGCTATCAGAATCATGATTCAGTTCAAAATCTCAGGGTATAGAAAACAGTCTTTTATAAGGTCTTAATATCTAAGACCGAAAAAAAATAGTCGCCCATGCAATACCTGAAATCCTCACATATGAATGCAAAGTCATGAATCCGAAACTCTTATCAGGAGTTAACTTCACCAAAAAACCTCTAAGCCAAATTTTTCTAAGCACAGAATGTATAAGAACTGAAACATTCGAAAAGCTATATTACCAAATAGGACATGAACAAATAAGCCAATTCCACTTAAAGACAACATTGTCTGAGAGAGTTGAAAGCTTAATTTCTTTATAATTTCAAAATTTATCAACGGAAAATTTGAGAAAGGTTTGTCATCAATTATTTTGGTGTCATAGCTTCTGATATGAAGTCGTCATTCGGTAGGTTTTTTTATAGGATGATTCTTGGGGAGACAAATTATAATTTAAACTGTGATGCATCAAGACAAAATACAAACAAACCTGTATATCATGCAAATTTTTGTATAGAAAAAATGGAGAAAAAAGGTTTTTATTCGTATGAGATATTTTACCTGTGCTTTTGACAGCCTCAATAAGATCTTTTTTTAGATTGCGCTTGTTTTTTATGTTGAACTGGTGACTTATTCCTGTAATTGCTATAATTGCCTCAGGGGGAGATACATTCCATTGTTTTGGTAATATTCCTCGCAGTAGATGAGATTGATCAACAGTGTCAGGAATTTGAGTATACTAAAAAAAAGAAACTAAAATCAATATAAGCGTATAAGAAATCACTTCCTTGACTTGAGTTCACAATAGATGCAGGCAATACTAATTATTTGTTGCCAAAACATTAAACATTGCGAATCATTTTAATTGTGTTGAAGTAAATTAGGACCAACCCTCTGTAACCACCAATCATTTCAAATAGGGGTAGGGTTGGCACTCATAGTCACCGATATTCCTGAAAACTTAGCCTTACCATATAATCAGCTCAATGAATGTTCTGGTATGTTGGGATTTAGCAATTCTGAAGCAAAACTATATTTCATTTAATGATATTTGCTAAAAATAACTTATGCAAAAAATACAAAGGGAAAATATTCATGACGATTAAAGCCGCTATGTTATGTAAAGGTCAACAATAAGGAAGATTTCAAAGTCATGCCAAAGTGTTTAGGAACAACCCTCATTTGACAAAACAGTACCTAGCAACCATGTGTATCGACTATAATGACTCTTATATCATGTACATGTTAAGAGACCAGAGATGAATGGCTTTACATAAGTCTTAAGCAACTATCGCAAACGTGTCAATCAACAATATATTTTCATGTTCATTATGACAAAAGTTAAACAGATCTTTATAGACTATATATTGTATGTACTTAATTGTTTCATTATACTGAATCAAAGGAGCACATGTATACTTCATGTATGCTCTTTGTTCGGGTTGTTGTCTTTTTGACATATTTCCAATTTCCATTCTTAATTTTTTTTTACATTTTATTCTATAGTAAATTCCAATCAAAGGTTAAAAAAGTATATGGTTACACATCTTAAGGGCATTGAACTTAAAACAGGCCAATTGAATCTACAGGAAAAAGACGAAATAAATTAAAGGAATTGTTTAGAGAACGACCAATTTATTTCTTGTGTTATTGTTAGACAAGACGTTTTGCTTGGACAGATTTTTCATGTTCACCCGATAAACTATTGAGTACCTTTTTTCTTTTTTTCTTATGTGGAAAAAAAGTATCTATTTTTTTACACACCTATTTCGTAGTTCGATTCTTATATGGATGATTCGCATCTGTGTTTGCAGAAAATAATTTCAGCATTACTAAGTCAATATGCTTGATCTTTAGTTTCAGATACCATGACATTCATTTTATTCAAGATCACTTATCTCCATCAAAGTATATAGAATGGTCCTCCCCAATTTAAAAAAAATAATCTTAATCTGCCTAATTTTTTTTTTTGTATTATAATGATATTTTTTTTTTATGAGACCCCTTATTCTTCAAAAACAAGATACAGTGTGTGTACTGCAAAATGTCTTTCTTTTCATGTAGATTGTATCTTTGTGTTCACGTTTTCTCCCTACCTATTATAGTTTTTTAGATGATTATAAAATCTCAAATTTAGTAAAACGTGTCTTTTAGGTCAATACCGGTAATTTGTAAAGAGAGTTAACAATTTTAACAATGCAAGCATATTACTAATCTTATCTTGTTACTCATCTAAGCCGTTTACTGCTTGTCTTTTAAAAACTATCGTATTTCAAAAGAACGGTAAAAAATCAAGCAAATTGGTACTTATTATTGAATGGCAAAAACGTCTATATGAAGATAGTTATCAATTCAATTCAAGTTTTATTTTCAGAACGTGCATCCCTGTTTATTAAAGTTCTAAAGATAATAGCCATATTGTAGACAAGGAGAACATCACCAGTTCTGGACTTTGATAATTCTTTTCAAGAAAATGGAAAGAAAAGAAGTATGTTAAGTAAACATTGTTAGGTTAAATATGAACAAAAACTTCCTTAATCTGTTGATTCTGATTAATAGTATGATCGATTTGAAGATGTTTAATTCTGCGTATTTCAACTAATCATATTTTCTCGCTTATGATAACAGGTTTCAAAAATAATTGTTAATATAGAAAAAGGAGATGTGGTATGCTTGCCTATGAGAAAACTCTCCACGAGAGATCAAATGACAAAACGATAAAAACTATAGATAACCGTACAACTTTCAACAATGAGCAAAGCCCATACCACATAGTCAGCTATAAAAGGCCACTAAATGACAAACAATGTAAAACAATTCAAACAAAAAATCTAACGGCCTGTATGTACAAAATAATGAACAAAAAAAATGTAACACAGCAACAAACGACAACCATTGAATTATAGGCTCCTGTCTTTTGCACATAATATACAAAATGTGGCGGGGTTCTTAAATCGACCTACTTGTAGATCATGTCTGGCTAAATATTTTGTGTTATATATAAAGATTGAGTCGATTGGTTTATATTTGTATAGTTTCAAGATTACTTCTAATCAAATCAGAAAATGGGTAACAGACGTCATTTAAAGACAATCAGTTCAGGACGGACTCAAATAGATAAATAGATAAAGATGTCGTGTTACTTTATTTTGCAGCTGATTTGTTTGCTATCTTTTTTGTTAGTTGTATTTTATCCTTTAATTGATGTTTCCATAACAAAAAAAGAAAACGGAAAGCTCCAATAATGCTGTATAAAACTCCTTTAAATTTTTGCATAAAAGTCTTCTATCAAGTTAGAATGTTATATCAGGCAAAACCATAACAAGAAATTATTATTCAACAGTAGATCTTATCAAATACTAAAGATGTGGTCTTTTCAATACTTTTAAATTGTTTAAAGTCAGAAATGATATGATACAAAAGTATAAATTATATTACATTTAGAGATCTTGACAATCAAACAAAACAAATATCTGAATCGAATATCATCGGAATGTTTTGAGTGAAATCATATTCTTACATTTTGAGGACGTGTTTTTGAACACATATTCGGCACCACTGTTGGAACCTTCCTACCAGCTTGTTCCTATATTTATAACATTCAGTATTGGAAAAAAGCTAGCATTATTATTAAACTGCCGCGAAATCAAACTAGATATAAAAAATCTTCGCCTATATTGTACGCATCTATCACAATGAACTTAAAATTCGTATCTCGTTTTGCATTCATACATAGACATGAATGACAATGAGGGTCGTTTAAAAACAAAACCTAACGACACAAACAATGTGAACATGGTAACCGTTATCGAATAATTGATTCATTATCATAATTCTTTCATTTTTCTCTCTTTTTACAATACGTGATCAGACGTTGACGAATAACACATTTTATTAAATGACTTTAAATTTTCTGTTTTCTCATTGGCTAAAAGCATAGGAAATCTACTTTGATGGATCTTTTTATTCACTGCGGAAAAAATCACGAGAGGTTAATATAAGATTTTGAACAGCGTCCATGTACCTAAATATAGATATTCCAAGGTAACGTCAATGACGTAGGTTTGTGACGTTCTGCAAATTCCCGTTTTTTTTCTTTTTCTTCCTGATTTCGGTGTATTTTTTCCCTTCTTTTTTATGGGGTAAATTTTTAAGGGAAACTTTATTGAATATTTCAACTTGAAAATTAGAAACTGCAAAAGCAGATGATATATTTAATACAATGTATACAAACAGGAGGCAGTTTTAAAAGTATTTTCAGCAAATACTAGAAAAAATGGAAAAGAATAAAAAGCAGAACTCTGAATAAAAATTCATATATTAAAACAATTGTTGACTTTTGATTTCAGTAGATACAATGATTTATCAACCCAGGAGATATGACATTCACCTCGGCTGTTGGCTTCGGTGAATATCATATCTCTGGGGTTGATAAATCATTTTATTAACCTCATCAATGTCAAAAATTGTATTGTAACGAATGGTGTTAATGCTTGCAATTTATTTAGTATTTGAATGATCTATTGTACATGTAACTCTTCACCCAATCTGCAGTGTTTTAAATTATACAAAAGCTCATGAAAAGAAACATGTCCCATGTCATATAAGTACACATATGAACAATGTGTGCTGTAATTTGTATTTCAATGAGGTTTTCCTGCTTAATTACAAACCTTTGTCATATAGGTTCTTGTTGTATTATTATTGTGAAACGGAATACTTACTAGTTACCATGCTGGAATGAGTTGACATTTTTTCTGTATAAAGGTTGGAAAGTGTGACCATATGGTAATTAACCATCATACTCTATATTATTTTTTTCTGCTTGAGATAAGTCAACAGAATTCAGTCATTGGTATTCTTCCCTTTACACATATAATGATGATACGAATGCCGATAAAAAAAGCTGCCCATATCGACTTTGTAAATAACATAATTTAAATTGATGAATAAGAGATACTTTTGCGACATACATTCTTGAAAAAGATTATTTTGATGTACAAGAAATACATTTGTAACAATGGATAGTTTAGTAAAATTAATAAATGTTGTAATAATAAGATTATCAATTACATGGAGTCCAAAATAAAAAAAATCTGAATGTTGATGTATTAAATATGGAGTTGTTTAATTTATTAATCGTAATGTTCGTTCCGATAAAGAAGTCATTTGTATCCAAAATAGACTACCCATACAAATTAGGATCAATATAAATACACCGTCATACAATATCATTGAATTATGTAAAAAATAAAGTTGTTTTCTTCAATATTCAAAAAATTGAAAATCATAATTGTTTTCAATTAATGACATGCGATAAATGTCAGGTCAACAATTGGAATTACTTTGACATTCATTTATTGATTAAGGTTACTGAAACATAATGATCTTTTTTCAATGAGTACGTAGATGATTATACAATATCTACAAAAATAAACAAACATAACTCACGAACACTTTCCTCAATTTTGATTTCCTCTGAAGATAAAGATGCCGTTTTGGAATTGGAATAAATCTGCAAGTATAGACAATTTTTGGTTACATTTAATTTTTGTTTTAGAAAAGTCATGCTCAGCAGAAACATTATCTTAAATGTGTTGTCTGTCGATATCGTTTTGATGTATGGCAGTAGCTGGTTCATAGAAATGAAGACAAAACCATTAATTTGACCTCCACAATGAGTTTGATCTAGTGAGTTAAACAATAAAAAATATACTTCTGTGCCAAACAAAGATAACATAAACTGCGGTGTACGAATCACTCGTCGCTCAGTCTATAGTTATCTATGTTGAGTTTTGTATTCTGTTTGTTGTCTTTTGGTCCTTTGTCGTGTTTTAACCATGGCATTCTCGGATTGTTTTCAATTAATGGGTTTTATTATCCCTTTGGTTTCTTTTCCAACGTCGTAATAATAATAGTAATAACAATAGAAATGTTCAAAGTAGATTTGTATATTAGTTGTGCTTGTGAGTGCAAAACATAATCTACTCAGAATAAAATTCACAAAAAATAATAATGCTATAACAAATTTTATTGTATAGCAAAGCTTGTTATTTATATATTTATTTATTTGCCGATTTCAATGTGCATGGCTTTCGACGCCAAACTGATAGAAATTCGATATTTGTTCATTCTGTAATTACAATTAATATTTCATTGCATTCAAATGTACAGACTGTCTGTAAAGATGCCATTTTTGTTTCTGTTCAACAAATAAAATAATTAGATAGTTCCTAAGCGTACAATTAAACTTGGGTTTTTGACGTGTACAAAAACAGTAAATTCAAGATGAACTTTACTAGGGGCAGAAAAACCAACCATCAATGAAATATAACACAAAGTACACAATGTTCAGTAACACTAATCATCTAAACATGCAGGTGCTAAATTAGAATTACATGTAATATAATGCATGCAGTTTTTTTCTTTTTCTTGAATCACTGAAGGTAAATTCTCGAAAAACATGTGTTAAAGTCTCGAGGGTCTCGAACAAGGAGTCATATAAATCGAATATGTTTGTTCTGATGAAGATTCACTTTTAGAAAGAAAAAATTACAACACAATGAAAAATATTCATAAGTACATGTATAATATTACTGTAGTCCTTTTCCTACAAATTCGAAGATCGATGATTTTGTTGATCGCATATATGTACAATTGAACTTGATACATTGATTGGTTGATTGATTGGTGTTTTATGCCACCTTCAACACTGATCGCTACATTGTATTACGTTGTTAACATTCTTCAATAATGGATGAAGCCGGAATGCCCGCGGAAAACCACCTACATTCGTTAGGAAATATGACAACACTTAGATTTAGATTAGATTTTAAGCGCACCTTGCTCTGTAGGGTTTGAACCTACATCAGTGTTGACAGGCTAGTGAAACCCAACAAGGAGTTGTTTATGTTCAAACTTTAGCCGGATCATAGATTATTACAAGTTGCACTTCAAAAATACGGTGGTTGCACAAACCATGCCTGTATTTGGGATATTAAATTGGAGAAACTAAATGATAAAATCATAGCGGGATTAAGATCAATCGGATATATATTAGTTTTTTTTTAATTTGTTTTGTTTAAAATTAGAGCAAACACTAATTTGTATTGGTTCGTTTACTAACGAACTCGCAGTTTCTATTCCAAAATAAGCACTAATGTAAGGGGTCTTAAAATACAGATTGACTATATTTGATTCTATTATATATATTTATGTAATAACTTGGATAGCCGATTTTTTTTACAAAAATTCATTCCAGCGGTCTGCAGCAAAACAGATAAGTATAAGTCTGAAGGTATTAACAGGGGGAACAAACGAGACACTACATTCATGTCGCAAATGTGTATATAAAGGTCGACGAATGATACCATTGTGTGTTGCACTAAATTATCTACTACATTACATATTTAAAAAGGATGGTATAGTTAGCAGACAAATTTTGCAGCGACTATTATAGTTGGTCTGGTTTAATCAAGTCTTTAACCATTGGCCACTTAAATCAGCAGTAAGGAATGTTAGCCACGTACAAAATATAGTTTTACTTGTAACATCTTAAATTCAAGAAATTTCGACAAATATTTATAAAACGATACTGCTTTGATTTATCATTTGCGAAATATGAATAAGCCATTGGAAAAAAAAACAGAAGGGTTTATGCTATTGAAATGGAATAGTTATAATCAAGATAAACATTAATGAGAATCTGATAGAAACAACTTGTACAGTAATATTGGTTGTATATTCAAAATTAAAAAAAAAAGAAATCTTAGCATGAAAATATAGATTATTTGTATTTTTCACAATATCTAAGAGTGTAAATTTTGAAGAGCACGCAAAGGTTAATATATGAATTATGAAATAAACTGCTTTTAGATACTCACTGAACTTGCACACGTAACTCGGGTAGACACCCAATATTTCCATCTAACTGCATTTGCGTAATTATAGCAAAAATGCGTGTATAAGAAATCGCGGAAATTGTAGTTCACAAACGAAATATTTGCACGTAGCTGTCACGTATGTTTATTTTATGTTACACTCGGTCTGTAACGAGCTATAAAGATGCCAGGATGATTGAATCAGTACCTGCATATAATATATATATATATATATAAAGTGCCCAGAAAATCAACCTAACGATGTTAGAGTAGATCTGATCCTTTACTTTCTCCCCGAGCAGGGCTGGAATCTGCACTTACGACAACACCGCCTAGCATTTTCCCTTCCTCTAACTATAGCTGATATATTTACAAGTTGATTGATATTCTAATGCATGCGATTTCTGCTTACTGGAAAAATTTACTGAATATCCGAATCTCTTACATTTTGTTATGTGGTATGAAGCAAAATTACGATCATGATTTTCTTCCGTTCATTGTATTATTTGTGCACGCAATGTATTTTCGTTTCACTCCGGTTAAAAGTATTAAAAGCATACGATTACATTTGACTTTCTTTGTGATTTTGTGGCAATGTCATTCATTGCCATTATCAATACAATAAAAGTATTATATCTTTTAATATCACACACCTAATGTATCACGTGATTTCCTTGACTGTACACAGTTGACGTTATAAGGGGTACATATATAAGCGTAAGAGAAATTACCTAGTAAAACGTATAGGCAAACCATTGGAAAATTTTTCAAAATGACCTTTAAACAAAGGTCACCACTCATTTGCTATGAACGTTATGACAGATTTCGCTTAGTAACAAACATTTAATCATATCCAAATTCCACAAATACTCAATTACAATGGTTTTCTATATCAGTAAACGCAATTTGTTCTCACCTTAATTCAGCTTTCAATAATCTTATTTCTCTGAGTTCTATAAAACATAGATTGGACAAATTGCTACCTGAACAATAAAGATGTTTACAAACTAGTTCAAAATAAATCTTTCTGTCTTTTATCATAAAAGCAAATACATGAACATTACTTGTTATTCTGATCTTCCATTCCTTGGAATTGAACAGAGAAAACAGTTGTCTGTATTTGTCTGTTTTCGTTTTCATGTGCTTCTCTGCTGGTTTTCACGTTGTTTTTTCATTTCCCGATCTACAATACAAGAAAATAATGAAGAATATATTTTTTTGTTTATCAATCCATCATCGGAGAGCAACTTGCTCTTTCCTTTTGTAAAGAGCACATATTATCTCTTATAACGATTTTCACACGCTGACGTTTACATATTTAGGTTAAGAACTATTATTATTATAATATAATTATTATTGTGTTGTATTGTTATTATTAGTAGTAGTATTACTATTATCATGACTAATTAGCATCATTAGTTCTATACACCTGCAATGTTTGACTTACATGTTCTTGCAGATTTTAGATTCTAGATATAAATTAAAGATGTGGTATGATAGCCAATGAGACAACTCTCCGCACAAGACCAAATGACACAGAAATTAACAAATTTGGATCACCGTATGGCCTTTAACAATGAACAAAGCCCATACCTTATTGTCAGCTATAAAAGGAGCAAAATGACAAATGTAAAACATTTCAAACGAGAAAACCAGCGGCCTAATTTATGTAGAACATAATGAACGAAAAACAAATATGTAACACAGCAACAAACAACAATCGCTGAAATATAGGCTCCTGACTAGGGACAAACACATAAAAAATGTGCCGGGGTTAACCATTTTAGCGGGCGTCAAACCCTTCCCATAACCAAAGTCGGTGGTCTAACAGTAGGACATAAGAATAAAACTATAAAAATCAGATGGGTACAAATAGAATTACATCTGACAAAAGCATAAAGGCTGCATAGAAAATCATGCTAGATTTCTTCAAAAATCATCAGAATTGCAAATTCCATGTATTATGACAACATTGAATTTCAACTAAGATTGTCAACTACAAAACAGTATTTTCAATTGTAAAAAATTATGAATGACGAAACTTCCCGGTGCACTGGCATTTCAAACAATGAACAACTTTGAGTGTTGTTCGCCATAATCGTATAAACAGTCTGGAAGAAATAGTCAGATTATTGATGAATGCAGTTCATCATTATGACAGAAAAAAAAGTTAAGGTTCTCGATATTGACAAAGAGATGGACGATTTCAAAATAGATTTTTCCTGAAATTGTAGATACAAATTCCATGTTTCAGATAATAATAAATATGACTGTATCAATAACTACGTGTTCCAACAATAAATTTATACCGAAGATGATATTATCCATATTACGAACTTTTTAATTTTTTTTTTATATTTTGATTGATCAATATTTTATAATAGAATACATGTTTCAATTAGTACATGTAGTACTTATTGTGCTGACTATATTTGTTTTGTATTCATATGAAGAAAAATTTATATACATACACTACGAAATAAAAAGAAAAATCTCTTCTCGTGTCCTTTAATTTTCCTTTCAGGTATATTTGAGATGTCTTGTTATTGAATTACCCACATTTTAGTTAGTGCTTATATCGCATACATGAAAGTGAACTTGACATTATAGATACTAACGGCAATACGTTCTACTTCATGTGTTTATATTTCTGCTGACAAGGAATCAGAAGAACAACTTCAATCAAATCTTTATTAATACCAGAATTTAAAATGATGAATATACGCTCGTTTTTGTCTGTAAATTACTATGCAATGACGCTGTAAAGTTAAAAAGGCCTAAAGCAGTATGGAGTTGAAGAGAAATATGAACCCACAATTTCAAAAGGTTTTGTTTTCCAAATACAGCCAAGGTAATTCATTACTGGGGGTAGACAATCCTAAGTTTTTCAAAACATTTATTTTTTTTAACAATCAATTCATAATGAAACCATTACAATGTGATGACTGAATTGTTGACTACTCCTCATTGAGAAATCTATAAGCAATGACATGTAAGTTATATATGTGAGAGACGTGGTAATTTCAGCTTCTCATCTTACCATTGTAAGGCGTATGATAGCATGTTTCAATTGAATTGGTACCCTTAAGCATACTGCGCATTAAGACGGGCGTACTGACAAAGTATGTACAAGAACACTCACTGCTCCAAAAGGAATATTACATGTATGGAAGACGACTGATAAGACACAAAGGTTTAACAGGCAAATCATGAACTGTTTAACTGATATGATGTGTCGCACTAGCAATATGTTTCAAGGTTTAATATCTTAATATCTAATAATTATTGTTGGGTTTGTACATTTATCAAATATCTAGTTTTTTTTTTACTGTGATATATTTGGACTGATTGTTGATTTGCATGATATCCCATTGACAATTACTTTTTCGACGCAATCGATATGCTAGTTTTTGATATTAATTTGATCTTCAATATTTGTCTTGTTTTCTTGAATTACATCATTTACCATTGATTTACGATATTTTAGCATTGATAACTTACGTCTGTCCCTTAATAATCCAGTGTATCTAAAGAACTATCAGAGCAGTATGCGTTGCAAAAGAGCGACTTTACTACTTTTGTGCATATCAAACTAGTAACCTCAGCTTTTTGTGATCAATAATTAATTACGAAATTAATTAATGAGTACACGTATTCAAGTGTCACAAGACATTCCTGTCAATAATATCGCTCCTTATATTTTAAGATTGTTAAACATTTGTAAAAGTACACATTCCTCAAAAATTATTTAGTTGTTGAATAACAATGATTCACAGTTAACTCTGCGTTTTCGGAATCTATTACGGATGTGTTTGCATGGCATAATATTTAAAACGATATACGAAGATATATCAATTAATAAAACCTCAATACTGGCTAGCTGTGTTGTATTGTATTGTGTTTACGGTTATTTCCATTCCATGAGATACTTCTTCACGTCAGGGATATATAAAACATGTTAGATTCGTGTTTCAACTTATTCTGATCAACTGATAAACCTATGAGAATATTGCCTTTTAGTCAAATATTAAATTCTCTAAACCTACACTTTTATTAAGGATAATTTTATCATTAGATTTAATGTTATCCTACCTTTAAAGAATGCATGTGAAGAGATGATACTAAGGATTACATTTTTAAAAAAGGTACAGCATCTACTGTGTGCTGTTGCCAACAACTTCCCTTCAAGTCTTGCTTGATACAAGCAATGATATACGTGTATCAAATACAAACATAAATTCAGTCTGTTTAATATCTTTAAAGGGTTTTATTTGATGAAATGTAAAAAGTTTACAATTATATGTTTTGTATCTATGATGGATTTTCAACAAAGACTATTTATTTCAATATTTATTTAAACCGCATTGTTTTTTATCTTATGTCAACCGATTGGAATATAGAGGTTATCTATTTGTATGGAAATGATATTCAAACTGATATTATCCAATGATTTACATGATCAAACATCTTTTCTTTTGAGAATGCTTACAAGACAATATTTGTAAACGGTAATCTGAAACCTATTTGAAAACATCATTATAAACAATCTGATAAAAAGAAACAATTCGATATAATGATATACATCTTTATCCATTCATTGTCAATGAAATTATTTGAAAATCTGATACAATGTTAAATAAAGCAATACACAGCTTTATACTGAAAAAAGATTAATAACAAAATTTAAAAATAAAGGTTGTGAAACACAATTACTAATAAGAAACATCATTTACTTCTATTATTCACCTTCGGAGTGAAACAAACTGTGTTTATTCACCTGAGGGGTGGAACAAAACATATCACAAAAATTAATAATATAAGTATTTCAGAATGTATATTTATATATTATAAAGTTAGTAGTTTTAATATAAAGGAATATATTTGAATGTCAACAAGGCAATTTTTATGATAATAATGTAATTGCATTTTTTTGGTCCATTTTAGTTTATTCAGCTCTTCAACGTTTATACACGATTTTATTTTGTTAAATTGTTTGAACTCGATTATCACCAATGAGACGCTGATTTATGTTGAAATGTTCTTATAGCGCAATAAGAATAATTATAATTTACCACTGTTCGATAATAACGGTACTAGTGGATTCTATTGATGCGGGTACTTCGTATGTACACGTGTGATATATATATATATATATATATATCACGTGATATTTATTTTAAGCGGGAATATTTTCCCTTGTTGGTCACTTCTAGCCAAGCATCAGACAGGAAAACAGTGAAATAAAGTTCTTTTTCAAATGAATTATTTTATTCTATTTTGTGTTTAGTAGGAATTATATATTTTACTAAAAGAGAAACTTAAGTTATTACTAAATAATATATACTTAAAACATTTTCTTTATATACTGTCCAAAGTTCTAAATCATGAGACGATATTCCCAGCATTTGGGTTTTGGACACAGATTTCCGACATTTTCCACTTTATTTTAAATGCAGTCTTTCGACTATATGTAACATGGTGTTTGAACGAGTTAACCCCTTTTTTTGTTGGTTTTTTCCTGGCTGGCGGGATCATTGATGACAGAGCAAAATATTTTTTGAACACAATTTACCTATTATTCTATTGATTTCTTAAATGAAAGTTAATTTATTTTGCATTGATACTTATGCTGTAAGTTTATTGTGTTTATCAATAATATTTATATTGATAAAATCGGGGTCCATCAGTATTGCTGGGCTATCGTCTGTTCATAACAGTATTTAGTATTTATTGAGATACCTAGAAATAGTAATTAGTAAAGTTAATACTACCGTAAAGTGAGTACATTGCGATAATTCGCCGTTTCAGAATCTGGTGCGCTCTAGGTGCACCAAAACGTTGTGATCGGCTAATAACGTCTTAAGCAATTAAAAATCGACCCATGATGTAACGTTGTTTTCATTTTGGTGAACGAATAATGAAATTCCCTATAGTCCTTTAGATTCTAAAAAGACGAACTGACATACGTTTTAGAACATTGAATATGCAGACAATGATCAAGTCGGTAATATTTCATATTTAGGTTGGATGTCTTCAAACGATTTCAAAACTGTATAGTTTTTTAGCTGCATATATGACATGTTTGAACAAAATAATAACAGGTTTCGTAGAAAATGTATTTCAAACTAAGGTAAGAAGAAATACAAAGATCTATGTCATTGTTTTTTTCAAGATAAAAGAAAA